TTGAAGAGCGAGCTAGTAGCGTTGAAGAGCGAGCTAGTAGCGTTAAAGGCTCGCTCTTTCTGATTGGCAATCCACCCGCACGCTAGAGAGGTGAGGGCAAGATGTCCTGACTTTGGTCGCATCGTAGCTGCACTGCTCAGCTGCGGCATTGATGAGCTCAGCCGGCGAGTTCCCCTTGCAGTTGGTGCGTCCCACGAGAGAGACGGCGAGCGCGCGTGCACGAGAGAGACGTTTAAGCTGACCACGCGTTTCACGCAGGCACTCCACTAGCACCGATGCTCGGCTCCATCACTCGCTCGCTGCCAGCCATGCACGAAAAGTTGGGCGATCGAGCATTCGTGTCTGAGTTCAAGTATGACGGACAACGCGTCCAGATTCACTGCCAAAAGTTTGACACGAGCGAGCTGGTGGAGGCTAGGAAGAGGCTCAAAGGCGGCAAGGGAAGGTGGGTGGGAGAACAACGAGAAGTTTTTGTGCGTCTGTTTTCGAGGCATTTGGAGGATATCACCGACAAGGTGCGTGGGCGCGAGTGGTGAACGGCGCGAGTGGTGAACGGCGCGAGTGGTGAACGGCGCGAGTGGTGAACGGCGCGAATGATGATCAGTCACCCCACCCCCACGCAGTATCCCGACTTGTGCGAGATGATGCCGCTGCTGACCGGCGCGTCGTGCGAGTCACAAGTGGGCGCATCGAGCGCACCTCGCGACGTCCAGTCCTTTGTCATGGATGCTGAAGTCGTCGCGCTCGGACCTGCGTCGGAACTCTTGCCATTTCAAACATTGGCTTCACGAGGTCGCAAAGATGTCCAGCTGGATGCCGTCAAGGTTCGCGTCGGGTGCGTCGTGACGGTCGACCCTTTCGAGATGCCGCCGTGCTGACGCGCACGCGCACGCGCACGCGCACGCGCACGTCTTGTAGCATCTTTGCCTTCGACTTGATGTATCTCGACGGTGCACAGCTGCTGCGCAAGTCCTTTCGAACAAGACGCAAGTTGATGCAAGATCGACTGGCGCCTTTCAATCCGACCAATCCCAAACTAGCTAGGTTTCTGCACGTCCAAAGTAGCGAGAGCACAGATCCGGATGAGGTCAAGGTGGGTGTGGCGTGAGCAAGTCGAGTGCCAGGTCGAGATCGCTAAAGACGCCCCTTTGCAGGCCTTTTTCGACGAGGCTCGCAACTCCAAATGCGAGGGGTGAGTTGGCAGTAATCCACTCGGAGCGGAACGAAAGTGCGTGCTCACGCGCGGCGCCTCTCGACTAGGATCATGATCAAGTCGCTAGATCATCATTGGGAGAGCGACGTTGCGCTGGAAATGCTTCAAGATGATGTGGGAGAGGAAGTCACGCAGGAGGACCTTGATCAGCCTACTTTTGAGAATGACGTGGATGTTGGCAAGGGCGTGAATGGACGCGGCAAGGCCTTGCTGAGCAGTTACGAGCCCGACAAGGTGAGCTGAGATGGCGCGGCGCGATGGCAGCGCATGCTCTGGATGGCTGATGCGAGCGCACCATGTCGCAGCGCTGCGAGTCGTGGCTCAAGGTGAGGCGCGCGACGCGAAGAGGGTGGCTCATCCCCGGCGCTCACCCAGACGCTCATCCCGCGCACTTGCGCGCTACTCGCAGGTAAAAAAGGACTACATCGAGGGTATTGGCGACACGTTGGACCTTGTGCCCATTGCCGCGTGGCACGGCATGGGACGAAAGAATGAATGGTGGTCTCCAGGTGAGGCGCGCGAGGTGGTGGGGTGCGCGCGCCGTGCTGATTGGCTTGGTCTCTCTTTAGTCCTGCTGGCGACGTACGACAAAATGACTGGACAGTACATTGCGCTGTGCAAATGTATCTCTGGTTTTACAGACGCAGAGTACAAGAGCATCAAATTTGATCGGTGAGGCTGCCCGTTACGCGCGCGACTCTTTGTAGCTGGCACTCACGCTCGCGTCTTTTCTCAGCTTCAAAGAGGATGGTGGAGCTTGCTACAGCGCTCGAACGGAAGACTGTCGTGACGACTATGACACTGGAGGACTCTTTCCAGATGGTGAGTGTGGCGCGGGTGCGGGCGCGCGCGTGCGATTTAGCTGATGCACCATCGCCGCAGTGTGGTTTGAGCCGAAAGAGGTCTGGGAGGTGAGTGGGCGGCGAGACTCGTGACTTTTGCGTGCCGAGAGACGTTGTCAGCAAGTCTGAATGGCTCGATTCGTATCGAGAGACTAAGCTCGTGTCCCGCGTCCCGCGCCCCGCGCTCCGCGTCGATTTGCAGATTCGAGGTGCGGACATTACCCTCTCACCAGTCTACACTGTAGCAAAGGGACAGATTGCGTCTGATCGAGGTCTCTCGCTTCGATTTCCGCGCTTTATCAAGCGGCGAGACGCATCTGACAAGGGCCCAGAGGATGCTACGACACCGGAGCAAGTTGCGCACATGTATCGTCAACAAAATCACGCGGACCAGCGCGCTGGTGAAGAGGATGTGGAGGAGCTGTAGAGGCACGTATGTGAGGATCGAGGATGGGCGCGCACATGTAGCGGCTGTGGGAGCATGGGCGCACGCGAGGAGGGAGGCTAGCGCAGGGCGCGCCGCGCTCCGAATCAGCGTCGACTCGAGGCAAGACCGGGAGAGCCGTCGATCGCACCCGAGTCCAACTCATGTGCCAAGCACTCCACCATCCGTCCGATGCGACGAGACGTGAAGAAGAGTGATGGCGACTTTAAAGGATGTGAAGAGAAGAGAAGAGAAGAGAAGAGAAGAGAAGAGAAGAGAAGAGAAGAGGAATCGAAATCGGGAGAAAAGGGGGCCGCCGCGATCGGATGAACGGTCTTGCTGTCCACGGTCATTCCGTCGCGCGAGGCGCGCCAGACCGGACATCGAAACTGTTGCAAGCAGACGCGTGATCAGGAGAGCGGGAGCAGGAGTGGGGGGAATCGATCCGGCAGATTGCATCTGCATGGTTGTCGAATTGGTGAGGTCGCGCCTCACACAGAAATCATCTTTTCGAGCGTTCACTGGACGCAAAAAACACTCACGCAGTGCGCAACAATACAATCGTGAGATCGTCTGATAAGTGGGTTGCACGCAAACTCACGCATCGTAGCTGAGATAGTGCGCAACAATAGAATGGTGAGATCGTTTGATAAGTGAGTTGCACGAAAATTCACGCATCGTAGCTTAGATGGTGCGCAACAACGCAATAGTGAGATTGTTTGATAAGTGAGTTGCACGGTTGCCAATCAAAGCAGCGCGCGGCCCAAAGCGCAAGGGATCAGCAAGCACCGAAGCGCGTGACCCAAAGTAGAGAATCAGCAAGCACCTCTCTCGTAATTCAGAAGACCATCGTCTATTCCAGCACACCTGGGAGCTCAGGCTTAATGAAGCGCATGACCCAAACAAAGTGCAGAGTCAGCAAGCACCTGTCCCATAATGTGAAACCATCGTCTTTTCCAGCGTACCTGCACGCTCGGGCTCAATGGATGTCCCGTTGTCAAAAAGTGTGCCGGTCACGGCCGTCGCGCGCGCTCGACCTCGCGGGCGCGCGCAAAAAAATCTCCCATCGGCGCGCCGACGCGCGAGAAAAGATCTCCCAACCAGGGGCTCGAACCCTGGACCTACAGATTGTTGGATGCGCATGCATCCAGACTAATTAAGAGTCTGTCGCTCTACCAACTGAGCTAGCCGGGAATTACCACTTGTGGCTTCTCTGTTTGGCTGTGGCTTCTGTGTTCTGCCACATATCTCAGACCAATTGCCACATTCTCACTTGTATCTGCCATGGCGCGCTGCGCGCGCTTGTCGCTCTACCAACTGAGCTAGCTGGGACATACCATTTCTGGCTTCTCTGTTCTGACTTGTGGCAAGTCCCAGACCAATTGCCACATTCTCACTAGTATCTGGCTTCACTGAGCTATGCTCCAACCATTCCTTTCCAGTCCCTCAGGAAAGGGCGGCTATCACACACATGGAATGCCTGCAGGAAGATGCAGAAAACGCCAGGCATATATATGGTGAGGCAGCGTCACACCATCACGCACGTGTGCGCACCCATGCATATCACCTTGAAAATGAGCGCGCTTAGCACGTTGTACCTCGAGCAATCTTGTTCTCCATCATCTCTTGTGCTCCTATCCATGCGCCCGCCGCTCCTGCACGGTTGAGCTCACTTTGTGCGGCAATGTGATCGACTGACTGGCTAGCCGTCGAGTGAGCTCAGAACGCCACTGCATCCACGAGCCAGAGGAAAAGAGGATGGATATGCCTGGGAGCTCACTCGAGTCCTTGCTTGTCTTGAGTGAGTGAAAGAGGCATTCATTGGTGATGGTGTCACTAAAGATCGATGCGCGTAGCTGTACCGGTACATCTGCGATATATACGGGCGCGCGGTACGTGAGATGGTTCTGAAGCTCATGGTGCCGTGAAAGAGACGTGCAAGTCGTGAGTAGTTGCGAGTGCAGAGATGAACAGGTAGAGGCGACTAGAGCTCTCCGTGACGTGACGCTTTGCGAGGCGCAAGAGTCGCAGTGACCTTCACAACTCGCTACCTGGCGTGCCGTTTCATCCTGCCTCTGGTACCACATTTTGGCAGGCTGGCATGCACAGTAAGCGGTCACACGGGCGACTGATTAAGTGTCACAGAATATCACTTAGGAGCGCTCCACGGCATGGAACAATCTCAATCTGAGTTGGCGACGATCCCCTTGTCAAAAGGACGAACGCGTCCCTGAGATTTCGCGACGATGGCGCATTTCACCTTGTCAATATCACATACGCGTCCTATCGGTGTCTTGAGGTCTCGATGATCATTCCAAAAGGAGTACCCACCAATACGACTCCTCATCTCCTCCCACACTCTTGTAGCTCAATCAACTCGAGTCCCCGTAACACGAGCGGTCCAGACTGGTAAATTTGCTGTACCGGTCTTGTGCAACCAAGAGATTCAAGCAACGCCGTTGAAGTTCCCATCTACCAAGGCCTTCCGAAAGTGCAGGTGGTGCCTCAACCTTCCGATATGTATTCTTGCATGAACGCCGGCGCGTCGCGCGCGCACTGCGAGCTATATATAGCGTGGCACATTGGTGATTACTGCGACCGACCGTATTTGCTCTGCGCGTGCGTCCTCACAGGGCTCGATGAGGGCAGCACAAGTTGCGACGACCTAGGTGCCGTGCAGCGAGCGTACTCGCTGAGCTCGCTGCGCTCCACGTCACCAATAGGTACCACTGACCTGGCGAATATCTGGCACGAACGTCACGTCAGTGCAGCTCGCTTACGCTCGCTACGGTGAGCATATCGATTGTGGCGCTTTTTGTTGTTGTTTCGGACAGGAGGCGCGAGGAGGGAAAAGGAGGCAGGCAGGTGGGCGATTGGGATTGGGGGGGGAATAAGAGATGTGTTTCACGCCGTCTTTGGCATCGATGGTTATGAGGGCGAAAGTTTCTAGTGTAGGGAGGTGGAAGAAAGAGAAAAAAAGAAGCTGAGGGCGCGGGCGGGCGCGGGCGCGGGCGCGGGCGGGACGGCCACCTCGACCCGATGGTGTAAGACCGACTATCCATTGGTTGAGACAATGTGGATCGAAGCATATTAGTGGCGGAGGACTGTCGTGATCAGAGGTCAGAGCGCGAGAAAAAGTACAGGCCTGGGGTGGGGTGGGGGTCGCGCCTCGTCGTTGGAATTGGATCGCAGCAGTACTGGCTCGATTCGAGTGCGGGTGGTGGCGTGGTACCGCTCGGGATGGCGTCCCCGCTCGGGATGGCGTAGAAATCTAGTAACCCCCCGCTCGGATGTTCAGCGGATTCACTGAGAGGGGAGCGAAATGTGCGCGTGTCAGCGTCACGACGTTTCCGTTTCGCTTCGGGCCACTCCATGTGCGCACCTCACCTTGGGGCCGAGAGCGCGAAACGTCGGCATCGGCCCCGGAATAGTCACCAGAGACATCGCCGTGACCATTGGTATTGTCTCGGCCACGCTTGTACATGCGTGGGCTCTCTCCTCCGTGACCGTACCCGTTCCCAGCAAGACTTCCGTTCGATCCATTCGAAGACAATCCTCCGTACGCCATGCCAGGAGCTGGAGCTGGTGGGGCGATGCTGTCATTCGAGTCGCCGTGTTCATCGTAGCTGCGCTTCAAGCCGCTTGCAGAGCGGCGAGCACCGCCAGGGACAGCGTTTGGCGAGGGTTGAGCAAGGCCGTACGGCACACCGGCATGTCCTCCAGCGTGACCATCCTGGCCTACGTTGCTGTGACGGCGATCTCCAGAAGCTGGACGAGCTCCGTATCCCTGAGCGCCACCGGGTACAGCACCGGCTTGGTGGCTCGAGGAAAGGTGAGGGGAAGCGGTGTTGGAGTTGTAGCCGCCAGCGCTACCGGAGTGGTGCTGAGTGGTCGAGGCTGGAGGGTGACCCCACGACTGGTTGGATCCTGGCAGACCTAGCGGCGCACTTCCATCCTCTTCGCGAGCGCCGCCACTTGGACGATGCGAGCCAGGTCCGGCTCCGTTTGCGTGACCGGGGCTACCTGGAACACGGGAGCGCGACGCGTGTCGCTCTTGAGCCGCTGCCATGACCGCAGCCGTGCGAGGGTAGTTGTCGGGGTGGTACAAGAATGATTGGATGTTCGTTTCAAAGAGAGGGTACAGCACTTCCGAAATTCCATTCTGTTCCGCGAGTTGCTTGCCACGAGTAAAGGTGATCCTGCCGTGTCGTCGAGATCAAACATGCTTGAGCATGCGAGCACGCACCTTTCAAGCTGCGACGAGCAACTCACCATACGCCCTTCAGGTGCATCGCCCCGACTTTGACGACGACGCGCTCCTTTTCGTTCTTGAGGATACCATCGCGCTTGCCACGAGACATGCCGCAGACGTTGAGTAGCTTGGTGCCATTGATCATGTTGTTGTCTGCGCAGTGCATCGGGTAGCAACAATCTCGTCAGCAATCCTGTCTAAAGGGCTGCTCATCATTACTCACCGTGTCTGCGAGCGACGCAGACGCCTCGTGCATCTACTTGAAAGCATAGAGTACCCTCATCTTCCCAGAGCGTGGTAGTGACGCGGTGACGACCGGCCATGGGCAGCTGGGTGCTGTATTGAGGAGCGGACGTGTAGGATGCGGAAGCCAGCTGTTTGGAGCGAGCAGCGTTCCAGCGTCGAGCAGGAGGCAATTTGACGGCGGCGCGTGGGCGGATCGAAGCGCCCGAGGCGGAAGAAGTAGCGATTGATTGGGCATCGGTCGATGTGGATCGGGTGGTGGGAGTAGACGCGTCGGGCGGCGGTGCGAGCGAGTCGCAGTAGCCCCAGAGCGATGTCAAGTCGACCAGGTCGTGGGTGTGCAAGTCAGGCGAGGCAGACATGTTCGCCGCGTGATTGCAAGAAAGTGCAGCAGCAGCGGCAAGATCAAAGCCAGGCATGGACGCAAGCGCGCAAAGCGTCGTCATCGCGGTGTGTAGAGGGGACGAGGGAAAGGCAGAAGCGTGGATCGGCGTGCGTCAGCAGGATGTCCGGCGCACTGCTAGGAATGCCTTTTGAGCGAATTGCAAATGAACATAGACAAACTCGAGCTTGTTTGAGAGGTTCGCGATGCGCCCTTTTTATGTGCACTGCAAGACGTGCAAGCACGCCTGCATTCAAGACGGCTATCTGAGCTTTGCGGCGCTGCACAGATCGTACGATGCCCGGCCAAAGCGCCGCAGCCCGGATCTCAAGAGCGATCAACTTCGCTGTTCCCCCCACGCTGTTCGCATCCAAGCAACATGTTGAAGCTAATTCGGCCGAATGTGATAACACGCGACTCTTGAGACCGATTTGGGATCGCGTTTCCGACGACCACCTGCGACGAGATGCCAATCTGATTCAGACTGCAAACCGATTCCAACCTTTTGGCTGATTGGCAGTGCACGCCGCGCATGCTCAGCCACTTGCTGCTGCTAAGTGTCCATCGACGCGGAAGCTGTAGTCCGGTGAGGGCCAAGCGTACCCTTGTCTCAGCCCATCGACTCGCATCAGCTCGAGGAATGGCTTTGGGACCCTCTTTGGAAGCCAGTCCCTCGATCGTCGATGCGCCAAATGTGACGGCGAATGCTCGGCCCCGCCGGTAAGCGTGGACGGTCACCTAACACCCGAGACACGCTGAAGCGGAAAAAATAACGCGCAAGCGCGCGCGTCACGCGCCCACGCGCGCGCGCCAGCCAGCGCGTTACCCGAGCACGAGCGCTCAGGCGCGCGCAAATGATCAATCATTTGCTCGAGATTGACAGATCAAGCAAAGATGATCAAGGCGCGAGGGCCGAGATGGGTATGCAGAGTGGCTCGCTCGCTCTCGGCAAGGCGCGGCTGCGCCTCTTTCGGCTGTTCGGCGAACGCGCTGGTGCTCCCACAAACAGATGCTGACCACGGCCTTGACACGAGGTACGCCACGATCGCGACTCACATGAGGATTGGGGTTGCCGTTGGGGATAGCGCCTGGAAAGTAAGGACTGCTTGCGCCAGGCGAGCCTGCACCGTGATGACCCCCGAGCGGAGGTCCACCATACGGAGCGGAAAACATGCCCGGGGCACCTGGGGCGCCGAAACCTTGTTGAAAGTGGTGTTGCGTCTGAGCGCCAGGCTGGCCTCCGATGCCGCCTGTGGGCGTGCTGCTGCCGCTGTGATGGGCGCTGCTCGCTCCGTTCGGCGCGCCGTAAGAACCGCCCAGAGGTGCAGAGTAGCCGTAGCCACCAGGCTGTTGGCCTGGTTGGCCGTAGTAACCAGTCGGCGAGTACATGGTGGCTGGATGCGTCGAGTGGATGCGAGTGGACCGCAGTCGAGGTTGGCGAGTGGAGGCAGATGTGGTGTCAAAACACAAGGTCGAAATGGTGAGAAGGAGGAGGACGGCGACGGTTCCCTATGTCTGTATGATATGAGAGCAGAAACGCTTGTGCCCCCCGGGCGCGACTGGGAAGAGAAGTGGAAGATTGGTGCTGGTGAGGGGAAGAGCGTTCGGGAAAGGGCGTTCGTGGAAAGGCGTTCGGATCTTGGATGGGATTGGGAGCTCTGCCCTTTGAGGCGCCGAACAGCCAGAATAGCCGGTCGAATCGGTGCTTCGACAAGACTACCAAACACTCTCGGGCGCGGATGGATGGGATGGATGAGAGGGAGGCGGGCAGGAGAACAGTCGAACAGCTCACCAGACAGCAGCAGTGGATGCGGATGCGTGCGGATGCAGAGCCAAAGACGGGCATGCGCTGGCCTGCATGAGGAGGCACGTCCGCACTGCTGGCGCGCCTGATGCTGCTCTTGCATGCGTCTGTGTGTATCGTGAAACGGCCGCCACACTTGCCTCTGAGCTCTTCGCTGGCTATATGCAGATCGACCCGCCTCACGACGAGGCAGGCGAATCGACCGCGCCGGGCGACCGCGCTTTGTCTTGCATGCATGCATGCGGCAGCAGCAGCTCTTAGCGGATGTGCCGTCACGCCAGCAGCCAAGGAGTTCTGCTCGTCGCGAGGTGGCCTGGATACACAGCACCTGCAAATCAAACTCCGCTAGCAGTATTTTTTCGCCCTCCTCCCTCCTCCCTCTTTGGGCGCCTTGAGCCGAGGTGTCGAGCAGGGGCAGAGTGCGAACGAAGAGCACGGTTTGAGGTCAGACAGACAGCTTCCGAATCAGTCCCACACGGCAGTTTTCGTGTGTAGAGGAGAGTGGCCACATGAAATCAATAGTCTCATTCACGAAAGACGGGCAAATGGATTCTTTGCTTGGGGATTGCTCGACTGACTCTTTCTGTAGGTGTCGGAGGGCGCGAGGAGAGCGCGACCCAGGTGAGACAGCGCAAGTGGATGCAATGTGCGTGAAGCTCGTCAGAAAGGGCAACTCGTCAAACCACGTCAGGAGTCGCGAGTCACGAGTGACTGTACTGTTGACTGTGACTGCCGACTTGACGGAGCTGGAAATCACATCTTATTGCGCGTCGCGTCGGCCTACACGACCCAGGGAACAAGCAAGTGAAGAAGATTTACCACTGCGTATACAGCAGTCTTCGGTATCTCTCGCTCGGGTGTCACAGATGACCGGCCTTGCTCGATCTAGAGCGGCTGAAGACTGATGTGCTGAGGGGGACTCGTGGCTGGGAGGCTAGACAGACCATTTGCTCAAGAAGGAGAGGAGACCTTTCTTTAGTACATGAAACTTTCAAAACTTTTACTGCGCTAGGAGCCCATCGCGAATGTGGATTGAAGTGCGCCAACTGTGCCTCCCAATGAGGATCCACGATTGGATCACGAAAGAACTCCAAGAAAAGTCCAGACCTACAGGTTAGCCTGTTCTCGGTCGATTTGCGACTTCGATATCTGCTGGTTCGAGCACTGCCGCGCACTTTTGCGATTGGGAATAACTTGTGGTGCGCACAGCAATGCTCGGGCAATGTGAGACGCGCCCGCCGAGCGCAGCGAGACGGCCTTTACGAGACAAATCTCGAATGGCCGCGAACCGATGGCTGCACTGGTGCCCGCAGGGGGCACATCCGCTGCATTGGCAGCAATTCAGCAGCTGTGTATAACTCCGCAAGCCGCACACACGCACGCACGCACATCACAACATGCTGCCACTCGCTCGCCTCCTCGAATCGAATCGCATATCATTCGAGATCACGGATTTGGATTCTGGATATCACCTGGCCCATGAAGCGGGGCGAAGAATGTTCCTCTCCGGTCATATGGAGACACCTTGAGCAAAGCTGAGGGCACGACGCCTCGTGGTGAATGATTCATTTGTCACACTCGTGACTCTTCAGCGGACGTATCGTGGTGAAAGCGGCGGGTTCCCTTCGCGCTTGTCCGGCTATCTATACTAGCTGGCCGGCTCAATCGATATCCCGCTCAAGGAGTCAGCGGCCGCGATCCAGCGCATGCTGCCACAACGCCCGCAAATTCGCACGCTTACAGTCGTCAAATGCGTGCCATTGTCTCGGGGTTGCTGCTGCTGCGCACCCAGATGTGGAACATCATAGATAGGCCCCAAGGCGTGATCTAGCTGCTGGCATGTCGGTGAGCGCTCCGGACTCGAATGGTCTCTCGATCGGCGCCGCCCACTCTACAGAAACGACATCACAAGCCGCGTGCGCGATCACACGTACGCGTGGCGTGAAAAACAAGAGACGAGGTGAAAGGAGCTGCCGTCGCGCTCTCCCCCTTCGGCGGTGGTTTTCCGGGCAGCGAAAACGGTCCGTTGAGTGCTTCGAACCAGACTGACCTGATGCCTGCCTATTCTCGGGGTCCGGTCAGCACGCAGCAGTAGTACCTTTCCAAGCACGCATGCAGATGCACGCGCGCACTATACATGCAGTCGTGAGCATGCAGTGCGGCCCACCGGTTCAGAAGAAGTTGACGCAGGTCCAAAGCGGAGTCACCGCATCACAGGAGAGGTGCATCGCGGGATGCCGCGCCAAGCAGAAGCGACCTGCCGGTGTGCCCCGAAAGCTTTTGGGTGGCCGTTCACCTCGTTTCATGATGTGATTGGGCCGCACGATCTCCTATTCGCTGGAGCCGCGCGGTAGCAGTAGTAGTACGTTGCTGGGGCAGATTAGGAGCCGGCTCGACAAGACCGGGGCAGTGAAGACGAGAGTGCTCAGCTTGTGGTGTCGAAGTAGCAAAAAGCAAAAGGGATGAAGAAACTTCGTTGGCACTGACAGTCACGAGCGGTGCGATCACGCATCTCCACCAGCAGCACGGCCCGACGCAAAGGCGATCCTTCGTCTACGAAACGGTCGAGCCCATGCAATCCCACACGCAGCATCGTGCAGGTCGAGCGGTTCCGTGCCGCCACGATGGAAACACAGCGCTGTGTAAAGAGGGGCCAACGTGCTGTGCTGGGGGCGGTGCATGCTGCCTGAACAGATAAGCTCGCCAAGACGTTGTTATCCTGACCTGCGAGCGTTGGCGCGAAATCGCAACCCGCGTTTCCAATCCTCAATCGTCGCGCCCCTCGAGGCCCTACAGCACCCGCTCTATGCATCCGCATTTGCCTAGCCGATCGTGAAATCAGCGAGAATGCTTTTCTCGGCCTGCACTGACGATATCTCATCCTGTCATTTTGGACTCTTTGCTTGGCTGAAGAGCGCCAGCCACAATCCGCTAACGGGTTCGCAAGTGGGTCACACTCACGACACCGTTGTAGTCGCTGCTGTGGCACTAGACCAGTCAGAACGAGCACGAAACACCAAGGCGAGATCTAGCAGCCGGTCTAAATCCGGCTCCCGTATTCGGCATGGGTGACCTGTCTTTTATCCGAGCACACGACGGCTCGGCTCTTCTGGATCATTCTGCCCTGGCGAGAAGAAAGAGAGAGCAAGAGGGAGAGAACGTCAGACTTCAGCCCCGTACAATCAAGGAATATCTCCAGCCTGGCTCCATTCCAACGGGTTAATGAGAATGCGTTCGTGTGATGACAACCTCCAGCATGCACACGCATCCAAATTCCCAGCAGGTCAAGAGGTCGAAGCAGACATGATCTCGGCCTGCATACATACATACATCAAGCACGCACATGTCATGTCAGATCTCCCAAGCTTTTCTTTCGCTGTCCACCCGATGCTGCTGCAGCTGGATTTGGTGGAAGACGACGAGCGAAGCGCCAACGCTTCGGTGTGCAAGCCAATCTTGAATGTCCGCCGCACGCCCGCCGCGCGCGCGCGCGCGCGCGCGCGCCCAGCAGCATGCTTGCAGCATCTCGCCATGCCGCAGTCCTAATTTCCTGCTTGCAGCTCTTGCAGGCTGTACGTAACTGTACCTATTCCTCCTCTGCATCGAATTGCTCATGCCCGTCGACGCCCAATGCGAGGGTACGCAATGTGGTCTTCAAGAAGAAACGTTGCAGGCAGGTCGTACATGTCGTTTGCGCCAACACTTTTCGGTCGCGCGATGGAGCGCGTCGCGTGAATGGCGGCGTTCTGACACGTGACGAGCTCTGCCTGTCTGATTGTGCCGCCTCGAATAAGCACGTCAAGAGGTTCGAAAAGCAACAACCTCTTCTGTACGTCTGCCTTTGCTGGATTCGAACCGCTACGGCGTGCCTGAGGATGGAATCGATCCGGCCTCGTCGTGCGCGCTTCTGAGCTGCTCGCCGTGATCACCTGGGCCCTCACGCGTCAGACCCAAGAGATGGTAAATTCGATCCCATTTCCAAATCATGCCTCCGAGCGCCTCCCGATCGCGAGCAGGTGCTCTTGAAGCAGCGCGAGCGCTTTGTATCTGTGCGATAGCTACATTGAATCATTGGCAAGTCAGCAAACAAAAGTTCCTTTGTACGGCGCTTCGAAGCAGACAGACCTTGTTCTTTTCCTCTGCGCTCATCTCGGCATACGTCTTGCCGGTTCCCTGCACCTCAAAGATTGGATCCCAGCCAAAGTTGGATGGCCCGCGAGCTGGCACGATGTTACCCGCAGTACGACCTTCAAAGAGTAGCACCTCTGCGCCTGGCCCCGACGAGTACGCAAAGGTGCACAACGCTGTGCCAGATTTGTCCTCGAAGCCAGCCAGCATGGAGTTGAGACCTAAGTGTGTGGAAAGAGGATACCAGTCAGCGGTCGTGAGTGCGAGCGGTTCAAGCAGCAAGGCGCTCGAAGACGCGCCATCATGACCAAGAGCCTTCAAAAAGTCCTTGATGTATGCACCAGGAAGATCCTTTAAGGCTGAGAAGCCGAGAGCAGTGTCCTCTGTGATGACTGGTCCTTGAATCTGTGTAATGCAGAACGATGTGTAGAATGAGCGTCTGGCCGGTGCACCTGGGCTTTGGCCACCACGGCGCTCGCGCGCACAATCTTGGCCGCCTCGCTACACTTGGCACGCGCAACGTCCTGCGTAGTGCCCTGCACCTCGATCGCTGGCGAAAGCGAAAGGCAAGCCAATGTCAATGAAGAGCGACGATCAAAAAGACAGACATGACTCACTATCTAGGTCTCGATTGACGAGTTCAAAGGGAAAGGATGGCGCCGACGCCAGAATGGCTCTAACCTCCTTGAGCCTGCGTGCAAGACGGCGGCGTACTAGTGAGCATAGCTGCGGGCTTGCCCCCCTCGACACTCTTTGTATTACGCACTTGTTGGCATTGCCGGTGACGAATGTGAGCATCGGTTTGGACATGATTCGTTGCTTGCAGCTCCAGCGAGCCTCGCGTGATGATGCCCTTTCAGTCAACTCCGCGAGTGGGGTACAGTGTCTGCTTACGCTAGCCGAGGATGGGATCGATGGATGAGATGGTTGAGGAGACGGGTACAAAGACACAAAACGTGCCCAGTCAAACCTCTGAGCTCCTCCTCATCAAGCCCAAACTTTAGCGCCGCCACGCATGCATGATCCGTGCGCCTCCACGAATTTTGGCCCTCGTTTCTGCGCAGATCACACAAAGATTGCAAACGTTGCGCTCAAATGTCCGAGTCTCACTGCGCGTCTTGCGGCAGAAGAGGGACGGGCAGCTCATCACAAATTCCGTCGATCAATGCTGCTTGAAATATCCGATTTGTCCATACGCAAAGCATGCTCTGGATACGACAATGAGATAGAGGTGGAAAGCAGTGACGTTGCTGGGCAGCGTACAAACGGGCCGTACAAAGCAAAGCAGAGTGGTGGTTGGTGTTGGAGACATGGCATCTTTGCCGGATTATTCGCATCTAAATATTGACGCTGCTTTGATCCACTATTGCGTGGGTCCATCACTCTTTCCAGCTTCTCATTCCCACCTGAGCGCAATCTTCATCCCTTCTTATTATTCTCCTGTGCTTGGTCTTGGGCTTCAGACCTCTCAGCCGTTGAGGGTGCGTCCGCGGCGCTCCCTGCACTTTGTGCTTTTCCATCTCCTGGTTCGCCTGCCTCAGCAGTAGGGCCCGCGTCGCGTGCGTCTGTAGCCAAATAATGGGAAACGGGGGCCAGTCGTCAGCAACAGCCGCCCAATCAGCCAACAAGATGACCATTCGCAAGCTCAAGGAGCCGAACGCCGATGCCTCGCCTGGGCTGGCACCACATGACAAGTCGATGCTCACCAGAGCTCAACCCTTTGTGAACCAGCGCCACGCTCGACGTAGCGGCCCGCTCTGAGACGATTCGGCATCATCGCGCTGCTCTTCTGTCTTCCTTTCAGAGCGAATTCGAACATGCGGTCCATGGGACGCGCCTGATCCGGACGCACTCTCCGCAGGCCGAACTTGAGGCGAGGAATGAGGAGACTGAGCAGCACGATGAGTACCAGCTTCGCTTCCACGGGCCAGCGCACTCTTGGTCGACGCAGCCTGTTCGTCTGCCCTTGCTGCCTCCTGACCCGCATCAGCAAAAGCTCGATACCTACGTAGTCCGGCAGTCTGCGATTTGTCGTCTAGAGGCTGCTCGGGTGCAGCAGAAGCGTCGGAAGCAGTCCGAGGAGGCTGCTCGGGTGCAGCAGGAGCGTCGGAAGCAGTCCGAGGGGCCTCCTGAGGAGCTTTGGGCACTCGTCCCTCCACATCATCAGCGTAAGCTTGCAAAAGCTCTCGCTGTCGCTTGGTCAGATTTCTGCGACCAGTCCAAGGTGTGCATGCGTGAGTTGCGGGTGAACGCGTCATCTCGAGGAATTCGCAATCCTACTCACCGGGGAACTTGGACCTCAAACTGAACCAACAGGTCGCCCTTGTCTCCTCTCCGCAAGAGATTGGGCACCCCTCTACCTCGCAGCAGCATCTCTTCGCCAGCTTGCGTCCCCGCCGGCACGCGAAGCTCGACATCACCGTTGAGTGTGGGCACGCGCACTCTGCCGCCAAGAATAGCGGTGTGGACGGGCAGAGCAGCCGGGAAGTATAGATTCGCACCCTGCCTCCTCCAAATTTTGGAGGGCCGAACGCTGATCCGTACATAGAGCGCACCGGGTCTGCCTGAACCTTGCAGAGGCACGTCTCCAGCAGCATCTACGCGCACCTTGGCGCCGTCGTCGACACCAGCTGGGATCTTGACGTCGACTGTTCGCTTGCCCCTCACTCTGCCAACGCCATCGCAGGAAGTGCATTGATCTTTGGCATCCACCGTCTCTCCCGAGCCTCCGCAGTTCGGACATGTGGAGGCCATTTGGAAGCCGCCCTGAATGACAAAGGTCCTCGTGCCGCTGCCGCCACACATGCCGCACGTAGACTTTCTAGCTCCGGGCTTCAAGCCTTGCCCACTGCAGGGAGAGCACCGTTCTACAGGAGTGGTGACCACGCTCCTACTTGCGCCTCTACAGGCTTCCTCGAACGAGATGGTCACCCCGACTTCCAAATCTTCCCCTCGCGTTTCGCCCGCAAATCCAGCCCCGCCCTGTCTTCTGCCCGCTCCGCCAGCCCCCCCTCCGAATGCAGAGCCAAAAAGTCCTTCGAATATGTCGGAAGCACTTGCCCCCCCTGCCCCTCCTCCTCCGAAGCTTCCGAACCCGCCGCCAGGTCCGCCACCAAAGCCCCCAAATCCCCCGAACCCGCCGCCACCGCCGCCGCCACCGCCAAAGGGATCAAAGCCTGGCTGTCCATCCGTGGTGCCATACTGATCAAAGGCTTGCTTCTTCTTGGGATCGGAAAGAATATCGTAGGCAGCCTGAATCTCTACGAAGCGTTCCTTCGAGCCCGCGTCCTTGTTCGTATCCGGATGGTACTTTTTGGCGAGCTGTATGGTAGCCGGGCGGCTTACGTCAGCCCTTTTCGCCCTCGTAGACATACAACGTGTCCTGCAGCGGAGGCTCAAGTCGCGAGTGCCACGTACTCACATCGTAGTACGCGCCCTTTATATCCCTCGCTGAAGCGTCCTTCTTCACCCCCAGCGTAGCGTACGGGTCTTTGACGCTAGCTTGGCGTACGTTGGTTGACGAGAATGACCTGTCATGCTGGGTTGAAGCTCGCTGCAGCTGTGGTCGAGTCTGCCTATCCCTGACAGCGGCAGTAGAGAAGCTTCTCGTTTTGTCTCTTGGGCCGCCACGGGTCGTGGGCCTGACACACCCGGCCAAGGTCGATGTCGAGCTCGATGCTGCGGCGGAACTTAGGCTTGCAAAGGTACGAGAGATGGATGAGGCAGCAGAAGGTGGTTGTGTGCTGCTGCTTCTATTGCGCCTGTGAGAGGCGACGACGAGGGAAGAGCTGGAAGCTGTGGAGGCGGAAGACACAACCGCCACTGTGCCCAGCGCAGCATGACCACCAGCGCGAGAGAGGACCATGACGGGATTGGATGGAATGAAGGCCTCAAAAAGCGCAGCAAAAGGGTGATGGGTGCTGGTGCGTGCAATGATTGGTGCGGCACATGTGATGCTTTGAAATCAACCAGAAGCGATGCGATCGAGTTGCTGCTGGACGTGCGTGCAGTCACGAGTGCAGTGCAGTCGCGCAGAGTGCGGCCACGGTCGTGAATCGTGAATGAAGATTCTCGATGCTCGATCGTTTCTGCAGCAGAGAACTTTTTAAACTTGCGAGCGTGCCAGGGCGCGCGCTCCACCTTTCACCCCGCCAAAGCGTGCGGTGCCTGCCACGCGCGCATACGCATACGCACACGCGCACCCGCATCTTCGAGACGTTTTCACGATCGTGCCTTCACACACCGGGCTCATCTGCAGAGGCTTGCTTTCACCTTCTCGCAATTTCAAGCATCCTCGTACTCAGCGCTCGCCTGCTAGTGACTCGCTCAGACAGACCGGTCTTCAAGCGTCTCGCCTGCGCAGCTTCTCGTGCACATCACCAATCGTAGATAAGCTGGCCCGGACTGGAAAAGACCAGAAGTTTCGAGCCGAACCGAAATTGGTGTCGCATTGTCACGTGACAAGTGGACCGCGCTAGCTGCGACCTCGCAAGATCGCATCGGATTCAAGATTGCTGCACACGAGGGCCATCCGTGTAGGTCTCGATCAAGCACGAGTCCAACATGACCTGGATAGAGCTACCAGACGGGCCACAAATCCGGCTCAGCTTTGCCTTGACCGCAGCCGAAAGGCCCAAGCTCGCGGCTGTCCTGTCCGTGTCTGAAAAGGCGCGCACGACCGGATTCGAGGAAGCAGCACGTAGAAAGAGAGTGGTTTCGCATTGCAATGCAATCAGAGTACACAAAAGCTGATTCGGTGACAAAAGAGCGTTGGCGGAGCGCGTATGAAGGATATGTATGATATACGATACGGTCAGAAGGGAGGGCAAAGATTTGCGTGGTGATGGGGCCCGCGACGCAGGGCGACGATAGAGATAGAAAGGCGAGATCATCGGTGATGAAAGCCGCATCAGATGCACATCAATTTGGAGCGCTGTGAGTAGATGGCGAGATGCTCGAGTCAGCAGGCGCAGTGCGCATGATTGGGATGATGGTCGCCCACTCACCCCCTTTTTCTTTGTCAGCTCGTCCATCCTCGCAGCCAATGCCTGCTTGGCAGACTCTTTAGCTTCTTTCTCTCTCTGGAACTTGTCCTGCAACTCTTGCTTCTCCGCAATGACGCTACTGCGAGCAGCGTCCGCTTCGCGCTGCGCAGCGTCCGCCTGTTCTCTCAGCTCTTCCGTCTGGGCAGAGAAGCGGTCACGTTCACGAGTGACCTCGGACAGCTGCACACGCGATTTGCGCAGCTGTGATGCGTGTGGGCCTAGTTAGCAAAAAGACGCCCGCATAGACGCTCCAGCGACGATTCGGCTCCGACTCACATTTCTTTCGCTGTCGTTCAGGGCAGCCTCGAGGGTAGCGACAAGATCAATGTTGGCTTGCAGGTCTTGCTCGCAGTGGTTCAGCTGAGCTACCAGACTCTTGATCTCTTCTGCTTGTTCCGTGAGCAGCTTGGCAGTCTTGGGGTCAGACTGCGCGAGACCATTCAGACTCGGACTCGAAGTCGTGTGGGAGGTGATCGAGGAAGAACGCGTCAAAGCATCTGGCGAGTCTGCCCTCGTGATGCTGCTCGAGGCGGACGCCCTCAAACCAGCAGACGACCGCTGGGTAGGCGTCGCGCTGCCTGCTCCCGACGATGGCGTAGGTGGGGGAGGCATGTTGGGTGGCGGACCGAGGGGCGGTGGCTTCGCTGCATTTGAGCCGAGCTTGCCTGCTGTCGCGTCGTCGGAACTCTTCCTCGGCAATGGGGATCTACGACCACCATGGCTAGCTTCCGTCGTGGTGTTGTCGAGGGACGAACTTGCGCTGAGAGCTTCTCCATCGCGCGAACGCGAACCCCTCGTCTCAGCAATCGTAAGCTTAATCTGAGTCTCGCGCAGCAGCGAGTCCTGTCGAGCACGTTCCTCGAGGAGGCCTTGGATTTCGCTCTTGCTGCGCAACAAATCGGAGCGGACGTTGGCCAAGCCAGCGTTGGCTCGATCGAGATCTTTGCGAAGGCTCTCCGTTGCGTTCAGATGACCATTTGAGGGTGCGGCGACGCTCGTCTTCAGAGCTTCGAGCTCCGCTTCGAACCTGTTGCGCTCTTCTTGCGCCTCTGTGAGTGCTTGCTCCAGAGTGACGAGGGCATCGCTGGTCTCGGACAGTTCTGAGCGAAGCAGCTCGACTTCGTGCGGATTCTGTTCGCGAAGCTGTTCGTGAGCAGAATTGAGCTCGTCGTAGGCCGCATGGGCCGCATCGCGCTCTTCGGTGAGCTGCTGATGCGCGGATTGCAAGGTAGCAACGCTGGCTTTGTGCTCGTCTCCAAGAGCGGCAAGACGCTTGGCATGCGCATTGCGCAGCTCTACGAGCTGCTGCTGTGTGCTCGCATGACTGGCGTGAAGTTCATCGCGCTCAGCGATTGCTCGGGACAGGGCAGTCGAATGCTCATCTTGCAGCACTTTTCGGGCTTCCGCGTGCTCGCCTTGTGCCTTGGTGAACTGGGCATGAGCTTCGGCGAGCCTTGCCTCGACGGCTTTGAGGGCAGCACCATGCTCCAAAGTCAGAGCTTCCAATATGCTATTGTGACCACTCTCGAGAGAAGCAGAAGCCTCGGATCTGGCCAACTGAACAGCTTGCTCGTGGCTAGCTGCCAGGTCGGAGAGAGCTCCCGAGTGCACCTGCTGCAACTCGTCGCGCGCATTCTGCATGTTGACAGCGTGGTCCTCTCTGAGCGCCTTTGTCGCCTCCTCGAGATCTCGCACACGAGCATCGTGCGTCGCATTGAGCTCATCCATCTGAGCTCTGTATCGCTGCGCCGCGGCATCGTCGGCCTCGCTGCGTGCTTTGGACACTTCTGTGTTGAGGGTACGTTCATGAGACTCGAGCAGCTCTGCTTGGGTCTGAGCATGCTGGGCGACAACGCTTTCGAGCTTGCTTTGATGCGATGTTTCGAGCGCTGCAAGAGCATCGCGGTGCCGGGTCTGAGTGTCTGCCTCGGACTCGTCCAAAGAGCGCGTGTGCTCCTCATGCACCGCAGCAACAGCAGCAGCCAGCTCAGCAGCGTGCTGGGTGGCCAGCTCCTTAAGTTTAGCATCATGGGTCAAAGTGAGTTCACCAAGAGCTCCTTCATGCTCTCTCTTGAGCTCGACGACGTGAGCAGCGTGTTGGGCCTGTGCTTGACGCGTTGCATCTTCCCCGATGCTCGCTGCAGCTGCAGCATGATCCTGCCGTAGCGCATCCAGCGCCTGTTGATGCTCAACGAGCACACGCTGGGCCGCCTCGTGGTGCTCCTCGGCCTGTCGGGCCAGGGCCTCGGTGTGCAGATGGGCAGTCTCGGCATCCTGGGACTCTCGCGCTGTCGCGTGCGAAGCCAAAGCAGCTGCATGCTCGTCTCTCGCAGATTGCAATTGAGCGACAAATTGCTGCTCCTTGGTAGCGAGCTCCAATTTGCTATTTTCAATTTCGCGTCGCAGAGCGTTGATGTCCTCGGTGACCACGTTAGCGGGCGCAGTCGCGACAGACGGCACTGCGAGATGCTCTTTGTGCTGCAACGCTTCGGGAGCGTTGCGAGGAGTGGATGGGGTTTCGCGAGCTCCAAGCTGCGTGCGAAGGTCTTCGATCTCCATGAGCATGTTGGCAGTCTGATCCTGAGAAAGCTGGCGCAGAGAGACGAGATCGCGCTCGCGAGTTGAGAGCTCTGTGGACAACTGCTCGATGCGCTCTCGATGAATAGTCTCTTTGCGCGCCATGGACCGCATCAGCTCGTCCAAGCTCAGCGCTTCTGCCGAGTCCTGCCCACTGTGCTCGCGAGTCTCTTCGATCAGCTGCTTAAAGGCGTTGAAATCGGTTTCGGAAGGCGCGCTGGTCAGCGTCGGTGGAGTTCGCAGACCGCTGTTCGATGCTGGGCGCGAATGAGAGTCTACAAAGCGGGATTCGTTGTCAGAATCAGCACTAGTATCTGAAGAGCCTCTCGCAGACTGCTGCTCGCTTCGGACGAGCATGGCGGGCTGCGTCTTGCTCGCGCGCTCGAGCTCCCCGATCTCCTCATCGCGCTCTCGCAACACCTCTTGCAGACGCAAGACCTCCTTCTTTAAGCTTGCAACTTGGCGGTCAGAGCTCGCCGAGTTTGGAGCCTCTCCATTTGGAGTAGAGGCCCTGGCCGGTGTTGGCAACATCGATCCGGAGCGCGATAATGACAAAGGCCGCGGACCCCCAGCCGAGTAGAATGCCGGAGACAATGACTGCGAGACGGATCTCGCGCGGCTGGCCTGCTTCAGGTCCGTCACCGCTTCCCCTTCTTCGGTCTCCGTCCCCGTCGATGCGAACGCTGTGCTTCTGGGCGTCGTCTGCGTGGTGGCCGACGTCGCTTCGCGAGGGGTTCGCTCGCGAGGATTGTAGCCTAAAAAAGTGCCAGATGATCGACGAGAGAGGCTTTGCGAATCCAAAAGCAGACTCTCGGGACGATTGGCGTTGCTCTTTGAGGCTCGCTGTAGTGTCGGGGAGAATTGCAATGAGCGACGACGTCTCAACTCATCCGCATTGGCAAGAGGCTTCTCTTCTCCAGCCTCAGAGCTGCCAGCCAGAACCTCGAGATCATCGTCTTCTTCTGGGCTATGGCCCTGCAAGGGCGTCATTGGCGCTCCGCGGTGCAGCTTGGCCTCTTCGACCTGACTGTTGAGCTCGTGGATTTCGGCGAGCGAATCTCGGTAAGACTGGTTGAGCGTCTCATGCTCTGCACGTATCTTGGACTCGGTGTCCTTGACCTCCTGAAGCTCCGCACGAAGAGCAGCGATTTGGGCAGTCTGATCAGGACTGACGTTTCCAGATCCGGGAGTCACCTCTCTGACCGTTGCCGTGCCGATGGCGGCGGAGGCCGCGACAGCAGCAGCGGCGGCAGCCTCTGCCTCGCGCAGCTTATCCTCCAGGCGGCCTCTCTCAAGTTCGTGCGAGGCAGCGGTGTCATTCAGCTTGCCGCGCTCGCGAACCACATCGTCACGCTCAGCAACCGTCTCGTCCAGTCGACGCTCCAGTTCGAGCAGCTTATGATCGCGCGCATCGAGCTCTTCCAGGAGCTCCTTGTTCGCCTTGCCCGTGTCGAGCAGTTCTAGGCGCGCCGAGAGCTCCTTGTACGCTTCCTCGCGGCGAGCAATGTCGCTCTCGAGACGCTGCACCAGTGCTTGGAGCTGCGAAGTTGCTTCGTCCGCCTTTGCAAGACGAACCTCCAGGTCCTTGACGTACTGCTCCGTCGTAGATTCGGTCTCGCGCAAGCGAACGACTTCCTTGCGCAGCTCCGACACTACCTGCTCGTCTGCGTCACCTTTGCTGGAAGCATTTTGCAACCGGCTCTCCAAGTCTCTGACATAGCCATCATTAGAGCTTTCACGGTCCTGCAACTTGCCCAGTCGCGCTTGCAGCTGAGCAATGACCGTTTCCCTCATCTCGAGATCTTGCTCTGCCGTCGCCGCTCGCGCAGTCTCGTCCGCCAGACGGGTCTCCTGATCGGCGATGAGATCCTCGGTGTGCGCGAGAGCGGCCTTCATCAGATTGATCTGGCCCTCGAGAGCATCCACCGTCTTTTCGTACTCGACGATGATGGGTTCCGCTGCTGCCAAGAAGTCCTCGTCGGCCTTGTCGGCCTCGCGGTCGCGTGTGAGCTGCTGAAGCTTAGTGAGCTCAGTAGTCAATTGCGTATTCTTCTGGCTAAGTGCTGCGTACTTGTCCCTCCACTCAATCTCCTCCTTCTGGTCGATGGCACGAAGAGCTGCCGCACTGCCAGGAGTGCCAGCTTTGGCGCCCTTGATGGCAGTCAGCTCCTTTCGAAGCTTGATCACCAAGTTCTGCAAGTGCTCGACGTCCTCCCAACCGGCTTCTACTTCGTTAAGCTCCGCCTTGTTCTTTATGTTGCGGGCCCGATTGGCGTATTGCAGGGTGTTGACCGTCTCGCTGACATTGTACTCGGTCGGCGAGACGCATGCAATCATGAGCGTGTGGGCATTGCCGCCCAAGCTGTCTTGAAGCAATCGAGTGAGCTTCGAGTCGCGATATGGAATGTGGGTGGTCTTCTTTGCCTTTGCAGGATCTCCCAATGCCGAGATGACATTGCCGAGAGCGTGAAGCCCCGCGTTGATCGAGATGCCCTCCTTGGCTCTATCTCCGACGGCTGCGGTGCGCTTGAGTCGTTCCGAGCCCGCAAGGTCCACAAAGTGAAACTTGCTCGTGATGGTCACCCATTCTCCACCGCCCGCAGATCCGCCAGCACCATCATCTGGCAATGGACTAGAGCTTCGCCCCGCTATCATACTCACTGGTCGCAAGCCTCCCGAGCCGTATGCGCTTGGTGTACCTGAGCGCGACCCGGGCGTAGGGCTCGCCAGTGAACGTCCTGGCGTAGGAATGCCGGATTGGGGGCGAGGCAAGCCGGAAGAAGGAGAGCGGCCGCTCGGTGTAGCGCGCCCGGTGGGCGTTGTCCTGCCACCAAGCATGGTGCTCGCGGGTCTAATGCCATGTGCAGCGCTGGGAGGAGGGGGTGGTCCACTTCCTACAAATTTGCGTTGCACGAGCGTCAAAGAAAAGATGGCGTGAGAGCGAGAGCTCTGAGCGTTCATGTCCGTTTCGTGAGTCCGGCGAACGCTCGAGCCCTGCAAGAGGTAGTTCATGACGTCTGCCACGCCGTTCACCTTGACCTCCCGAAGCCCTGACCAAATAATGTGGCCTTGCTTATCCTCGCGGATCTGGACGTGTGTGCTACCTGGATCGTCTGCAAGCAAATCGATCAGATCTTCATTGTAGATCTCGATGAAGCTAGCCTTTGCAGAATATTGAATCGCACCACTTCTTGCTTGGCTGGCCTTGATGTGCGAAAAAATCTGTGCCACCGCTCTTGGAATGATGCCCAGCTGGGGGTCGGGAGATTGACCGGCTACTAGTGACTCAAAATCAAGGTCACCGGCTGAGGTTCCCATCGTGTAAGACTTTCCACTTGATGTCTGTCCATAAGCCAGGATCGTCGCATTGTAGCCTTCCAAGAAGCGCGGTACGAGAGACTGGACAGTCGCATACACTTGCGTCTGATCATCGTCCGAGTTCAGCACTCGATCAAACGCGAAGCTTTGCTTTTTTGCTGAATGCGAGGCGAAAGATGCTGGTGTGGCACCTTCAGCTGGCGGACCTCCGGGCTCCACGGAGAGCGTATTGGATGATGTCGGAGCGACGACCAGCTTGCGCCATCGTGTAGGTATGGACTCGAGGTCGTGAGCGGTGACCGGTCTGATTCGCACCGCTGGGAGTGGACAGGCAAAACGGTCAGTGGTGCACTTGCACTCTCACGAGGAGCATCCCTGCCAGCTTTCGAGGGGCAACAGCGCAGTGGTGCACTCGACTCTCACGAGGAGCATCCCTGCCAGCTTTCGAGGGGCAATAGCGCAGACTCACCTACTTGCACTGAAGTCGGCGCTGCTTCTGCACTGGCACCATTGCCATTGCTGCTGTTCGCCCCAACAAGACCGAGGTTGCTCGGACCGACGGAGGAGCGTCGCCTCATAGCCATGGACATGATGGGCGCCGATGGGCACAAGCTCGAGCGCAAGCCTGACTGAGAGAAGGGCCCTTGATGTCCTAGACTAGATGTATGTCGTGCTAGAGCTCACCGAATGCCTTGTGAGCGAGGTCAAGTCACTGGACGCGAGCGAGACGCAAAAGACGAGGATGCCAAGAGCCCGGATCTCAGCCAGTGGGTATGGAGGACGCCAAAAGCCTGGGTATCAACCAGTGGGTATGGAGGATGACCGGCGAGTCCTCACTGGAGTGTTGGCCGTCGGCGTAGAGTGGTGTCAGAGGAAGCCACGTAGTGCAGCTCCTCTCGTAGTCTCCACGTCAGGAGTATATCTAATCGGAAATGTCCTGCCGGCTAAGCGTGAGTCGCGAGAGCGCACCTCGTAATCCAGTGTAGGAGGCGAAAAGGGGGCGCACGCGCGCGCGCGCACAGGTGATTGTTGTTGACGCGTATGTGCTCAAGTCGTTGAGGAGATGGACCCCTTGAGCTTAGTCTATGAGGAGTATGAATGGTATGAAATGAAGTCGTGAGTTGGAGATGATGGTCGATCACCAATTATGGTCACCGGCACAGGGCGCAAGGTCTAGAGGTGACGGTATGAAGCGTGGGTCTTTGGCGCAAAAGCGAGGGCCGCAGAGTACACGTTGTTTCATGCCGGTGAATGATGTGCAGTACACAATCGTGAATAGCTGTTGTTGTTGTTGCTTGGGCGTCCGCGCCTAAGGCAGATGAGCATGCAGCAGCGCGAAGACTGCTCGCGCACTCAAATTGATGCCGGCTGCCTGTCTGCTCTTGCGGACCGCAGGCGGATTGAGCTGCAGATTAAGCAGGGACCGCCGCAAGCCTTGACTGGTCAGGTGCTCGAGTTGCCACGTACTCGACGCGGGCGCGCGGGTTGGTGCGCACGTGTGTCAAGTGCCATGGAGCCTCATGCAGCAGCAGCATGCATTAACGCGGTACGCGGGGCATATACACGCGCTAGCTGCTATGCGTGATTGAAGCATTCGTGATTACCGTTGCCCCCTCTTCTTCATTCAAAAAAACCTCCCCCTCAGCTACGGCACTCCATGACCATGGCGCACGCAGCTGCATAATGGTGTTCCCAGCAATGCACAGCTTTCCGTCGATCCATTTAGGTCATGGTATACTCACAACTGGGACTTGACTGCTGCGCCGACGTGTATAGGTTGAGCGCCGCTCCAGCAAGATGTGCACGCGCTAAGCAGGCGCAATTCAGCACTTGCATATGCCATGCACCTGTGTACTGCATGAGCTGACTATAATACGCATGCAGCAACTCCGCGCAACCAGCAACCGGGATGCTTCATTGTGATTGCCATGGCGATATGGGAGGGACGCGAAGAAACAAGATCAGTTAACTTGTACGTGATTATTCACGATTAGAATCTTGCACTCTCTTCTGATTGAAACCGGACACCTCGGCATGTTTCTCGGGCTGACAGACTCGTGACTCTTGCGATCGGGCCCAAGGTGGGGGGTGGAATGAGCTTAATTGGTGACGCTGCATGCCTGCTGGAGCATGAGCTATATAGACGATCACGCTGATATGCTCGATCTGCCAACAGCGGGATGAACTATAGCCAGCCCATCTTGATGGAGGCAAGAGTCTTGAGTGCGCCAAGCAGAACAGCAAACGCGTTTCGAGCGTTCGAAGGGAAAGCCATGCAGCAAGCAGTCAAGGTCATACGCGGCCAAGAGCTCAGCTACCCATCTATCTGTAGAAGTGCACACCTTGCTGATCGTTTGCTCGGATCTCGGAGGCTTGGGTGAAGAACAGCGAGCGCACGACTACAGCAGAAGTGAGCATGGACTGATCGTAAAGCCGGCACAGCGTTTCGCGGCGAAAGCAATTTCTCTGCGGGGTGATGAAAAGAGGGCCGGAATCTCTCACACTAACCCCCACACTCGTACTGAACCAGCTCGCTCTTATGCATCACCAACATGAAGCTTACAAACCGCTGATCATCACGGGGACGTCGATCGAGTCCGTGGCGTACAACGCATATGATGTTGCTTGACTCGTTCCTGATGCTGGATCCTTGTTTGATACAATGCTTCCGCTGCGCGACGCGGGGAAAAGACGTGCGAAAGCGGAATGCACAATCGGGTACGGGTTCGGGTTGAGAGCAGAGCTGGGCCTCTCATGCTTGACTTTACACCCATCGGGCGCTACGCATATAGACGGCAGCACAAAGGGGTGGTGAAGCTGCACGCAGATTCAGAACGACGGGACCGCGTCAGTCTCGTTGGAACGATGACTCGCTGGACGTTGCGTGACGCCTATAGCCGAGCCACGCGGGCTACTGTGACTGTGACTGTGACCGTGACCGTGACCGTGACTGTGACTGTGACTTTGACTGTAGCGCTGCGAGATTTCTAGTGGCCCTTTCGACTTTGCTGCGCGCGCGCGCGCTAAGATGCACAACATCATGCGCGCACGCGACACATCGTATCTCTCTCGCAATCGCGTGAATAATCCTCACGCCACAACGACGCTTCTAATCAACCGACCAGCAGAGCATCAGGGAGGCGTGTCGTGACTCGATCGACTCACCTGCACATGTTACTTCTTCACGACGCGCTGACTTGGCATTCACGTTGCGGATGCTTTTGGGCGGAGCTAGATCGCATAGCGTCCACAAAGCCGGAAGTTACGGAGCTTCAAGATCAGCTAGACAGACGATCTCAGAGACACATCTAGCAGGACGAGGAACAAATCTCAGCAACGTAGAACGGGCCGACTGCATTTAGCAAGGATACAATTAATCACTGTCCCGCTAGCGCTGAGATTGGCGTGCTTTTGCGCACCGGCAAATGCTTCTCAGAATCCGCAAGTCGGCGGTGGGAAGGCTGTTTGTCAGCGTCTATAGATTCCTTTTATCGTGCTCAACTCTCTTTCGTGCGGATGCACTCCAGCTCCAAACAGGATCAACATGACCTCTGCAGATATATGTGCAAGCGCAGAAGATGGCGAGCAAGCCGACATTGTCAAGGAGCTGTGGAGGACTTCGAGCTGGCTGCGCAGGTATGAGACCAAGCGTGTCAAAGCGCTCAGCGATGAAGAGCTCGCCAACATCGGGCTGGAAGGCGCTGGAACTTCGTCGGACTCGGTCAAACGCTACTACGCTGCGCTTCTCAAACGCACGCAGAAGCACAGCTCGGGGCTTTGTTCTTCCATCTTGCGCGTTCGTATTCCATGTCCTGATGCGGCGGATGAAGATCTACTCGAGGCGGACCTAGAAGGTGTGCCCGAGCATGGCTCGATTGCAGGATGGGCAGCTATCAAGGTGGTCAGTTTGGAAGAGCAACCTCCACCTCATGATGTCTTCAACGAGTACAGAACATTGTCGCTCGCGGTCATTCATCGCAATCGAGCGCTAGATCGCTCAAGAGCGGAGATCACTCCTCGACAGACCAACGTGGTGCATCTGATCAGCGCTTTTGTCCGCGCTGCTGGTCCCTGGAGCAAAGAGGTGGCACTCGTGTTGCCTCTATACCCTTGCACATTAGCAGAAGCTCTTCGCATCCCTGCGGATCACATTGCCCCACGTCGCGTCCATCAAACGGAAGCAATTGCGGAGCCACATCTTGGTCCCGAGTCATTGACAATCTCACCATCCAGTGCAGAATTTGCGCTCAAAGTAACCAAAGGTGTTCTTTCGGGTCTCAATTTCTTGCACTCGATCGGTGTAGCTCATCGAGACATCAAACCGTCCAACGTCTTGCTGAGCTACGACGGGGAGGCCATACTGGCCGACTTGGGCGTCGCTACACGAGTGCCAGCTTCTCACGCCGGCAAAGTGGCGCCATTGTGTGAAAGACCAAGTCGAACGGCGGAAGTAGGCACGACGTGTTATCGTCCTCCAGAGCTCCTATTTTCTCCTTCCGACGGCTACGATGGATCGAAAGCGGACGTATGGTCAGCAGGAGCAAGTCTGATCGAGCTGTGGACTGCGTTGGTACAGAAGGCGCCGAAAAGGAAAGCGAGCGAGGTGCGATTACCCCACTGGGAAACGGCTCTGGCAGACGATCAGAGCTGGCAGAGATACTCGGGGAAAGAGACCAAGAGCGCATCGAGCAGCAACTGGAGCTTTGAGGAGGACGAAGAAGAGACCTACGAGGATCAAGATCACGAGGAGGAGAGCGAGCTGATTCGGGATTCGAAGCGACAAAGTCTTTTCGATGGCCGAGGAGAAATCGCTCTGGCGGGGAGCATTTTTGCGATTCTTGGTCGACCAACAGATCAGACCGAGTGGCCAGTGAGTCTGCCTGTTGAACGAAGCCACGCACCTCTCCAGCCAAGCGAAGCTCACAAATGAAGCGCTGCCTCAACCGACCCTTCTCCAATCGCTCGACTCGGCTCGCACCGCGTGGCAGGAATCGGAACACTTCAGTCCGCCTTTGAGCCGCATGCCTTTCCCAGCGCGCAAGCCCGTCGAAGGCGGACTGAGAAGGCACTTGGCCATTTCATTCCGGTCTGCGGCCGAGCAGGCAGCTTTCGAATTCTGCGAATCGGCGATCCGACTCTCTGCGGGCGCTCGTCCGTCGGCTGCTGATGCGCTTGCACGTCTCGGGGCGTCTTAGTGGACTTTGACCCAGTCCCAAACACAGCTCTCGTCGCATCTCCATTTAGCCTTTGGCAATTCTGTGTGTGCTGTTGGCACGTCATTGATCCCCTTGAGCCTCGCTGATATCTTGCGATCCAGCCTGCAACATCGGCCACTCCTGCGTCGTCTGCACGATGCGAGTTCTGATTTCCGAGTCATGTATTATCTTTGCATGCCCGATAGCAACGCCATGCATTTGTGTACCTCCTTTTGCCTCCTCTTACGCCGGCAACTCGAACTTTTGCCTGAGCAGTGGAGGGAGCGATGTTCAGCGATCCGCGCACACTTGTGCCAAATGCTGACATCAGCTGCCGCACTCACCCCTTCAAAACCTTGTTCACATAGACTATTGCCAGTGGCCGAGGAATATGCTACGTCAGCGCACGCAAAGCCTGCACGCAGAATGAGCGGTAGCAACGACTCACTGTAGAAAAAGTCGAGGTACAAGCCGGTCTGCACCAGACCGCTGATGACCGAGATGGGGTCCACTTGATTCTCGGTAAAGTACCTGAGGGAGATTGCGCAAGTCAGAGCTGTATGAACGCCAAAAAAAACGTCCAATGCAACCTACCGGTATATCCAATTGGGCAGATACAGAGCTCTGTAAGCGCCCAGAGCGAAGAGGTAGTGCGTCGTGATGGTTTCTGCCTCTCCTGTCCTCTGCAGCATAAACAGTTGGGGAAGAATGGCGACGGATTCCAAGTAGATGCTAAAAGCCCAAAACAGCTCCAAGATATTGTAGCCGTAGTTGAACACCAACGCTAGCAGGGCTGCGGGGCCTAGCAAGTATTCCAACCTGATGGTGTCGATCGCTGGATCGTGTGTGGGCCTGGATGCATTTCGGCGGAGCTTAGGCTTTAGCGTGGTGTGGAGACACATGGGCCTCCCGCACATCTGCTGGCACGAGCTTGATCAAGGTAAAAAGCTCCGCCGACTGCCTGAACCCGACAGACTCACCTGTACTTGACGCGCATGAGATACAAGACGTAGACTGAGCTACCGATGAAGAAGATCTTCATCAAGACCCGGTACAAGCTCGTCTCGAAGAAGATGTCCAAGTAGCGCGAGGCAAATACGATCGAGTACAGCAACTGGGTCTTGAAGGAGATACCTGTGCGCGTACAGGTGAGCATCAGACGTGAGCGAGGATGACAAACAGTCGATCTGCCCTTCGTCTTTCTTGGTGACGATGTGCGCACTGTCCTGCTGCCTATCCTCTGTGACAGCACCGATGCGACCATCTCTCCAGCTCCATTCCGCCGCCCTTCGCACGCCAAGCATCTACCCGACTTTCGTATCCTTGGCTTTGGCTGCACCTAGCGTTCCACGCAACCTACGCACCTCTGCAGCTCTTGCTGATGGTAATCTTGTGCAGCAAGATGAAGATGGAAGCCAAGTGCGACAAATCGCCAAAGAATCTAAAGATGTTCATCTTTGCACCCTCTCGCGTCTGAGGTTCGTTTGGGGCTGGATGTGCAGATGTGCAAGGTTTGCAACAGTAGAAGGACTGCTGCTTGGTCTGTGATGCTGCTGCTACGATTCGATTGATCAACAATCCAGGCACGGCAACGTGTTGCTCTGCCACTGCGATGCCTTGGAGACCGTAGCGAGCTCGATAGACTGGCTGACCGAGCAGTGGGACAAGCGCTGGAGACGTGGAACAGCCTTTCGTCGTCGTCGTCGTCGTCGTCTTCCTCGTGCTGAGCGTGTTAATCGGTAGTGGGCCCAGGAGCTGCGCGTTGCGGTGCGCGTGTAGGAAGTGTGAGGGTGAAGAGAGGGAACGACTTGCAAATTGCCGAGACGAGTGTGACTGCTGGTTGAGAAGTGCAAGTTTCAAGAGATCGATCTTCTGACGACCAAAAGTCAAGTTTGAGCACTCACGACTCGGTTCCCAGGAAGTTTGAGTTGCATTTCACGATTCGAGAGTTCGAGATTCGTGATTCGAGAAGGTGCCGGACAGCCCCACCGTATAGCTGACAGACAGGCATGCCATGCGCGTTGCTGCATGCTGCTACTGCTGCTTCCGAATTCGGCTTATTGCATGCTTGCTTGCTCAAACTATATCACCGTGCGCCGCCGCGTCTTCACTGCGCGTACGCATGCTGATGCACGGGCGGGGGGGGGATTGACACGTCTACAAGTTCATCAGTCACGATCAGTGCAGGGCCCAACCGCGGCGGCGCATATTGGTTGGGCGCCCGTGCGCGAATCATCCAAATTAGCTGCAGAGGAATTTCACGCCACGTGGAGTGCGCTGCTCATATATGACTCAATTGCGACGCATCCTAGACTTGATTCAAGATTGCCTTGAATCCAAGGTTTCAATCGACTTGAGTAATCGTGAATGTCGTGTGCGAGTTGACTCTCGAGCGACTAAGCTTGAGGAGGGACGTTTGGAATTTGTCCTTGCAGGCTGACGAAATCAATTGCTGCTGTGGATTTAGGTGCATTGTGATTCGTGATTGCTCGCGGTCTTGTCAGCAGCCTGACCTGCGTCGGAGGTTCACGATTACTATTGTGTTTCCCTAGCTGATCGCGTCAAGACTCCATGGTCCAAAATCTGGCCCTACAAGACATTCACGTCGTGAATTTCCAAAAACAGTCGCACCAATCATTCGATCGAAAGCTAGCCATACGTCTTGATGCTCGATCAAGTTCCAAGCGTTCAGAACAAGGCGATTTTGACATTCTGCGCGATCTTTGACCTGAGCTGATCGCAGATCAATAGCCTGACGGTCTCATCCCTCGTCTCAAATCCCTCCAAAAGACCTCTTTCTTTCTCATCTCTCCACGTCACGTCCAGAACCAAGAGCTGCAATTTGGACAGATCCAAGGCCGAGGTGGGCTCTGATTCTGCTGAGTGGGGGTTCTCTGCTTCGAGAAGGGCGCGAAGACGTTGAGGTGTGCCTGCTGCGAGTGGGATCTTGTTATCTTTTAGCCACTCGACGTGTTCCTTGAGCTGATGAGCCGAGCAGAGAAGAAAGTCAGAGTACGTGATCACAAAATCCAAATACAGATGTCTGCCATCCTGCTCACGCACCTTGAAATGTCTAGCGAACAACTTGGCCACCGTCAACTTGCCTCTCTCTACCTTGGACGAGGCTTCTTGCTTCTTGGCTGGTTTGTTGCTCTTTTGCTTCTGACCTGCACCGCTTGACTCTTGACTTTTCTCTTCTGGGCCAGTCCGAGAACCGAGAAAGGCTCTCAAGCTCCTGCACAGATCTGCCGCGCGCATCGCGTTGCCTGTTACGACCAGACATACGGGCTGTGCAGCCTGTACCTCGTGCGGTTGCAAATTGTCGAGCGTGGCTGCGGTGCTTGGAGAGACTGATATGGATGTATGCGTTGCGATTAGCTCGATGGTTGGAGTGCCGCCGCAGAGTGAGGGTCAGAAGCCTACATGCTGACTCACCCGCCCGAATGAACTCGACCAACGCATCATCAGTCCTCTCTTCCACAAAATCTGTGGTCTCCACCAACTCCTGCTCTGTTTCGCGTCGAGACAGACTCTGAGCATGAGTTTGCGCAATGAAAAGCGACCCAAACGCTCCAAACAGCGGCGCGTTCTCCACACCACTCACGACCGATTGCGACCTCATTCAATTCCAAGTCGCTCTGATTCTCAAGGAACTTACACTTGCGCATCACTTTGCGCAAGTAGTCAGCTTGCAAATCGCAAGGTAGTCGGCCAGGTCCTCCCAGCGCGGTCATCTCAGACCTGACCTCGTTGCGCTTGATGGGCAAACCGCATTGCCAAAGAAAAGATCGATGGAAGAAAGACGCAGCAATACGCATGTGAGCAACCGCATACGCTACGCTGCACATGGCAGAGGCAGTCATGGAAAATTGCTTGCTCCCATGTGTACATGCTATATCTCTCACCTGCGCTTTGCGAGCTTTATCCCTCGCCTTTTGCTTTTGCTTCTTTTTGGCCTTCTTGGCCACCTCGTCCATGTCTTCCCCATCCGCATCGGCAGAGCGCTTGCGCTTGGAACTCAGAGCAGCGCGAGCCTCATCAGCCGACCGAGGTCCTGCTTCATCCTGGTCAAAGCCGACGTCGAGAGTAGCACCCTCGACTGCGGGCGATGGAGAGGTGGATGCTCGATCAAGATACTCGTCATCATCCAAAGCATCCGCCATTATCTCTCGTTCTTTCTTGCTGAGCAGTCAGATGAGATGCGTCAGGCGATTCTCGTGAGACCTATCTCGTCGACTTTGTATGGACGGAGGATTGAGAAAGCGTCAGAGACTTACGACTGCCACATCATCGACCATACGCGTGGCTTTGTGCGCACCGCAAGAAGAAACGTGGCTGTGCGGATTTTTTGTCTTGAGAGGGTGAAGCTCTAGTCACGTCACGTGGTCGTGATCACCCCGCCTTCTGGCAGGCCGGGGCGCGTGAATGCTCGCGTAAGGCTCGTATGCGCACGCAGCAGCAAATGTACCCGACCCACCATCTGCCATCCACCCTCAGAAGGACGTGGTTCTTGGGCAAACTTCTCTCGCCGCATCTGCTTGCGGTCGAGATTCAATATCGCAGTCTTCTGGGCAGAGGTAGCCGTCGCTACCGTTAACCTCGTCCTCCTCTTCATCCAAGCTATCACGCAAGCTCCAGCTCAAGATGTCAGTAAATGACGCCTCGTCCAGCAGCAACGCCTCCCTAGTGGAGGAGCAGCGGCGCATTCCACTCGAGGCGATACACACCCAACCCATCGCTCATCTTCATCTCATCGCTTCCTCGGCCCTCTCGCTTCGATCTCCTAAAGAGCTGTGGAATTGGGGGGGCACGTTTCGAGCCCGACCTCGGTTGATATTCGATCCCGTCAATGTGGAGCAATGTTGCGCGCTCGTGGAGCTTGCAAGAAGGGAGGAAAGGGAGATAAGAGCGGTGGGGAGAGCGCATAGTCCTGGAGACTTGATGTGGACAAAGGATTGGGTCATGAGGATGAAAGGATTAGAAGGTCTGGTAAAGGTGAGCAGGCCTCGTGCTTGTAGCGCTGCGAGCTTCCGCAACTGAACCGCCCGATCGCGCCTTTGCAAGATCGATCAAAGCGTTCCCAGCATCACTGTCCTGGGCGGAACGTATGTGTCTGCGATACATGAGATGCTCGCAGCAGCTGATCCTCCACTGGCCATGAGCAATGTGGGGTCCATCTCAGAGCAGACCATCGGCGGATTGATCTCCACAGCCACGCACGGCACAGGTGTCGACATGCCGCCCGTATCCGCCCTGATCATCTCCATGCGAATCATCGTCGCCTTGCCATCCGATCAAGGTGGCGTACAAGTGGTGAGGTGCAGCACAACCGAAAGGCCGGACCTGTTCAACGCTACACTCTGCGGATTGGGATGCACAGGGTTGGTGGTTGAAGCAGAATTAAAAGTGGAGCCGGCTTTCTGCCTGAGACAGGTCGCAGAGGAGATGCCATTTGACTTTTTGTTCGGCCCGAGCACCGGTGCTCCAAGCGTCATCGCGCAGGTTTCGCCTGCGCCATTTCGTCCCAATGCTTCAGGTCGCACCTCCGCAACTCCGACTGCCCCGACCGAAGTCACAGCATTCCCAGAGCGACTTATCGACACGCCCTCTCGTGAGAGTCTTGGTCATTTATTAGCTCAAGGTCGCCGCATTCCCACGACTCGGTCCAAATACCTGCCCAGCGTGCGCAACGAGGTTACAGGAACAGTTTGGCCTATACCTTCATCATCGGTGGACAACGTCTCGCGACTAGACCCACCAGACGAGGATGATGATGAGGAGACCAGATCCGCTCAGCGCAGAATTGGCACCATAGTCAACAGCACGCAGCATGCCAAGATCATGTACTGGCCTCAGGCGCGTATGTGCACCTTGTTCAGGCAGGACCGAACGTTCGAGGTGAGTGTGAAGAGCGCCTTTGATCAGCATGGTTGGCTGGCTCAACATGGCGCTGGCTGATGCCGCTACTTACGCACAGCCGCCTGTGCAAGCCACCCTGGCCAGCAGAGTGTACGGTCGATTGATTGGACACGATCTGGCACAATTCCTCCTGTTCGTCTCGCGCTACCATCGCTCGCTACCACCACGAGTAGGCAAGCTGGTGTTCAACCTCACGCACCCCTCCCCTCCACTAAAACACAAATCACATCCGAACGCTCACGGACAGGCCGGCTTCTCCTCTGCGGGCAATTTAGCCTCTGCACCACCCTCCCTGGCGCCATCCACCGCTCGCAAGAGGTCTACACCCACCACCAAACTCCACACGAGCCCGAACTTGCATAGCGATGGGACGCCCGTGGGCGTGTCCGCTGAAGGACGTGTCTCGGAGGAAGGCGAACACGTGAATGGGCCGTCGCAGCAAGGTCCCCGACGTGAGAGTGAGGGTGAGAGTGCCGGAGGTGCGCCAGCGGGAGTAGCGAGCGTAGGCCGTACGACCGAAGAAGATGCTTCAGAGACCTCTATTAGCTCGGCAGACGACTCCTCGCCTCACGCTTCGGCCGGAAATGTCATCGCCGCTGCCGAGCTGGGAGCAAGGGTTGGGGCTCTCAGGACGGCTGTCAAAAGAGGAGCAGTGGATCGACCTGGTCTGCCCGCGCACCGAGTCTCGCTCGAAGATTTCCTCTCTGGAGCTTCTACTAGCGCCACGCCGTCCACGTTTTCACCAATCATCTCTCGATCGAACGTCGCGCCATCCTTTGGACAGGGCGCAGGAAGAACAACGCGAAATCTGGGCGTTCATGCGCCTCTCTCCTCGGATCACGCGACCTATACGAGCGTGAATACGTCCCATTTGGTCTTCAATATGGATTGCCTCTTTCCTCAGTACACGACCGAGTGGGCGATACCTTTCGAACACACTGCTGCAGCCATTCGCGCACTTAGAGACTGGTTGGAAGCGGAACAGGCGAATAGCGACGGCGAAAGACCCCATTTCCCCGTGGAAATCAGGTTTGGGGATGCGGATGGCATCTGGTTGAGTCCGAGTCAGGGCAGAAAGACGTGTTTCATCGGCTTGATCCAGTTCAGGTGAGTCTCGACTTTTGATTTTCGGGATGCAGGCTTCAGCAAGTTCTCTCGCGAAGCCAGTGACCTTCATTGCCCCATGCTCGACGCTTTTCTGACCCTTTTATTGCGTGTCATGCAGACCTTACAATCGTCCGACGCGCTACCGCGTCCTGTTTGAACGCTTCGAAGCCCTCATGCGCTACTTTGCAGGTCGACCGCACTGGGCCAAATCGCACACGTGCGGCCACGCAGAGCTCAGAAAGCTATATCCTCATCTTGACGATTTCTTGAACCTTCGACGGAACGTGGATCCGGATGGAGTCTTTTTGAACCCGTATGTCAGGAGGCACCTGCTCGGAGAGATTGGCCAACATACGAATCCTAGGTTTTTCAAGGCCAGGCTTTGAGGTTGCCTACGACATTCGTCCCGAAGCCGGGTGTCTTTCGCTTGGCCAATCCATCTTCGCGATGCATAATGTGCTCGAGTCGACGGCCGACCCAGCAGGTCGCGCTGATCGCAGAAGTCACTTGTGCGACTGCGCTCGTCTTTGTTGCTCTGGCTGTATACCCCATTTGACATGGCAAATGAGACGAGTCTCTGATCTTTGATCTGACGCCACTCTCGTGCGCCAAAAGAAGCTGTGGAGATAGAGACGTAGCTTGTCATCAGATGCGTTGGTCGAAGTGAAAAGTAAGTCTTGCCAGGAAATAATGATGGATTGCTGAGGTGACGGTATTCGAGACTGGGGCTATTCGCAGTTGGCACAGAATTTGCTCTGCGATGCATACGAAAGAGATTCACACTTCTTCAGGGCTGATACATCAAGACGGTGCGCGAGAGTTCCTTAGCAGATGATGCAATTCGTCGAGTTCGTAGCCTCGCCGGCCTCATAGATGTGAATGTCGCCGCGTGCCTACGGGTCAATGGGTCAAGCACAGGTCAGTCATATGAGGGGCCGGAGAGAATCATGGGCAAACGACTCACAGTGATCAATTCGGCGCTATCTCCTCGCGTGCCTCTGATTCCCTCTACAGCTTCCGCTTTCGAAGCAACCTCGTGCGGTCCCAAGTGCATCGAGCTCCTGTTGCTGGCCGGAGCTGAGCCGCTAGCAGATTGGGGTCGAGGTGGTTGCTGATGGTTGTTCTTGACCTTTGTCCATCCTGCAGATTTTAATCGTCCAACTCCTCGATGCTTGTGCTTCTCTCCTAATTCTTCGTACCGCTCTTGAATAGCTTTGGACAGTTTGAGTTTGCCTGTCTCTGTTGACCAGCTGAGCATACCAGAAAAGGATGGCGGAAGGAAGAGGTGCACTGAGAAAAGCAGCGCGGGGAACCTACGTGTCAATGCAAGCGCTACATCTGCCAGCCAGGCATCGAATGCCTCACCATCTCCCGATTTGGACTTGAGACGGATCGTCAGCGGCGTCGAGAGCGTGTATTGCGGCTACAGCGGGGGGAAAATGGTCCACTTGAGTGGTCAGCCAACCTGGCAGCGTGGGAGATCAAGTAGAGCGAAAGCTGCAAAAGCCTGCGCAATCGACTCACAATGGCCACTCTGACGCTGCCCATGTAGCTCTTAGCATGTATGCCCACCGGTCTCCTCTTCTCCGTCGCTCCACCAACCTTGCGCTGACCGACGACCTTCTCGCTCTGCAAAGTCAATTGTTCCAAATTCTCATTCTGCGCCGCTTCCTTGACTTTAGCATGCGCCTCCTCATCTCCATCTCCCTGAACCACCACCGTCACGTTGACAGGACTGCCTCTCCCTTCGAACCAGGCGGAACTGGAACAATTTTCCAACTGCGTATCGCATGGACGATCGTAAATGGGAGGATGAAGATCGGCTACGAGTGGAGAGATGCAGTAGATTCCCTTGATGGATTGAGAAGGCTGCTCGATGCGAATGTGTCGTGCCACCTTTCGACCTGACACTTGCTTGGCTGTTTCGAGCGCCGTGAAAGCCCACGGAGGCAGCGTGTCTTGGGTGGAAGAGCTCATGCTCGCCTTCTGATGCTGCTGGTGTGCGGCTGGACGATGTCTGCTTGTCGCTCGTGCTGAAACGAAGGATGTTTACACCTCAGCCTATGGAAGCAGACTGACTTGGATAGAGAAGGCGTTGGGCACCTCCAGGTCGCGGCTGTATCTGAGCTAGGCTTGATTCAGGTCTGGATGGACGAGATTCGAGCTGCGCTTGGACAGGGTCCACCGGCTTGCTTGGCTGCGGTAGGCGCAGTACAGATTGTGAGCTTTGCTGACGCTCTCAAGCGCAAAGGCTGGTAGGTCTCGCTATTGTGGTTCAAGGGATGAAGGATGTGACCGATAGAAGCAGCAATGTGTCGCATGATGTACGAAGAAAGAGCAATCAACACCCACGGCTCATCACGCCCGATTCCTGTTTCATCAACCCCTCCACCCGGCTGGCAGTCTCCCGTAGACCCGAGCTGCACACCCCATTTCACTCGCCTCGCCTTTCCGCATACGCTCGCCCTTTGCAATCCCCGTCCCGTTCATGACTGCTGACACTTGACATGTATGGCAACGCTGTAGCTGGAGAGATGAAGAAGCCACATAGGGCAGCAGAGTGCAGAGGCGCTCGCATGCTGCTGCAGCGGACTACACAGCGCTCGGCAAGCCACACCCGAGAATGAGTGAGTGTGTGAGTTTGAGGGTGCATGGGTGCGGCTTGGGTCATTAGCGTGTACGGTGGTATACACGCACCTCCAAATTTTGGCTTTTCGCCCGAACATCGCCGCTCTCGGCCGCTGCCAGTCTCGAGCAAGATGCATTTGACACAAAATCGCAGCTATAGCTGATGCTGCTGGGAAGCGGGCCGGTGACGTCGCTGTGCGCTCCTCAGCTTTCCCGCCTTGAGGCTTGCCGCTCAGCAAGCAGATCACGATCCAACACATGCTCGTTTCACACGCACCACTGCTGTTGCTGCATGCCGATTGAGCTCTCCACATGCCCCTACGCGTTCGATTTTGACAGCTCGAGCTAGGCAAGACGTGAGAGCATGTCGTCGACTCAGCGCGGTCACACGACCTCGCCACGCCCTGCTTGCAACAAAAGCCATGAATTCGGTCTGATACAGATGTGGTTCCTGTAGGACGGGAACACGGGGCAGCGTCCGAAGCGCATTCCGAGACCCAATGAGAAAGGCACCAGATTCCGCGAAATTGCCACTACTACTACAATAGCTAAGCCGGCTGTGCAAATTGTGTGCGAGAGATGGGAAGAGGGGCGGAACTCAAAGACGCTTTGCGCAAATATATGTAATCGCTCATCGGCGACGAGGAGATAGGCTTTCGGAAGGACCACCAGGCCCGCGTACGCTTCCTTGGCGCAGCGTGGCTGTTTGCTCTGCAAAGGATCAAGAAGAGCGTCCTTCCAAGCATGTGAATACGCTTTCAAATACGACTTCATAACGTGACTGACTCACTTTCAAGTTCTTTGAACGCTGTCATGTGCTCTTCTGCAACACGTTTGTATCGTTCGACCGCTGTGAAAGATGGACGCGATCAGACAAATATCGATCTCATACCGCAATCTTCGTCTCCACCTACCCTTCTGAAGCGACATGATCAACCCGGACTCAACTCCCTGCTCTTCGCATAGCGCCACGTACGCTTCCTTCAACGAGTTGAGCTCCTCATTAGAGGCACGCAGATGCAGATTCTCATCGCGAAGCTGTTGCAGCTTTGCCCGAGCTTCGTTGGTCTCCTCTGAAGCAGTATGCAGCTCCTGCCTGAATCTTCGCCGGGAAGCTTCGAGGAGGTCGCTGACATCAGAGCTCTGGCCCTGAAGTAGTCGAGTCTCAAGCGCCTCGAGCTCAGCTTCCAAGAACTGTATGTGCTCATCTCGGGCCGCGACCATTCCTTGAACTTCGCGCGTCGATGCCTCCGCTTCCTGCAGCGCGAGTCTGGAGGACCGCTCCGCAGCGTGCGCCCTCTCCGCTGCGTCTCTGGCTTCAGCAGCGGACTGATTGAGAGACGCGACATTGATCTGGTGCTCTTGCCACTGTCGCTCTAAGCGCGCCTTCTCAGTTGCATCGTCCTTTCTCATCTGGACCTCTCTGTCTAGGCGCTGCTTGGCGTCTGTGAGCTGCGCCTCAAGAGCGGCCTGCGTCCTTTGCGAAGCGGCAGCGGCCTCGGTATTTGAGAACTTCAGTGACGCAGCTCCTGGTCCTCCAAAATCAAGAGAGGCTCGCTTAGCGCTAACTGGTGTGACCGTCGAGCCGTTGCGGGGCGCTGCGCTATTGTACTCGTAGTATGCGCGGGAGCTGGACACAGCGCCGCCCGTGTTGGAGCCGCGCAACGACGCGCCGTTGCCTGTGCTAGTGCCATTGAACTTGTGACTGCGAAGAGCCTCCCCTTTAGCCACCATGTCTTGCTGCAGCTCCTCAGAGCCAGTTTGCAGCTCAGCAAGTAGCTGCTTCCTGAAAGCGTCGCTAGCTCCACTGCCTCCTTGGCGAGCCAGGTTGGACAACTGCTGCAAAGTGTTGCCTCGAGCATTCTGAGAGCCGGCCAGATCTCTGTGCATCCGAAAAGTGCCAAATCAGTCATCTCTTTCTTAGACATAAGCGATTGGGCGACTTCACTCACCTTTCCAACGCTGCGATGCGGCTTTCGTACTGCGCCCGACTTCGGCTCACAGCTTCATCGAGCTGAAGGTCCTTGCGACGCGAATCTGACTGTGCGCTATCGCGCTCCCTTCGAGCAGCGGTCAGCTCCCGCTGCAAGTCGGCGACCTTGGTTTCCAGCGAGCGAACAGCTCGGTTGTCACTGCTCGTAGAGGCTGTCGAACCACTAGCACCGACGTTCTTCATGGTCGTGACGCCGCTTGAGCCAACATTCTTCATGACGGCACGATCGGCCTGCTGAAGCCGTGCCACCTCTCTTGTGAGATCTTCATTGTCCGTCAAGAGCCTGGTCTTGCTCTTCTCCAGGGTCTTGGTGTAGTGAGCAAGCTCCTGCAGCTTGCTTTGGGCTTCAGCAAGTTGCCTGTCGGTGTACTTCTTAGCCTCCTCCAGAACGTGGACGTGCTCAACGATGGTCTTGTTCGTCATGGACTGCGCAGTCTTGAGCTCCGCTTGCGTACCCTTGAGGGTTTCACGCAGGCTATGGAGCTCCTGATCTTTCGCACCATGCTGTTGCTGAAGCACGCTAATATTCCGCTCGTGCTGGCGTGAAGAGCTTTCGAGCAGCTCTCTTCGCTTCGACTCTGCAGAGAGTTCCACGGCTGCCTGATCGGCCTTTGCCTTCCAAGCTGCTTGTCCACGCTCGAGCTCCAGCATGGCATCTTCAAAGTCTCTAGCTTTCGCAGCTGCACCATTGACTCGGGCCAGTGCTTCTTGCAAAGCTCGGTCCGAATCCGCCTGCGATCTCTCGAGCGCCGCGATGCGATCTCTCGCTCCTTGCAAATCGCCATCGGCGGCACGTTGAGCTTTTTCGGCCGCTGCCACGAGAGACCTGTTCTGCACGAGGGCTCGCTCTGACTGATCGGCCTTCTGAGCCAAGTCATCTCTCACCCGAGAAAGGTTGGAATGCTCCTGCCGTAGCTCCTCCAGGCTGACACGCAGCGCCGCGACTCGCTCACTGCTAGTGTGCTCCGCATCTGCATGTTGTTTCTGCATTTGGGCGAGCTCAGATCTAAGGCTTTGCAGCTCTTGTTCCTTCAGTCGGTGCAGCTCTCGTTGCTTGGTATCTTCAGACGTCTTGGCGTCCATCAAACGACGAGTCTCATCGAGCTCCTTTTGCAATTGCGAGCGCAAGTCGGCGGCTCGCCCTCCATCGGCTTGTGCAGCCTTCAATTCTTGCGCAAGCGTCTCCTGAGCAACCTTGAGCTCGCCAAGCTGACGGGTCAGCGCATCACGTTCGCGGGTCAGCGTCGTCACCGAGTTCATGAGCTCTGCTAGTTCACTGCTCTGCTTGACTAGCTTCGCTTGTAAATCTGCGGCGCCGGCAGTCGCTTCAGCAAGTTCCCGCGCAGAGGTCCTGCCGTGATTCTCTAGCTCCACGCTCTTGGCTTCGTGTTGTTGCCGCACTTTGGTCTCCTCCGCGAGCCGCAGCTCGACGGCAGCTACCGCTTCATTCATGCGTTTCTGAATACGCTCAAGATCTTGATCTTTCTCGAAAATCTTCCGCTTGAGGTCTGCACTTTCGCTAGTAAGGGACGATCGTTCTTGCTGCAGCTGCGTCAGCTCGCCAGCATGTCGAGTCGCTTCCGCGGTTATCTGAGCTTCGCGGTCTTTGCTAGCACTCTGCTCTTGCTCCAGTCTGAGGATCTGGGCAGTGGCTGTGCCGAGCGCTGCTTGCAGCTCGGCGCGACTGACTTCCGAGGCCTTCTGCGATGCGAGAGCTCGTTCTACTTGGCTGTCCAACTGGTCGAGCTCGGACTGCATGGTAGCAAGCTCTTCCTCCAGCGCCGACTCGCGCTCTTTTGATCGAGCCAAGAGTTGGTCCTTCTCTGCTAGAAGGGAGCGCTCAGCCTCTAAAGCGTCTTCTACTTTCTTCTTGTCCGCCTCTAGGGTGTGCTTGAGTGACTCTAGCGCTTCTCTTTCTCTTTGATCTCGCTCCGCCCGCTCTTTGACCATGGCGAGCTCGAGTTGCTTGCGCTTCAACTCTTCGTCATGCCTGGTGCCAGTCAGCAGTGGCCTGACCTTGGTGTAGACCTGCCACCACGGCCATTCGCGCAGCTGCACGTAGAGTCTCGCATTGCGCTGGATCGTGCGCACGGCGGCAGCTCGGTTGAGGATCTTCTTCATCTGCCGACGAGCAGTAAACATTCGACATGCGCCTTGGAACCTCGAGAAGATATCAAACAGCAGCGCATCGCGTCTCTCTTCCAAATCAGCCAGAACGCCAGCCTTGAAGAAAATTTTCGTCAAGCCGACTTTGAAGAGTGAACGGTCGAGCTCGAGTGCCTCCACCATCCTTTGGCATGCCTTGCGTCCATCCATATAGCCACGAGGGATGATGCCTGGCGTCAGGACCTCGTATCGATTGCGGAATTCCGTGAAAAGCAGGCGATTGGGGTAGCCGAGTCGGGCGATACGGATGCCTTCAAGAACGCCATTGCACCTGAGCTGCTCGAGGACCAAGGGTACGTCCATCTTGCCGGGTTTCTTCTCGTGATTCGGCACAATGCATCGCACGAAATGGGGCTGCGTAGACGAGAGCTGACCCATGAGGGATGTCAGCTGCTCTTTGTGTCGCTGCGCTACCGTCCGGAAAGCTCCCTTCCTTATGCGCCGCTTGGGACCGCCAATGACTGGAGTACCTGCGCTTTGAGGTTGGGCTGCTGGCGCATCATCGCTTGCAAATTCGCTGAACAATGCAGCAATGTAGCGATCGCTCGATTCCGACATGACTCTGGTAAGGTTGTCGTTGAGAGGATCCTTGTTGCGCTCTAGCCAGCCAGCAGTCCGATACTCGACATCGCCAGCGTAGTGCTTCACTGTGAAGCCTTGGCCGAAGCGTGAAGAGGCGAACTTCGTGGATCCATGTGCCACACCTCTCTCGGTTGCCCAGGCCTGCCCTGCCGTGTCCTTGGCTGTGCCGTCTTTGTTTGTTGCCCAAATGCGGTTGAGCTTTTCTGTGAAGGTGGTGTCCGTGGCCTTCGGCATGATGCACTCTTCATCGAGACACGACAGGATGCCGATTGGACTTGTCGCCTCGATCAAGTCGATGGTGGGCTGCAAGTCAAGGCCAAAGTTCACAAAGTCCCATTCGATGGCCTCTCTTGCGTACTCTTCTTGTTCCAAGACGAACATGTGGTGGTTGAAGAATTGTTGTCTGGCATGCCAAAATCGTGGGGCGAGCGTCAGACCATCACGAGTAGCGAAGCGACTCAAGCCAGACTCACAGCTTCTCGTTTGTGAAGTTGATAAGAAGCTGCTCAAATGAATTGACCTCGAAGATTTCGAAGCCGGCAATGTCGAGCACTCCGATGAATGTGCTCTTGGATGTAGGCCGATCCAACGCTTGATTGATGCGATCCACAATGGTCCCAAACATCTTCTCGTACATTGTCTTGCAAAGTGCAGCCATTTCGTCCTGCACCTGTTGCCTCGTGCGGGCCTGAGCAACCCATTCGCGCCCAGCTTTGATTCTAGGTCTGACAAGTGCAGTTGTAAGCTCCTGCACGGGTACACCCAGCAGATGACAAGCCTTTTCGACCTGTGCGCCATTTGTGATACGGGCCTGCTCAGATCGGTCATCAGCAAGCTCAATGTTGCCGACCTGAAGGATGGAAGCGATCACTTTGAAGAGGTTGTGTTGCTCCTCCGAAGCAAAGCCTACCATCGATAGTGCCTCGATTAGCGCCTGCCACTCTGATGTGTCATCGACTCCCTCGACATGCTTGCGCGAAGCTTTGAGATAGGCGTAATCTTCTGGCGATGATGTAAGCAAAAGGGCCTCTACAGCAGCCAGAAAGAAGCGCGTGTCAGCTGGCTGATTCTGACGTCATGTAGAAAAAGCGAAACTGACTTTTCAGCCCCTCGTCTCTGCTGCGCAAGATCTGATAGAAGATGTGGAAGCTTCGCTCCTTGTCGCTTCGCGTCGTCACTCGACTCTTCTCAAGCAAGTACCAGTCGATGTTGGCACCAGCAATAGCTCCTACGCTTGTGAATTCAATCCTCACAAACTTGCCCTGGTGGCGCAAGCAGCGTCCACGCTCTGATGTCAATACACGTACAGAACGTTGAATGACGAAAGATCACGGCATACACTCACGAATCGTGAAGAGTTGTTGTTACGGATTGTTTGCGCGTTTCCGAAGGCCTCTAGAATTGGGTTGGCTTGCAGAATTTGGCGCTCCAGCAAGCCGAGTCGCTTAGACGCCAAAGCCTCCACGCCTCGCAGCTGATCCAAGACATGACGAGAGCTGTGACTCCGCACAATACTGCCAGTGCGCTGTGCAACGGGCTCAGTTAAGGGAGAGCCGATCCCAGCAGCCTCCTCGCCAGTCAGCCCACCAGTAGGATCCGCCGCGACGGCTGCGAGGTACTGAATGACCTTCTTTGTGTTCTCGGTCTTTCCAGCACCAGACTCTCCGCTAATTTGGGTGCGCTGGACGTGTCAGTCGACTATCAAGACGCGCATACCAGCTAAGTGATCCAGACACTCACGTCACCAACAGCGACTGATTTTCGCGCATCTCTAGCATGTTCCTCATGGCCCCATCTGCCAGCGCGAACACATGCGGCGCGTTCTCCTCCCTCCTCCTGCCTTTGTAGGCTGCGATGATGGCATCCGTATAGATGGGCAAATTGCGGTACGGATTGACTGCAACCAAGAACAATCCGGAATATGTCTGAGTAGACTCGCTGGGTCAGCTTGCGATGCATTGCACGTTCTCAAAAGGTAAAGCATCCGGCGCACTCACGTAGATTAGACCGCTGTAGTATCGCTCTTTCAGATTGTGCACTACAGAAGCTTCATTTAAAAATGTCAAGTCTGCGATGTCTTCTGCCTTTTCGAATTTGGGTGGGTTCATCTTGCTAAGGTCGTCCGTCGCCACGTTTCGCGACTGTGAGTGGAAAGGCATCGCTTGTAAGACGCATCACAAGCGCATGTGCCTTGCATTGATCGCTCTTCGACGGATACTTACCGATCCATCTGCCAGACTGCAGACGCTTGTTTCGCCATTGCTCTCCTCCCTCACGACCCAAGCTGACAAGTACCCCGCCGCCTTGTCAGGGATCCAGACGTATCTCCTCGAAGCAAATTCAGCGGCTGCTGCCGCATCACTGGCGGCTGCCGTGGAAGCCATCGTGAGCACCCTAGATTGTTGTGATCAGCCCTGCCAACGCTTGCAAGGTTGTAGGGGACCGGTGGGTAGCTGAATGATCCTCGCCCTCCTGTGAATGCCAGCAAGAGACGACAGTCGAGGCGACAATCACGGCGAAATTGTGAGGTTGCACAGTGAGGAGCAAAGATTCCCTTCTGAATGGCTTGTAGTAGTGGGCGTAAGCGAGATGGTGTATGTGGAGCTGAGATCGGATCCCAACAGCGCTTGACTGCGGTATCCCTCAAATTAGATGTGGCCGCACGAGTCGTTGATGATGTTTAACTGGCCCTGCTACACGCGTTGTTCGCCGTGCCCGCGGGGACGTGCTTGTTTGACGCGGTTGTGATGCCGCGAGTGCGCGGACCAACCCACGTCAGGAGCTGTTTCGCCTGCATGTTTGTCTTGGATTGAGACGCGGGCCGCGCTCGAGCCCAGCTGATGCAGGCAAGCAAGCAGCGCGCGTGCATGCATACGCATGAACGCGCGACCTCAGGGGTCCACTCATCACGTGTGTAATTTCGCTCAGCGCCTCAGCCTCAACCTGAACGCGCGGGTGTCTGCTGTTGCGTATCGTGCAGTTTTTTTCTGATTCGCAGGTCTTGAGTCGAGTCTGAAGCAAAGACGTCACCTGTCCTTGGCATCCTAGGGAAGGCAATGACAAGAACGAGAGAAATGGCCAGTCGAGGCCACGTATCGTGGTGCACTCTCACTCTTGGCGCGAGCACTTCGCGAGCCGAGAAGTGACACGTCGACCTTGACACTGCGTAACTATAGTACCCGTCTGACGACATTCTAGGAAGACATGCCACGATAACCAACACGCCACAGACACGCCATTGCGTCATTATCGCACACGTCAGACCACAAGAAGGATGACAAAGGTGCATCTCATTTTGATGTCATAGTCGTAACGGAAGGCAGACCTGCGCGCTTGCCAGGTGTGTCAGTGAGCACGTAAGGGCCGAGGAAACGCGGGCGCGGAATTCTATTGATGCACATCAGCCCATTTAGTCCAGAGCTTCGAGCTCAGAAGCGGCGTTTGCATCGCCAGCCTTCTCCTCGACGGCGGGAGCGGACTCCTCTTCTGGGGCCTCTTCAATCGAAAGACCGAGAGCGATGAGGGAGTGAAGACGAGTGGCGAAAGATGCTGGGTCGCCCAGGCTGAATCCGGAAGAGAGGAGAGCCACATCGTACAATAGCCAGACGAGATCGCGTACGGTAGAGTCGTTCTTGTCTTGAGCAACCTTGCTCTTCAACTCCTTGATGATGGCATTCTTGGGGTTGATCTCCAAGGTCTTCTTGCTGGCCATGTAGCCTGACATGGAAGAATCACGGAGGGCTTGAGATTTCATGATACGCTCCATGTTGGATGACCAGCCGAATGCACCGGTGACAATGACGCAGGGGGATCCGACCACACGGTTGGAAGGAGTGACCTTCTCGACAGAGTCGCCGAGAATCTCCTTGATGGCAGTGCAGAGGTCGGAAACGCCCTTGGCCTCCTCCTCACGAGCAGCTTTCTCCTCGTCGGTCTCCTCGAGCTCGAGACCTTCCTTGGAGACGCAAACCATCTTCTTGCCGTCGAACTCCTTGAGTTGGGTGACGGCGTACTCGTCGATGGGGTCTACCATGAGCAGAACTTCGAAGCCTTTCTTCTTGAGGACCTCGATGAAGGGAGAGTCCTTGACGGCGGCCAGAGACTCGCCGGTCAAGTAGTAGATGTTCTTCTGGATTTCTGGCATGCGAGTGATATACTCCTTCAGGCTGGTGAGCTCGTCGCCACTCTTGGTAGAGTGGAAGCGCAGGAATTCGGCGAGCTTGCTGCGGTTGGCAGCATCCTCGTGGATACCGAGCTTGATGTTCTTGCCAAAGGCCTCCCAGAACTTGTTGAAGTTGTCTTTGTCCTCGGCAATTTCGCTGAACATCTCGAGAGTCTTTTTGACAATGTTCTTGCGAATGACCTTGAGGATCTTGTTCTGCTGCAAGGTCTCACGAGAAATGTTGAGGGGCAGGTCCTCGGAGTCGACGATGCCCTTGACGAAGTTGAGATACTCGGGAATGAGGTCCTCACAGTCGTCCATGATGAAAACACGGCGGACGTAGAGCTTGATGTTGTTGCGCTTCTTCTTTGTCTCGAAAAGATCGAAAGGAGCGCGCTTGGGAACGTACAGCAATGCCTTGAACTCGAGCTGACCCTCGACGCTAAAGTGCTTGACAGCGAGATGGTCCTCCCAGTCGTTCGACATCGACTTGTAGAACGCTCCGTACTCCTCAGGAGTGATCGTCTGGTGGTCGCGAGTCCAGATGGGCTTGGTCTTGTTGAGCTCTTCGTTGGTTGTCTGTTGCTTCTTGACCTTCTTCTTCTCCTTCTTCTTGGCATCCTCGTCATCAACTTCTTCAATCTTCGTCTTTTGTTCACCGTCGTCTCCCTCCTCCTCCTCAACTTCCTCCTCAACCTCCTTGGTCACAGCGAGCTGAATTGGGTAAGAAATGAACTCGGAGTGCTTCTTGATCACATCCTTGATTCTTTTCTCTTCGAGATACTCCTTCTGGTCCTCCTTGAGGAAAAGCCTGATTTCAGTGCCGCGGCCAAGGGAAGGGTTTTCTGTGTCGGGTCTGATGGTGAATGTACCTCCAGCGGATGACTCCCAGATGTACTGCTCGTCGTCATTGTGTTTTGTAATGACCTGCATGGTGTCTGCCACCAAGTAGGCGCTGTAGAAGCCGACACCAAATTGTCCAATCATGCTAATGTCCGCACCAGAAGACAAAGCCTCCATGAATGCCTTTGTTCCAGACTTGGCAATCGTTCCAAGGTTGTTGACTGCGCACGTAGGTGATTGGGATTAGCCACGGCTTGCGGATCTGCACGAGACGAAGAATCGCTTACCAAGGTCTGCCTTTGTCATTCCGATACCAGTGTCGCGGAGAGCGAGCATGCCAGCCTCTTTGTGTGGAGTAATGCGAATGTACAGCTCCTTCTCGCTGTCGAGCACGCTGGGGTCGGTCAATGAAGCATATCGAACCTTATCCAAAGCGTCAGATGCGTTGGAGATGGCTTCTCTCAAGAAAATCTGGCCATTGCGAAACGTGGCACGACGATGAATCAGTCACGCGGTCGGAGCACGAGTGGAAAGCGCGTTGTTTGACCAACTCACCTCCTTGGTCTGGTACAGTGTGTTGCACACCAGATCCAAAAGGGCCGTGGTGTCGGCGGCGAAGCCGAAGGTCTCTGGGGCAGCGGCGGCCATGTTTGTTATCTTTAGGTGCTAATTCGAGAAACGAAGCGCGTGTATGTGAGGCAAGGCTTGTGTGACTGTTCAGGGTGGTATGCTCGAGCGTAACAGCCTCTGATGCGGATGATGATGGGATCGTAAATGGTCGAGCTCTCAAGAGGTGCGATTGAAGGTAGCATTCGCAGCCACAGGAAATTTAAGCTTCTGCTCGTCTTGCCTCCTGCGCAGAGAAGTTGGTCTGGCCCTGCATCTGCAGCATGGTCGGCACAAGGCTTCGGCGCGCTTCCACAAGCCCAAGCGTCCGTGCGGGCGCACCTCTTCTCCACAGCGCGTCGCCCACGCAGCAGCATGCTTCTCCAAGGCTCCAGAAGAAAAATTGCAGGTGACGGAAGTATCACGTGACAGACCTTTCATCAGCCCCATTCTTGAATCAATTCTTTGTCGGAACAAGGTCCTTGCTTCCAGGGTCGAACGCCAAGAAATCATGCCTCTACAGTTGCCATTCGTGATTGGTGCTTGTCGTTGTGATTGTCACGATTGCTCTATGCTTTTGAGCGCGATGAGAAATTGTTCGCATGATTGTATTCGCACAAAGCAGCCCAGTCTTCCGCCACTACAATGTGTGTCTCGGGCACAGGTGCTTCTCGACAGTCAAAGTAGAGCAGCTTCGCTGTGTAATCGTCGCAGGAATCATCACCGATATTCAAGTACGGGCGTCCACGTCGGCGCAGCTGGACAACGAACACACCCTCAAGGCGCGTCAAGCTTAAGACTACATATCATCGTACATCAAGCTTGGCAAGAAAGTTGCATTGCAACTAGAGCTTCTTTCTATCTCTGTCCAAGGCGTGTCTTCGCGCATCTTCACGTTCCCGTGTCCTGTGACGTGGATCGCGTTCCTGATGATATTTCGAGCTTGAAGCCTCACTTCGATCGGAGCTTCTCTTGATCAAGCTGTCTCTGACCGCTTCTGCCTTGGCACGCGCAGCTGCCGCTGCATCCGCGCCACTGGAGCGAGACTCGTGGCCTCCGCTGCTTGACGCAAAATCTATCGACCTCGCCTTCCCAAGTGCTTGAGCCGCTTCGCGCTCTTCCTGTTGACGCCTCTGCATCTCGGCTGAGGGGCGATTCAAACGGCTCCTTATAAGCCTCCGAGTGTCCTCGCCAAAAGGTAGCGCGCATATCGCTCACCTAGCCGGTCTTTGCCACCTTCTCGGACCATCGCACGCCTCTCCGACTTTGTCGCTGCCCAAGTGTTGGGTGCCATGTCCGGGTAGAGTGTCCCACTCTCATCAACCTCGACCCATCTGACCAGCTTGTCAAATATATGTGGATTGCGAAGTTGGCGATTCCGGGCGAGCGAGACATTGAAATGAGTGCCCTGCGCTTTGAGTCCGTGAAAGATTGCGAGCTTTTCCTGCAAGCGATGCCAGTTTGCGTCCATGCTTCAGCTACGTTGTTCAGGTCTGCCCCTCTGCCGTGTTCGGCTCTCACCTGAGTAGCCACATTCACGTCGCCTCGCGAAGGTAAGCCTAGCCCCCACTCGTGATCCTCCAAACCATCTCGGTCAACAAGCGGAGGCGGCCCCAAAAGACTGAGAAGAGCTTGCGAATCCGCTACCACTCCGCCAGCCATCCGGAATGGCCCTGCATTACTTGTCTCGCTTGTTTGCTCCGTGGAGTCCGCGCGTGGCTCCGGCGAAAGCTCTTGCCTGAGAGACGAGGCCCCAACTAGCGATCTTGAAGCATGCGCATTCAACTTCTGCCGTGAGGGTGACGAGGCTGCAGGCGAGCCCGCGCGTTTGACTCCTAAAGACGTGCCTTTGGTGCCAGCGGTAGGTGCGTGCCCGGCACCATGCGGTGAAAGGAGCTGAGATGTGGGTCGCTCGAGTGGCGATTGTGCAGCTGGACTTGTGCCCATCGAGGACGTGCTGGCGTCCTTGACTAACGAGGAGACCTACAACAACATCAAGGCTGGTCCGCGGTTCAGATAGTGAGGGGTCTGGATGCGTGCTACCTGCTGCTCAAAACTTACCGGTGTTCGGACCGCATGAAAAGTAGAAGTATCGAGAGAAATCTCCGGAGTGGGTCTGGTCCCCTTTGCTGTCCCGGTGTGTTTGGACTTGGCCGTCTTTTGGTGTGGACTGCTGTCGCCACGTCCACTGCCGTCCGAGTCATCCGAAGAGTAGCCTGCCACGGCTGCGAATGCAAGTGCATTTGCGATTGGTCATTGTAGGCTTTCCCGCGATTCAAGTCTACGCTCACGTACTATTCATCGTCAAGAGCCTTTTGTCGAGCCAGCCTATCTCCACGCCTTTGGGATGCCCTCGGCTGTGTCCATGCTGCTCGAACCTCAGCTTGCGGTAAAGTCGCTGAAGGATGCAACAAGTCAAGAATTTGATGAGTGCAATGGCCTGGAAGTGCAACTCAAGACTCACACTGGCAATCTGAATGTATCCTTGCAGTAGCTCGTGAGGCCCCTTCTAGCGAGCTGGGGATTTACGACTGCAATCACGTGAATTTCTGATTGTGATCAGCCAGAATGGCCTGTGCAAAGGCGCGTGGCTCTCATGCATGGCGGAGGGCATCCCGAATCAAGTGAATCCCTTTGCCTCGTGACGTTGGCGCACGCGTCGACTAACCACGTGGTCGATTGGGCTGGACCTCCACCAGCCGTCAGCATCGTTCGCGATCCCTTGCGCACGGACACCCTGCGCAAAGTCCGGGCACGTCATTCGTGATTCCTCTGCGCTCTGGCGCTCAGACTCATCTGAAGAGCAGAGAGGCATGTAAGTCTTAAGTACCCACATGCGTGCGGTGTGAGCATTCACGATCAAATCACGAATTATGAATGAGACCACGTAGATGTACGAACCGAACTCACGCCTGTCAACCACACCACCACAACCGAAATCGCATTGAACTCAAGCATACACTCTCACACCCGCTGGAAGCACACACCATGTGTAAGTAAGCTTCGCTCAATCGAGAGCGCGTTCGTCACTTCACGCGGAGCTGACGATGTGTTGCCTCTTCTACTCTGCCTTTTAGCGGAACACACTCTGCCCCAGCTCCCTTACGCATACAATGCTCTCGAGCCTGCCATCTCTGCCCAGATTATGGAGATCCACCATTCCAAGCACCACCAGGCATACGTGACCAACCTGAACGCCGCCGAGAAGGCTTACGCCCAGGCTGCCAGCGCCTCCGACGTTCGCAAGCAGATTGAGATTCAATCTGCTATCAAGTTCAACGGAGGTGGTGAGTGCGGTGGAATACTGGCTTTCCAGAGAGGCAAATGCGGGCTATGTATGAGTGAATTGCCAAGCTCACGCTCGCTCCACGCTTGGCCGATACCCAGGACACCTTAACCACACCCTGTTCTGGAAGAACTTGGCCCCCTCCAGCCAGGGCGGAGGTCAACTCAAGGATGGTGCGTCGAAGCTGCCATTAGCTCGTATGACGCCCGTGCTAAACATGACGTTTTGTCTGTATAGGTGTTCTCAAGCAGGCTATCGACCGCGACTTTGGTTCGCTCGACAAGCTCAAGGAGCAGTTCAACAAGACCACTGCTGCCGTGCAGGGCTCCGGCTGGGGATGGCTTGGCTACAGCCCAACCACTCAGAAGCTTGAGGGTGAGTTTGATAGCATGTATTGGACCAAGGAGGAGACAGCGGCATTCTTACTTTGCCGCGCTCGCCCCTGCGCCGCCTCGCAGTCGTCACCACTAAGGACCAGGACCCTTTGATCACCCACGCACCTCTGCTTGGCGTTGATGTCTGGGAGCATGCCTACTACCGTGAGTGATGTCATTGCCCGTAGACTCTCCTCGAATTCCGCTGATCCTTTGTGTACTCCCAAATTTCACAGTCCAATACCAGGTTAGCCTTTCAGCGTCACCCCTCTCTCACCGCTCGCCCGCAGCTAGCTGACCACTCCCTCTCGACTCACACAGAACTTGCGTCCGAAGTACCTTGAGGCCATCTGGTAAGTCCGGGGCTTCGCGGCACTGTTTGGCCGGTCGCTAACATCTGGATCGGCTGCGCAGGTCTGTCATCAACTTCGACGAGGCCGAGAAGCGTCTCAGCGAGGCCCAGAAGAAGGCTCAGCTTTGAGTTTTGTTTGCCAAACCCAAGTCATTCAAGCCGACTTCGAGTCTATACTGGTGCGATGAAATGAAAACGAGTTGAACGTCGTCTGCTGCTGTTGATTGAAGTTCGTGCACCGACGTTCTCGTGCATAAGCCAGCAGCTTGCCTACAAGTCCGAGTGACAGTGCAGCTAGCGGACAGACAAATTTCAGCTCCTTGCGCTCAAAGTCAGGCATTGACTCCCTCCTCGCACTCCTACTTGACTACACTTCGCAAGTTGCTGAGATCATAGCTCATCTCGCCGTGACGCATCATTTCAAAGTTTTTGAGTACAGAGATGGTCCGACAGCCAGCGTCGTAATGCTCGCGCTTCCACCTTACACGGCTTGATGTCCTGCCTGAGCGAATCCAGGCTCTTTCGGAGCATCACCCAGATCTGCAAGGCGCAAATGGCGGAAACTTGGCTTGCTCACGACTCAAAGATGGACCTGGTGAGCAAGCTGTCTGGGCAGACTTAGACTCGACATGAAAAGTCAGGCATATACAGCTGTCCAGACACATTTTCACAACTCACGACCCAAAGCAAAGGTTTGCGAGATGCCTTGGTAGGGCAAGCTACTACACTACCGACGTGCTGGTTCGCACGGATCGATTGACTCGCAACACCGACAGTCACGAGTCTGGAGCGCCGTCTGGCTTTGACTCAACTGGATTGACGATTGATTGCAGCTGCGCTATGAATGCGGATCTTGACGCCATACACGACACAAGACTCACGACTGGCACGGGCACGGTGAGCTCTCGTCATCAGCGCAAAGGCATGTACGTGTACATATATATACACGATCCAGCCTCGGCGCTTCAGCCCACGCGGCGTTGATGCAATCACGAATGAGGCGCAGCGAAAAAGGCCGACTGAGCAAGCGAGCGCGCTTTAGCATGATGTGATGCGGCAAACGGCGGGTGGTTCGGCGTACACTCATAATCTGCTGATTGACGCAGACCTAGCTCTCTCGCACGCATTTCGGAGCCGGGCCGACTTGATAGGAATCGTGAATGGATAGTCATGATCGAGCAACGACTTGGAGCTATATATATATATATATATATATCAAAGCTCGATCCTTTGCGGCGGTCTACAGGCGGAGGGCAATCGCGGCCAAACGCGCGCCGTGACAATGCGCGCGTTCAGCAGCAGCAGGAAAGAGGTCACGGCGCGCGTCGCGCTCGCTAGTTGCTGCTAACCACATGCTTAGCTGCCTTGCGCAGCAGAGGTGTCGTCTTTCGAAGAAAGAAAAGCGAGGTGGTGCGCGTGTAGAGACGCGTGAGTTGGACCGTTGCTCATGCTGGCTGGATGTACGCTGTTTGTTGCATGAATGGTGAATCTTGAACGCAATCAGAATGTGAATGTGAATGAATGAGATTTACACAACAGGCGACGAATATTAAGGTCCGTCATTATCACTGTTCTTGTTTACCTCGTGATTCAAGATTCTGATTGCTCATGCAGTACGGTGCGCCCCGCGACGGCGGATCAGCGGAGTGATTGGAAAAGGGGGGGGGGGGGGGGGGGGGGGGGGGGGGGGGGGGGGGGGCATGTATCAAATCGACTGGCGCTTCTAGCCGCTAGCGCGCCATCAGCGGACCTTTTGCATTTATAGGGGAAGCGTTGCCCTCCCCACTCACGCTCAACTACACTGGTGACTCGAAACCGTGTGTGTACCTTCATCGGCGTGGATGAATGACTGCCTGTCTGTGTCATGTGTTGCTGAGCGAAGTCTCTTTCATTCGTGATTGCAGGTATGGCCTCGTTGCCGTGGAGGTGTGTCTGGCTAGGAGGGGAACGAATTTCCTACACGCAGCATTGTTCACGCTCGAGTGCTAACCTAAGTCTTGTCAGAGAATCGGTCGAGTGACCGCGCGGAGCAATTGCCAAGTCTGCAGCACCGCGCAAGAAACAACGCCAAGATGCTCGGCCTGCGCGCAAACGCAGCAGCCTGTTCCAACGTGAATGGTGAATCAAGAGTCAAGAGTCTCCTCTATCCCTGCTGTTTGAGCAGTCATTACCCATGCAATCAATGTGGGCGTCAATGGAAAGGTGAAGTTTCGCATGGATGCAGCTGAGAGCAGCAACTCGATCCCAAGAATTGCATGAATCTACTACAGCAGGGAAGAGGGAGGTCTTACGGTGCGCCAAATCGACATCATGCAACTCTCATGCTCGCGCTCGCCGAGCGTGCCGAGCAAGGCGCGAAATCAGCCTTCATGCGGCGTGCTTTGTCTGCTTTAGCTCGTTTCACCCGGCCGCCCAGCTGTTGACCCGACCCTTTGGACGGAACACTTGGCGACCGTTACCCTGATTAACACCTTCCGATCCCAGACTTTGTCATTCTGCTCCGTCTTCTCCTGTTGCACATTGTGATTGCTTACGATCTTTTTCGCCGCTTGTTGACACCGTATCTGACCGTTGCATTGAGTTCGTTGGCCCACCGCACGACTAATCAGCTGCTGCATATCACCTTTGACTTCTGGCGACCCACCTCTCCCTCGGATCGGATTTGAAGTTCGCCACTTCCAAAATCATCCGCATCACCCGTGACGGCCGCCCCACTACCTCCTGACGACATTGATTTATTACTGACTGCTGGCCTCGACGACTGGACGTTGAGTCTCTGCTTTCTCCAACACTTCAGCATACCCAATTTTAGTCGCCGGTCGGCACCCCAAGCACTGAGTCACATTGAGACATTCGTCATTCAGCACGACGACACAGCCTTTCTGCAATGTTCGCACGGAGTCTGACGGCACTGCTACTCCTGAGCAGCCTCCTTGTTGCTTTCGCTGGTTCTGCATCCGCGCACGCCAGCGGTGTCAAGGTCGAGCGGCACGCTGCCCGCAATGCCCGTCTTTCAAAGCGCGGAGAGGGAGGATGGGGTTTGGTGGAGCAGGCGAACGGCACGCGGACATCAAACATTCCTGTCCGGGGAGGTCAGGTGAGTAGCATCGTCTCGTTCCGCATTCACGATCGTTCTTGCTGCTCCCGCACGCCGCCGACGCTCGGTGCTGCAGAGTGCATGAAGACGGACGCCGAGGGCAAACACCGCTCTTGGGTGTGACGCAAAAAGACGCCGGCAAGCCTCATTCATTACGGGCGCTGCGTGCATGCTGACGCCGCTTCATTTGCGGTCGCAGTATGAGCTCTATGCATGGACACGAGACAATGTGACGGAGGATGCATACAAAAACTTGAAGAGGATCGTGTTCACCACGCACGGAATGGGCAGAGATCCATGGAACTACCTCTTGCACACACAAATCGCCTTGACTGCTGCGGTGGATGCTGGGTTGCCCGTGCAAGATGGCGAGATGGGACTGTGGGCACCGAGCTACTGGAACCAGATGGACGATCCGGTCGCCAATCGCACGGACACCAATTGGCTCTTTTGGTATCGCAACGAGTGGGAAGATGGCCACAACAGCATTCTGCCTGAAGGATCCAGTGTCTCGTCCTTTGAAGTCTTGGACAATGTCCTTGCTTACTTTGGCAACCGTACCATCTTCCCCAACGTCGACTCCATCGTGCTTGCGTCCCACTCTATGGGGGCCCAGATGATGCAACGATACGCCTTGCTGGGAAATATGCCAGACATTGAGCCAGAGGTCCACTTTGTTGTCGGCAACCCTGGTGCATACCTCTACATCGACGACCAGAGGCCAGTGGGCGCCGGTGGTGCAATGCCTCTGGACAACTGTTCAGACTGGAACGCGTACAAATTTGGGCTCAACAAGGTCAGCGATGAGCTGACGTACGGTGTGCCCATCCCCAACAAAGACCTGTTGTGGCAGCGCTACCAGCAGCGCAACGTGCATTACATGATCGGGCAGCTGGACGACGGTCGCGGTGCCAACATCAGCTGCCCAGCTTACGTCCAAGGAGACGCTCACCGCACACGAGGCGCTCTTTTCCACGCTTACTTGGAGCACCTAGGTGGCTTCCCCGCATCTCACACCCTCGACTACGTCGATTGCACTCACGACGACCAGTGCGTCTTCTCTTCGCCGCAAGGTCAGCAGAGGCTGTTCTTGCAATCCAAAAAGGCCGGACAGGACATGCCTAGCTATATTCCCCAAGGCCCTTACAACAACCTGTTCCAGGGACCCGTCCAATTCGCGACGTCGGACGGCGAAGCGAGCAGAATGCCGGATGGCACTGCTTTTGTGCCAACCTCTTTCCGGGCTACCAACTCTGCATCCCCTGGCGATTCGAAGGGCAGCACCGGTTCGCAAGGCAACGCTTCTGGCAAATCAAGCGGTGCTCTCTCCTCCGTGAGCGCGGACCCTTTCTTCTCTACGATGGCTGCTCTCGCGCTGGTCACTCTGGCTAGCCTCACCACTCTTTGATCTGGCTTCTTTCTCCCCTGTCAGGAACGAACTTTTCACCATGCAAAATCAGAATCAGAATCACTGCAACATACCCCTCCTGTTTGCCAATTTTTGCCCACCCCCCTCTTTTGGACAATTTCGCTTCACCTCTTTCACTTTGTGTGCCCATAGATTAATGCTGCATTGCTTCTCTCTTTTCGTGTCCGAATGCGTGATGTGCTCTTTGCGATCCTTAGTTGTCGAGCGTCACCCTCGCGCCGTTGAGCCTTGGGTGAACACTTGTGCTTGGCACAGATGGGCAGCATTCAGTGTGCATCTGCTGTACACAGACATCGGATGCTCGATCGTTGTTCAAACGAAGTCGTAAATGGAATCAACAATCACGTGAATGTGTGTGTGTGCGCGCGCGGCCATTCAAGATTATAATTTGTTATTCGTGATGCTACACGACGCGTAGATTTCTTGATGAATACATCGCGCGTTGCACGCATGTTGCGCTGCAAGTGGGTTGAGGTCCAATCTTGAATGCGAGTGCAACACCAAGGCCCTTCTCACTCTCACCACTCTCGACTCGTGATATATGGCTGATGGACATCCCTAATTCACATCAGCTGTTCCAAACGCGTCTAGCTCCAATCTGCCCTCAGCTCAATTGGCAGACCAGCTGGAAAGTCATTTCAAAGTGCTCAGCGGGTCAGATCTGTGCTTGCTACCTTCGCGAGCAGAAGCACCACCACGCGCAAGATGTTGAAGGTACTTCGCGCCGCCTTTCTCCAGGCTCTAGTTTCTCGTCGAATAGTGAGCGAGTCGGAGTCCAAAGCCATCTTTCTGCGCGTGTGCGCTGCTTGCGGACTAGAAGCGGACAGGGACGTGACTAGTCAATACGAAGCGTTCATCGATGAAATCATGCAGCATCTCGCTCCTTTAGGTTTGGAATTGAGGAGCACGGTGGATCAGACTAGGAGCGAGGGAGGTGGTGTGACGGTCAGAGCCATCACTAACGCGAAGGACGACGAGCTCTCCAAAGTTGCTACTCCCTTCACGCCGCTAGAACTATCATACATCAAGCGCGTAGTGAGTTCGAAGTAGACCTCTCGAAGTCGTACTTCGCCTGCGCACCTTAAGCCTTTGACGAGCGTCACCTTCACGTACAGGTCAGTGGCATCGTGACTGCGCCAGACGAATGTTTCTGCGTCAGCACCATCGAAGCTCTCCTCGTTGCGAGGAGGACCACACCGCCGTTGTCCAAACGCACAGCTGAAGCGTTGCTCGATCGGGTGGTGGCGAGGGGCTGGTTCTTGCAAAGCGGGTGAGTAGCAGACGTCAGACGGGCATTTTGTTGTTTGCGACCTTTGGGACTGCTGTTAGGGCTGCATACATGCGGAGCTCGTCAAAGTAAACGTGCGAATGATTGGCCTCCCCTTATCTCGGCTCAGGACTGGATACTATTCACTTGGCACCCGGGCTATTCTGGAGCTGCAGACGTATCTCAAAGCAGAATTTCCGGATCACATGCTTCTGTGCAAATCATGCGACGAAATCGTCACCGTTGTGAGTCGCCTTCCTTGAAGACGAGGTGGGCCAAGTCTCAAAAATGCATCGCTTCTGTTTGATCATAGGGACTGTCATGCTCAGTTCCAGGCTGCGACGCTAGGCTACATCGCCATTGCGAGCTACGATCATTTGGTCCGGCAAGGGCTGGCGCAAATGCCGCCAATTCAACGCGACAGTGTCCGTCTTGCAACAAGAGCTGGGAGCCGCTTCCAGTGGGAGAGGCGAGCATTGGCAGGTGAGTCTTGCAGGCACGGCAGACGCAAGTGAAGCCAAGCTGAGCAAACACTACCATACGATTTGCCTCCTCACGACAGCGGCCGCAAACCCGGTGGTCAGCGATGGGGAGCTTCAGACGATGAGCAGGAAGAGGAAGAGGAACAAGACGAGATAGGTGATGAGGACGACGGAAGGCCTGTGAGCAAAAGGGGAAGGAGCGCAGGAGCGAACAAACGTGCGCGCACGGGAACCGCACCGGTACGAAGCAGCAAACGGTCGCGCGGTTCTCGCGGAGTCGCGGTGGTAAAGGGCGAAGAGGACGCCAGCGACGAGGAGGAAGAGGAGGAGGAGGAAGAGGAGGAGGAGGAGGAGGAGGAGGGGGAGGAGGAGGAGGAAGAAGCAGAGCAAAGCGACGAGGACGAAGAAGCAGACGAAGAAGCAGACGAAGAAGAAGCCGAAGATGCGCGAGAGGTCGCAAATGAGCTCGAGGAAGCTTAGGCGGCTGTTGAAGCCGTACCATCTTTGTCTGCTATACCGCGCGAGCGTCGCACATTCAGCGCAAATTGTTACCAAGCTTCGGTTCTTACTTGTAATTGTAGCATCAAGTCTCGCGACAACTGTCATTCCATTGGCATGAACCGGCTCGCAATCTTGTCTCTGCACCATTTCACGTCTTTGGCCGCTCTGCGGTCGGTATGACGGGTAAGCTTCTGAGTGATTGAATCGCAATTGGCTGCAGATCCGAACTCACCCAAAGCACCAATGGAAAGAGCAGGTTCCGTCCAAACTGCATCAGCCAACGGTGTTTCGTCATCTCCCTCATGAACCTTCTTGGTGGGTCTGGGCACCACGCTAGGACTGGTGACCCATCTAGCCAGATTCTCCAACACTTGCACATCTATATTGTACCCGTGAGCAAGAGCTCGCACATCCTCTGCTGAACGACAGCTCTTGCGCGCATCCAAAAGCGTCGAGATGGAATTGGCAGACATGTGGTTCGAGCTGTTTTGAGCTCCCGCAACGCCGCTGTTGGAGGTGGAATCTGTTGCGCTTTGCGCTTCCTGTTGCTCCCGCTTCTGTCGAGCTTGCAAGATGCCAAGCATTTGATCATTCTGGAAAAGAACAAAAAAGTTCGAGGCAAAAAGGGTAGGGATAGAACAGGGAGGAAAAATAAAGTCAGTTTGCGCTGCACGCGGATCGAAACCGGGACGTCCAGCAAAACACAGCTTGTGGGGGCCTCAGTCAGTTTTCAGTGCAATTTGTACCTCCCGCGGTCGACACACAGAGCAAGTGCTGGCTCAAGGGCCACTTAATCTAGTGAGGTGGCCGGTCCCACTAGACCAAATGTCCCGAACCCACTTTAAAGCTTTCGGGCACTCGTACATAAGTGCACAAAACGCGCCACTTAGTATGGTGGACGATTCCGACACACCCACAACGCTGGCGCTTGCCGTCGACTCTCGCTCTGGTCTAGTCTGGTCTGGTCTGGTGTGGCCTGGCCTGGTTCGGCCTGGCATGCAAACCCTTGACGCCATGTGCACGTAATGTCCCAGTCATGAGTTGCCTGGCAGCGCTGTACTCACGGGTCTGTAGGTCAACCTGTTCCTCTTGACCTTTGCAGGTCCCAAGCTTGCCAAATTAGCGATCAAGTGAGGATCCCTAGCATCTTCCCTGATCGCGTCCGTCTTGCTCTCGCTGAACTTCTGATTCAGACCAGCTGCGCCATCTCGAGGGCCTGCTGTGGGTCTGGCAGCTTTGGACGGATCGGATGTGAGTGAAGGCGAAGCTCGGCTGATGTTAAAGGCCGAAGCTGAAGCTGATGATGCGTCTGCGTCGCTGGAAGGGTGCGAAGAGCGAGACGCGCTCGGTTTGGCATTGGCGCTGGGGCTGGGGCTGGCATTTGGAGGTAAGCCTGCCCTGGAAGACCCTCCTGAAGAGCGCACGGCTGATTGAGCTGTATCTGCCAGCTTGCGCGCGGGCTTTGAAGATGAGGAGCCCATGATCAGCTGAGATTTAAGCAACCTTTGGGACGATGAGTGACTCCGGTCTGATCAGGCATCCGGAACACCTTTTGATGTTGCTTTATGGGCGCCATTCAAAATTGGCGGCGCCTGCGTTGTCATCAAGTTTTAGTCACGCGGAGGACTCCTGACCTCGCGCAGGTGTGGAGGATCGCGGCGACAAGGCGTCGCACGTGACAGCTCAGGCTGCGTGGTGAAAATCAAGAATTTCGAATTGTGAATCTTGAATCAGAATGCGAATGGAAACTGTACAACTAACGAGTCAGATCAGACTAATCAACCACCCGCAGATCATATGGCTCTGACTCGAAGACTTTTGATTCAGACTGAATCGAGACTCGAAGGCATGCCAACGGCTGCCCCGCCGATCATCTGCTGGACATCTGCAGTTGGAAAAGCCCGCCTGGCAGAGGCAAAGCGTCTGAAGAGCGCCGAGTGTTTCACAGAAAGACGATGGATGCATCATCTCATCAGATGCAGATCACTGAATTTGCTCTTGCGACTTTCGGTTGGACCTACGAGAGGCCATCGCAGTCCAACGCCGAGTCTGGCTCTTACCTAGACGAGCGTCAGCTACAGCTTTGACACTGTGACTCATCTGAGTCGACCTGCACATTTGACCATTTGGAGGACAGCTCAAGATCACAGTCCGCTGGTGAAGGCTTTGAGCAGTGTCTTACGCGCTCCTCTCCTGCGGCTGTCGTCACGCTCAGTTGTCCCCACTTTAATCAACAAGACACGATCGCGAGAGCGCGCAACGAAGGTCAAGCTGCCATCATACGTCAGACTCAAGGCTTGACCACCGATAGACGTGTGCTGTCAAGCGCCCTGCGCGCCCCTCTCAGCGATGCAGCCCTCCAAGCAACCTCGCCGATCGTGAAGCTGCGACCGAGCGTGCACACAAAGCCAAGTCTCAATTCGCTTCAGCCATCCTCTTCTGCTCCGACTTGACACGCTGACTATGGGTGTGCGAGCGCCTTGGTAACGCTCATCACGCCTCTTGCGAAGGCACCTTGGGAGGATGCGTAGCATTGCTTGAGCTGGCTGAAGCGCTGCTCGTTGGGCTGCTGGGGCGCATGATGCATACAATGTAGAAGCTTGTGGGCGTAAGACGTCAAAGCGAGGCAAGACGGTGACAAGCTTAGTCGAAAAGACCAAAGCCCATCTGTGAAGCGAAATGAATGCAGCAGGCACCTGTAAGTCAACCAGCACCAGGTCTTGCACAGCCAATGAAATCTGACTGAGCATACTCACGTCATCATCGGACTCCTCCTTCTCCTCTTCCTTCTTCTTCTCCTCAGCGGGAGCCTCTGCAGCTGCTGCGCCTCCACCGCCAGCAGCGGCGGCAGCAGCTGGGGCAGCACCGCCTCCTCCGCCAGATGGGACGGAGGAGAGCTTCTCTGCTCCCTCGGTGATGAGCTAGGGACGGAACGGGCCACAGAAAGAACGGGGTAGCGTAAGCGACGATTGAAAAAAGCGATACAGCACTTTAGGATCGGCGCCGCTTCATCGCAAATCTCTTTGCCTTCGCTGGTACGATGCGACAGCGCCGAAGCGCGCCGGGCAGAACCCCTTGGCTGGCCTGCACCTCTTACTGATTGCGCGCACTCCTGACCACTCCACACTCACCTGAGCAATGTCCTTACCCTCGAGCTCGCTGACGAGCTTCTCGAGGCGCTCAGAGTCAGCCTCGATGCCGACGGTGTCGAGCAGTGAGGTGATGTCGGCAGCCGAAGGGCTGGCCTTTCCACCGAGTTGGAGGAGCAAGTAAGCTGCGATGTGCTTCATTTTGGAATGGGTTTGGTGCAAAGGGTCTGTTTTGGTGGTGTGGTTTTTGTTGCTTAGGAACCCGCAAATCCGCTTGGTGGAGCTTTGATCCAAAAGAGGAAGACTTGTGGTTGATAAGCCAAGAAGGGACTCTAGCTCGGATTCTGATGTGGTGTAAGGTGATAAGTGCGGGCTAGTCCGCTCAGCGAGTTGGGCTATTTGTGATACTCACGGCCTCGCCGCGCCCTCAGCTTCGGCGCTCGCACTCCAGCCGCGCGTGAAGCTTCTGTCGCGCATGACGGGCTCGCCCCCGACCTGCCGCAGCGCGCCACGGCAAAACGGTACGGCAGGCGCGGACCTGATTGCTTGGGCGGAGCGGCAGGACCACGTGGCTTCGTTGGTAGCGCGTGCATGATGCATCTGTCGTCCGATTTGGAAATGAGGCCCACAGACAACTCCCGCCTTTGTCACTCACTGCCTGCTGACAACGTACGCTCTCGCTTCCTAACCGCATCGCATCCACTCGTCATACACAACCCATCTTCGGCAACTCCTCAAGACTGCCCAACATGTGAGCATTGTTCTGCGGCAATCGCGCTCCTCATTGGAACCGCGATTGCTTGGTTCGCCACGCTGCCCTTGCTCAAGAAGAGCAGGCTTCTCGCGGAGCGATCGAGGAGCAGAGTCGACGGCGGCAACGAAAGAATGCTGTTTGCTGCAGTAGAGGTGTTTGTCATGGGCATTACCGGCATGGCAGCAGAAATTGTCATCGAAAGCAGCGACAGGCCGGAAATGCCCCATCTCGTAGGAGGACTTGGTTGGGGATTTGTCGTGGGCGCGGATCGCGGGTCCAGTGCGATCTGCGATTTTGTGCTCATGAGCGAAAGCATCCGCTCCATTGCGAGAGGAGATTGAGATTCGTTTGGTGCAATGACGCCTCCGATGCTTGCGAGGAGGATGGACGTTGGGCGATACCGTACTCCGCTCTCGTCTACCCTGCGCATGATCGAAGGTTTCTCATGCTGACCGCTCTTTTTGCTCTCTGCTCTCTGCGCCTCTTTCGCGCAAAAACAGGGATTCTTACGACGCCGAGAAGGCCGCAGAGCTGAAGAAGCGCAGAGCTTTCCGCAAGTTCTCTTTCAGAGGAGTCGAGCTGGACGCTCTCCTCGATCTCCCAAACGAGGAATTCGTCAGCCTTTTGCACTCCCGTGCCCGTCGTCGCATTGGCAGAGGTCTTAAGCGCAAGCCGATGAACCTCATCAAGAAGCTGCGCAAGGCCAAGAAGGAGGCTCCCCCCAACGAGAAGCCTACCATGGTCAAGACCCACTTGCGCGACATGATCATCGTCCCCGAGATGGTCGGTTCCGTCATCGGTGTCTACAACGGTAAGGTGAGTGCGCGGCCCTCGCTCGCGGAGGGGGTGTGCGCCTGGGCGCGAAAAGAACAAAGGACACGCAACTGCTCGTTGAGCTCGTCTTATCGCCAATGATGTTGGAGGGCCGGGTAGACAGCAGAGTCATGTATTGGGCAAAACCTTGCTGATCATCGATCCTGACATGCGCGCCGCCTCTGCACCACAGATCTTCATGCCCAACGAGATCAAGCCCGAGCAGATTGGACACTACACTGGCGAATTCTCCTGCACATACACTCCCGTCAACCACGGAAAGCCAGGACCTGGTGCTGTTCTCCGATTCGTTCCCACCAAGTAAATGCTTGGGTTCAAGCCGACAAAAGGTGGCATTTTAGTCACCAATGTACACTTCACGCACTGCTGGTTTTGACTTGAACCAGGACACATATGCAAGCGCTTTGGCGTATTTCACGCAACTAAGACTAGTCTCGAGCTACATGAGTGGTCTTGTGAGCATACTTCGGCTGCTGGGAGAACGAGGTGACGTTGGCATTGCGATTGAGATAAGAATGCCAGCTGTCTAGCAGTACAGCGGGGTGACGTGAGACAAGACAAGCGGTGATGTGCGGCGTGGACTGCCAGCCTGCATCGACGCGATGCGATTTCAAGAAATGTTGCGAGGTGCGCGTCTCCTGGTCAAAGCTGGAAAGATGCCGTGATTGAAGCGATCCAGCTCTATGACGTGCGGAGGCACGAGTAGCCAACCGTTTTGCTCTAGGCTAGCCTCGCTTTCAAACTCATCGGGCTGTGCTTCCACGGCGCTTTGCACGTCTTGGAGCTCCTCAGTCGGGAATCTGATCAGCGTACCTCCGAGATTGCTCTCCCACAGCGCCGCTGGCAAGACAATGTCGTCTGGATGGACATCTGGACGGCCCGTGAGCAGACTGATGGCGCTCCGTTGAGCTCGCTCTGTCCCTCCTACCAGAACCACCGCATGAGGATGCCTGACGTGGTTGGCGAAGCTGCGCTCGTTCTTGTCTCTTGCGAGACCGTGTGGCGAGAGGAGCCCATGTTCCGCAGCGTGTGAGCTGCGACGTTCGCTCGGTACGATGGCGGCTTTAATGCCACCGACCACATCCGACAGGGCTTCACTCGAGAGTCGCACAATTGCGCATTTTCTCGCGTGGGAGTTGTGACCGCCCTCGAGAGAGCCAAGACCGCCTGGGGTATGTGCCATGGCTGCTCTGTGCGTCGCTGCAGCTTCGGCTTGAGCATAGACTGCGACCTTGCTCGTCCACGCGTCGAGATCTGGGGATCGTGAGTGCTGAGTCCAATCCTCAACAACGGCGCAGCTGCCAAATCCAAGACGGGCCATGGCGAGCACGGCAGACCGTAGTGCCACTCTATTCCCTGCCTTTGCTTCTGCCGTGGCGTCAGATCGCAAAGGCAAGCAAATGACCAGCGCTGAATTTGCTGGGCTCGGCGTGTTGATAGGACTGAGCAGCCGCTGCATCACCCTTTCGATGGCTCCCGGAAGACTATGATCCGCGCCCAAAGGAGCGGCGATTGCCATAAATCCTTGAGGGGTCAGAGCACCGGCGGTTGTTCCCATGAGTCTACTTGAGGCATCGGTACGATACAGCACATCGGCAGCTCCAACGACAGCAGCAGACAACGTTCGAGGCGCGCTACATGCCTCCAAGCGACCCAAGATAGCTTCTTGTGCTAACCACGCGCCGCTGACGAGGTTGATACCAAGCACGGCTGCATCCTGGACCAAGGCGGGCAAGCGCATCTCGGCTTCCTGAAGTTGAACCTGCAAATCACGCACCGACAATGCCGAGACCTCATGGGCTTCGCCCAGAGCTTGCAGAGCGCGCTGCAGCCGGGATGAAAAATGCATTGATCGCCCTGATGTGCTGATATTTGATAACGGCTCCGTCGTCGAGATCTCGTAGCAACGCGTTGCGGAGCTAACGCCGAGGAGATGCTGAGCACGACTGACGTCGGCGTAACTCATCTGCCCTACCGCTGCTTTAAGTGGTTGTGCAGCGTGGCTGACAGGCGAAAGGACCATGTTGAGGACCCGAGTAGATCGTCCAGTCTCGTTGATGTTGATAGCCAGGAGTGGAGGCAGCTTTCGGCCGGGATCACTGGCGGCGCGAGCCAGCACGCGTGCTTGGAATGTTAGCAAATGTAGGTTCTGTTCGGGATGCGTCGGTGTTCCATATCCTATCATCTCGACGATGTCCACTCCATCGAAGCTTCTCGCTCGATCGTAGAGCTGCATGGCTGTAGCAGAATCCCACCGCAGATCGCCTCGCATGTCGTGGTAGCTGGCAACTATTCGTGTTCGACCGCGGCGCGACATGAGCTCTGATAGTCTAGTGGTGTCCCAGCCCAACTCAACATCCAGCATCTCGACCCCAACATCCATAGCTAGCTCCGCAATGGAAAAGTAGAGCGCTTGGGAGTGGGGGCTGTGCGCGTCTCTTGAGGAGATGTGGCGGTCGTCGAAGAAATGGCCCCCTTCGCGATCTGACCGCAAAGTAAAGAGCAGAGGGAGACCACGGCTCAATCGACGGGCGTGTGCAATTTGTATGGCGACTTCCGCAAAGTCAATCTGAGGCGGCTCTTCCCTCGGTAATGCTGCCCTGTTGCTTCGTGATGCATTTGCAAGCGCGTGCCACGTGTCTGCTCGCAACTCCACAGCATCTACACCTTGCACCATCTCGTCGAAAGCCTGCTGTGAAACCTTGCTCAGATCAGGCAACGTGAGCGAAAGGAAAGCAGTCCGTCTTGTCAAGAGGTGTGCTCGGTTGGTTGGATCCGAGGGACCTGGCGGATGCAGGAATGTCGTCGCTTGATCCTTGCGGTCGGGCGCGTCGTAGCTATCGAGAAGGGTCAACTGCGGGAGGACAGAGGCTTCTGCACCAGGCGTGACAGCCGGGGACACCTGCCTAGAGCCCGCCGGAGATCTGTACAGAGATTCTCCCAGGGCGCTAGGATGAGAGAAGATGAAGCGCAGCAGCCGCAGTAGATCTTGCTCAACCGCCTTGAGGGCTAGGGGATGCGATGCGCCCTCCCTAGCACACTTCTCCGAAGTCAAGGATACGAAGGCATGCGAGGCGCAGCTCCACAAGAGAGGCTCGCGTCTTTGCATGACGTTGATGATACTTTCTTGATAGTCCGGGCGGGAAGTCTGGCTTATGAGATACTCGCGAACAGCTTCTCGCTCCCTTAGCACCAGAATGACGGGGCACACGTGCCGAAAGGACCGCAAAGCTTCTCGAGAGTCGCCTGATTCGATCACCCCTCCTCCCGTAGCAATGACGGTATCAAAAGGGTGTTTGGCTAGTGTTGTCCGAACAATTTGTGTTTCCCTTTCGCGGAAAGCTGCCCAACCGAGCGCTGCAGAGGGAAAGGACCGAATGAATGTGCCTATGCTTGTGCCCAGGCTAGTCTCAATTGCCGTGTCAGTGTCCACAAAACGCCTACCCATAGCCGTTGCAGCGATGAGCCCAAGCGTTGTCTGCAAGCGAAGTAGGATTCAAAATCAGCTTCATACGAGATGCAGCTCAGTGGGTCTGCTCAAGGCGCCCGCCCCTCGTACGTGCTCTGATTTGGCTCTCGTAGAGATCTCCACCAGCTACACACCTTTCCTACGCCCCTCATTCCAATCAGGACTACAGTCGCCCTAGGATGATATGTGCGCGCACCTGCACGACTCCTGATCGCAGCATCCTTAGCGTGCAATGACTCGGCATCTCGAAGGGCGGTCACTTCAACGGGTTCTGGGCGATCTGTAGGCGCAGATCGTTTTGATCTTGCGCTAGGAGTAGCTGTGGCATGGGAGTAGGGCGACACTCGCACGGACTTGAAGGACGGTCCTGCAGATATCACATCGGATTCCTCCTCAAGAGCTCGCGGCATGATTACCTCTTTGCTGTCTGGCTGGATGTGGATTCTTGGTCTGCTATGTGGAGTGCAATGCTCGAAGAGGTCCTGCCGTTGCCGCTAGGCTTAGACAGCCCTATCTCATGTCTGCTGCTTCGCGCGTAATGCCTAGCGATTCAGTGGTGAGGTAGATCTTGGCAGCTACAGTGAGGCGTGGAAAGAGGGCGTTATTGCGGAGAGAGAGAAGAGCATGGCAGGCAAACTGGGAAGCTTGGACGCCTGTGCATCCACAATCAAAATGTGATTGCTCAAACCACAAGCTGGACTCGAGCGCGATGCATATTACGCGTGTGGAGATTCTGTCGGCCGGTAGCGTCTCACCGCGAAGATGCAGGGAAGATCCGCTCCTCAGCACTGACCAAAGCGTGCTTTCCGGTTCGACACAGACATGCCAAGCGTGGTTGAGCACGAAGGTTGCAGGCCGGGCACCACCATATAGCACCTCACCAGATTCACGTCCTTCTGACCTCGTCGCCCGATTTACTGCTCCTGTGATGTATCTGGTTGAAAGTGCCATCTTCGCAAGGTAGCTCGGCGATACTTAGTTCTCAAGGCGGCGAGCTCTGCGTGCTCGCGGGCTATGACCACCCGACGTGTACTGGCGGCAGCAACGTCCAGCGGTCAAAGCTCCAGGCTTTCAGGGGTCGATGGCACGGAGCCTCCTATGCGGCTCAAGAGGCGGCTACTCGGAGCACGTTGCGATCTTTGCGACACCGTAGCAAGTCAACCCCAATGCTTTGAGGATGCCTCGGCTCCCCACCCTCCAGGACGTCAGATCGAGGTTCGTTCGACAGCCCAACGCTCACATAACAAGCTGCTTTTCGATGGGATCAGAACTCCTCACCAAGTCGCCGGAGCTTCAGCATTCCCACTGCCGGACTTTTTGTTGCCAGCATTCTCGGCCCGACGCACGCCCACTCGATGCTTCCGCGCCTCGGCTCCGCTGCTCTATGAGAGACGAGAGCCTACGACAAGTTCGGCACAAAAGAGTACGCAGCGGAGGCGAGGCGTGAATGAGACACTTGCAGATGCTCATCAGTATCTGCTGACTGCTGACGGCCGCGCCGTGAGCTTCGAGAAGGTCGAAGTGGAGGCGAGGCGACTTACGAAAGAGGCAACCTACAGCTCGTATCCGGTCACAGTGTTTTCGCCGGAGCAGAAACTCTTCGAGCTACTGCTGTGGCTGCTGCATCAATCATTGCCTCTCAAAAGCTCAGAAAGCTCGCGGCTAGAAGTCTCAGTAGCGCAAGCGCTCATGCCGCTGCCGTCGTGGGCAAGATTGCGAAGATCTCGGAGGGCCAAAGCGACAAAAGCGAGGGTCACAAAAAGTGCGTCGTCGGAAGGGGCGACATATCTCGGACGGTTCAAGGGGGACCGAACAGTCGGGGTTCGAGATCCGCTGCGGCCCAGCTTGGTGCATACAAAGTATGATGAGCTATTAGCCATGCTACTCAGTGAGGTCCACCTTTTTCGACGCCCGCCGAGCACGTCTGAGGTCGCAAAGGGAAAGCAGAAGGCGCCAGATGAGACCGAAAAGCCCGTAACCCAGTTCTTTGAAGCCAACGTGCATTCCATTCGGCGGTTCGCGCGTCTAGTGGAGTCAGCCAAGATCCGCGGAGCTCACAAAGTCCTCGTAGTCTTGTCTCGGCAGCTTCAAGACTGGATCAGTCTGCCCTCAGAGCTGCTTCTCGACACCAATTCTGCCAGCAGTCTCGATGAGCTGGCAGCAAGGGCTCGCAGGCTCCTCACTCAGGTCGAGCTGGTGTTTGCCGCGCTGCTGCGATATCTGGGATCCGACCACTTTCACCGCTGGCGGATCGCGCTTCTTCGTCAGCTAGACCGTCTCACAGACCGCCTTGTGCAGACCGCTGGTAATGAAGAGCTGCGAAAATTGACGCATACAAGCGAATACTTTCGTGCGCACTTGCAAGTTTGCTGCCGGTCAAGACGATCTTCGTGGCATGACAGCCTTCCGGGAGGTCTGCGGCGACGAGCAGCGACTTCTGCGCAAGCCGCGCACGCTCATGACGTCCGGCAAGCAGCAAAGCCACGAGATAACTCGCAGACCTTGCAAGGTCTGCTCGAATCACGCTCCAAGCGAGTATATCGAACATTGCAACGCTTGTCAGAGCTTTCGTCTCGGCGTCGAGAAGCAGGCTTGCCACCGGATCCAGTATTTTTTCAACGTCTGGTTTCTGCAGCGGCCCGACTAGTCTGGAACGTGGAGGACTCTTCTACAAGTGTGAGGCTCGGAGTCGCGACGTTCTCAACATTGCGGCCCATCCGGCGTCTGGCTTCGAGACTTTCGCACGGCGAGTGGCAGCATTTCGCAGCTGCTGCCATTACTTGCAGCGCATCGGCATCAACACAAGTGAGATCGCTATGTGCGCTCATCGATTTCGAGCTTCAAATGCACGAATCGCTCGTGTCCGACGCTCGGCGATCTCGGAGAGCAAGACAGTCTCGGCCGGAGCCAGACCTGAGGCGCCTGCACTCTCTCGTGAAGACGCTGGGAGAATGGCTGAGTCCGCTGCGCGAGCTGAAAGGATCTCTTCCGGATCTCTCGTCCGCCACTCCAGATGATCAGCTGGCTGTCGCCAGGTCGACACGCGCACTGGCAAGAGCCTGGCGCCTCTTGGTCCGCATCCACCTGAGCCGAGATCGGGCGAGGCGAGCTATTGTCACCTCCCGCAAGCTTATCGGGCTTAATGTCTCTGCTATCTCCGACTTCACGCATGGCAGTGACCTCGTAGAGATTCGAAAAGCCCAGAGAAGTGCCATCATCGCCATGCTCAGTCAAGTCTTGCGATTTGAATCTCGTGCCCAACGCCTCTCCTATGGTGTCCAAGTGCTTCGCGTCGCGCAGGAAGGCATCAGAAACGGAGTCTGGGATGTGACGTCTTTCGAGGCGTCCTCAGCTGTCAAGCGGGGGGTGTCCGGGCTAGGCGACGCAAGGGAAAACGATCCTCGCAGCAATTTTCTCAGGATATGGGCCCGTGTCCTAGGTGCTCTGGCTGTCGAGGAGGAGAGCGCCGTGCCTCGTGGACTCGAAGACGTTCTTCTCCAATCCATCAGATCTCTGGAAGGGCGAGAAATCACCCTACTTCTGTCCAGCGGAAGCGACCCGAAGCAGGGGGACGCAGTGGATGGTCCTTGGGCTCGTCGCGTGCGCGCCTGGCGCACGAAAATGCGTCAAATCGTCTTTCGAGACGTGGGACGTCTCGAGCGCTTGCTCGCTTCCTCTCTGCAGTCTAGCAACGTCAGCTTAACGCCAGGACTTGTGGACGTGCGCGTCGAGTCCGGCACCGTGCCCATGCCGACGGACGACAGCAGCGCTGTCAGCGATCGTCTCCGGCGAGTCATGCAGACACTTCGCCTCTTGCATCCCCGTGCAAAAGACATTGCTCTACTCGAATCAGCATTGCAAGGCCTCCTGCTGCGATCTTGCGAGAATGTAGACTCTCTACAGCGTGCCTTCAAGGATGAGCTACAGCGCTGGCATTCCACATCTGGATCACCTGAGGCATCGTCCGGTCACTTTACACCCACAGAGCCCGCGGTTGAGGGTCATCGTGCCTCTGTGAGCGCACAAAACCGTAAAGTCTCAGGTGGCATCGAGCAACGGCCCATTGCAAACGCATTGGCGTCAGACGCAGTCGCGGTCAGACAAGAAGAGTCTTCTAGGGCAACAGGCATGACTGCCTGGCCGAGCGAGGACGGTTGTGGCCAGCGTCACAGTGCCTTGAAGCATCTGGAGCCAAAGTTGGATGAAGATGTCCACAAGGCTGATCGATCTGGTCGTCATCGAAGGCTATCGCATCGCAGATCGCCCTTTTCGGTCGACGCTGCTTTGTCGCCGTGGAAAAGGTCCTTGCTGGACGGTGGTGGCTCTCCAGTCGCGTCTCCTAGGCTACACAGCTTGAACACTGTGTCCAGTCTTGTCGACGCACCCTGGAAAGATCACGGTGGCAAAGGAGGGAGAGGGCAATGATACTTTGAACTGTACGTTGGTGCTTTAGAAAATATGACAAGAAATGCGCAGAAGACGTCATCTGAAGCAGTGTCCATTCACTGACTGAGATGTGCGCGAGCCTGTGCGTGCACGGGCCAAGTGAGTCAGCCAAAGATCTGTAGCATTCCAATTGCGACAGGAGCTTTGTGCCTCTGCGATGCCAACTTGCGAACGTGGTGTGACAAAGCTTGGCGAAGAGACACTTGGACTGGCGTCTGTGAGGCGCGTCAAGGAGTTTGACGCAGCATCGTCCACATGTGCGTGTAAAGGTGCACTCACTAATTGGAGAGCCATCAACAAGCCACCTTGGGAAGCTCGGACTTACTCTGATTCATGGTACGGTCAAAGACTTTGAGTGGCTTGGCTCATCACCGTCGTATCCGGCACAATCCTTTCGAACGAGTCCAACGCCTGCGCGTCCGCCAAGATCAAGCCACGCCTATGCTGGCACTAATCCAATTGCCGCATTCTTGATTGCTAGCTCGGCAATTGGGCCGGCCCTCCCAGGCACTAGCGCGGGCTCGCGTGGTGAGAAGGGTGTGGGTTAGCCGATGTGTGTGTGAATTGTGCCAAAATAAGATGGATGCCTGGTACGAGGTGAAGCGTTCTTTCCGCCTTAAAGGCTAATAATAGCTTAACAGACCTTTTTCCAATTCTTGCTTTGCGCAGCCATGAGTCTGAATACGACGCCAGCGAGAGCAGCTTTGTAGCGTGCGCTAGTCGCTTTCAATCGGGGAGAGAGTGCGAATCATGGACTCAGAATTGAAGGGCTTCCCTCTCCCGCATCTGAATCGAGACACGAACCCCCGTGCGCGACCGCTCGTGGGGCCACGTAAAGCTTGTGCGACGACGTATCGTCTCAGTTTCAGCCTGTGTCATGGCGGAAGGGCTCAAGTTGATCACGAATTGTGAAAATGAGCTGGCACCACGCCTCACTTAGGCATTTATCACAAAAAGGCAAATTGGCAAGGCGTCGCAATTGATCATCTTTACCGTCTTCTATGCAGTATACGCAGCTTGCATAGCTGCAGGCACCAGCGAGTGTGAGTGGACTCGACTGAGAACCCCCGCATTTGACGTGCGACCACGCTTGCAGGTACCATGCGAAAGCGGAGCAGGTCAATATTGCCCCTATGTGGGCAGCAACTCCTCCAGGTCCTCTCGACGATGAAGGGGCAAAGTCTAGACTGACTACGTATCAAACTCTAGTCACGAGTCGTGGATGTCCGCAGGGGCCCCGCGCCTTCGTAGCCCAGCGTTGCTCCGCACTATAGGGTCGGACTTGCCTGGGCCCGAAACGCGAAATGTCTCAGTTTGCTTGCGCGCTTTCGGCGAATCTCGAACAGGAAAAGCAAGTTGCACATGCAGCGACTGGCCTGGGTCTCGAAGATTCATCACCGTCGTCTGGGGGCGCACCGTCGTGCCTCGCCGATCGCATTCGTGCTCAAGACCGGATACGTAGGTAGGGTCCGTTGGTTGCCAAGGCCAGCAGTATCCGCTAGGCGCGCGCTCTCTTGCTACATGCACTCTGAATCGTGAATCTAGACGAGCAGAGGAAGGGCGTGGACGAGGGCTCTGCCTGACGGGGTACGAGGCTTTAACAAGCTCCTCCATCCTCCTAGCTGACATCCAGTCCCCTTTCCCCTTGCCAAGTCCTTCCCATGTGAAGCTTCGCTAGCTATCCTGAGCCTTCATTCAAGCTTTTTCCTCCACACCACTCCGAATTCGCAATCTCTGGGCAGCTCGTGATCGCCTAATCGCCTCCGAACTTGACTGAATCCTCACGCGTCAGGTGCGAACAAGCCTTTGAACACCGACCCGCGACGCTGTGACTTAAGCTGTCAGGCACCGTGCGTCAGGAGAGATCTCGGTAGTCAATCAAGCCCCTCCCCACCGACTGCTTTCCCCAAGCTTGCTCTTGTCTGCGACATTTTGCAGTGCATGGCGTCTGCTCTCAATTGAGCCACTTCTTATTGCAATTGAACCCCGATCCACGACAGCTCGACCAGCAAAGTGCGCAATAGCCGAGCGACTTGTAGAGCTCAGCAGCGTGCAAAAACTGGAGCAGTAGTGACAATAAGATCACCATACAGAGGCGGCGGCAAACGGGCAAGCGAGCAGCAGCAGCAAGGGTAGAAGAAGAGAAGAGCAGCAGCAAAGCAGCTTTTTCCCTCTTTGCTTTCTTTCGCTGCAACACTCTCGCGCTAAAGCGCTGCTGCTGAGGCGCGCAACAGCTAAACGCCGCTCCCCTTCCCCTGCACCTCGCTTCTCGGGCAAGGCAACGGCCCACAACATCTCGCCAGCGGATCCGTTTAGCGCTCCTTGCAGCAGCACAGCAGCGGCCGCGGACTGTTCTTTAGACCCGCCCTCTCTCCGGAAGCTTTCTTTTTCTCGCCCAGCAGATCCACGTCCCTTGTTGGCTCGCTCGCACCTTGACTTCTACCGGTACAGCAGCTGGCACCTTCATGTGCAGCGGCATTTTCCACTGTTTCGCATTGTGCCAGTCCTCCCAGCCCTAAGCGAGGCGGGCTTTGCGGAAGCAAGGCAGCGCAAGGATCCCGTCGAGCGGAGGACACGCGCAGACGAGAGAGCCGAAAAAGACGGTCACTGTAACCTTGAATCTGACTGGCTTTGCCGCTAAGCGCGATCCGCTAGACGTGCGGGCCGTTTCACGAAGAGCGCTGTACCGGTAAACGATAGTCGTGAGTCGACGTACAGTCACAGTATACGCTGCACAACGTCGCGGCTCCGCAAACTGGCAAATCTCTTCACACTGCTGTGACTGATCTCGAATCTTGAGCTTGCACACGCTGCGAGTGTGCATCCTGCCGGTTGGGTGAAGCAGTCCGGAGCTAGTCAGCCAGTTTCAGTCTCAGTCACTGAGTCGAGCTCGATCGGCTAGCAGCTAGGCTCATCAGGCCTCGTGGATGCTCAATAGCATGCATCGCCCGGTTGCCGACAGTAAGCAAGGAGTCGAGCTCGACGAGCTTTCTTTGATCGCTTCGCCTTCCGATACCAATAGCAAGAGCAAGAGCAAGAGCAAGAGCAAGAGCAAGAGCAAGAGCAAGAGCAACAGCAGTAGCAGCATCAGCGCCATCAGTAGCCAGTCCACGCCCAACACCTTGACGCCACGTCGTCTTGATCCCTCAGTCTCGCCTAGACCTGCGCCAAGCAGCCCAGCAGCAGCAGCGGCAGCAGCAGCAGCAGAAAGCGTTGCTGGATACTCAGACGTGAGCGCGCGTCAGGGTCAAACATCCAGACCTGAACCTGATTCAGCCCACAGCGCTCATCAAACACAGTCAGAGTCAAATTTGATTCATCAAAGTGGGCCTGCACAGCAGGAGCAACAAAACAACAGCACATCAACATTCACATTACCAGTCAGAGCACCGGCATCTGCTTCTGCTTCTTCCGCCGCATCAAAGCAGCTGCTGGCTTCATCAGGCTCATCAGCATTACCGCGCCAAGGCGCAAAACATCTTTCACAGCCCCAGCTGCAGCATCTTCAGCTGCGAGCATCTCGGCAGCAGCAGCCGCAACTTTCGGCTGAGGAAGCCCATCATAGCGCACGCGCAGCACCGCTGGCGCCCGCTGAATTGGAGCTCCACAGCTTGGACGCCGCCTCTGCTTCCACTCGCTCGTACATCCCTCCTCCCTCGCCGACCCTTTCGCTCTCGTCTTTCAAGAATATATGGGGCAAGCTTCCAACAAAGGGCACGACGAGTAGCGCCAGCAGCATAAAGAGTGCAGCCAGTAGCGTCGCCTCCAAGCCTCCCTCCACCGTACAGTCGTCGAATCCCAAGCAGCCCATCACTAGCGAAGCCTGTCCCACCCTCGCTTCTTCGGCAGCCATATCCGCTCTGATCGGTGAAGGCGCAGCATTTGACAAGAAGACCAACAAGACATCCAAAGATAAAGCTGGCAATCTGGACCTGTTGAGGAAGCGTAGATCTGCACTGAGTGGGAGCTCCAAAGGCAAGGAGAAGGCGCATAGAGACGGCGAGACGGCTTCCAGCGGCACGCCTACCATCTCCAGCGCACCAACTTCCTACGACTTCCAGGAAAGTGGCGGAGCTCCAGCTACATTGTTGGGCAAAGCCCCTCCTTCTCCCGACTCGCGCCACTCTGCAGAACCGCTTCAGAAGCCTTTGCAATCTTCAGCAGCGTCGAGCAAGTCGGCGCACACGAGCGACAGAATTTCACGAGTGGAGCAAGCTCCGGCGGTCAACCCTGCCGAATGGCGGGAGCCGAACAGGGATCGCAAGTCGTCCAGCGGCTTCTTTTCCACGCTGAAATCTTCGCGGAGTCGAAGCAGAGCTCGCACAATGCCAGGCAAGACGGTTGCCAAGTCGGCAGTGGCGACGGTGTCGGGCGCAGCGGGTGGCGAAGATCCTTTGAGCAGGGCCTTGAGACCACCTGCGGACGAAAGCATTGCTGCGAGGTCGGAAAGACAAAGAAAGGAAGCTTCTGCCAAGAAGAGGAGCGAGGAGATCGACAAGGCGCTCAAGGAAGAGGCTATTCGCAATAAACGCGACAGGGCTGGAGAGCAGAAGATGCTGCTGCTCGGTGAGCGATTAGGTTTCAAAGGCGAAGATTTGGGTGCATTCGTGGGGCATCAGTATCCGGACTGCTAATGCGATCTCGTGCGTGACGCGCGCTCCACAGGTCAAGCCGGAGCAGGCAAGACAACAGTGCTAAAGCAGGTGAGTTGCAAGTGATGCAGATGCGCAGTGGGGAGCAAGCACGCTGATGCTGGAAGGCTTTGTCAGATGCGGCTCTTGTACGATCAAAGCGCTCACCAGCGCGAAAGGCGCAGCTGGAGGGTGGTCGTATACCTGAATCTCATATTGGCAGTGCGAGCGGTGTTGGAGGTCTTCGAGGAATCGCACGAAGCTCGAGCGCTCAATCCGCCTTCTGTCAGTAGGGGGCCTGGTGGCAATGCTAGCGCGCAGTCCAGCACGGAGTCCTTGAACAGCTCCGCCATCAATCCCCTTGCCCACCGCAACAATCATGGCGACACGAGCTTGGCCAGGCTGCGCTTGGCGCCCTTGCTGAGTCTGGAAGCTGAATTACGCGCCCGACTGGGTGCGGTGGACGAGTATGCTGACCTCTCGGACCCGAAGGTGGCCGGTGCAGCGCTATTGGCAGCTCGCTCACAAGCTCGCGCAGAAGCAGCTAGGCCACAAGGCAAACGTCGAGCTGGACCGACCCTGCTCTTGCGAGCAGGCTGGCAAGATCGACTCCTTGGTCGCGCCAAGTTCAGCGACGACAATGCTGACAGCATCGGCAGCGCAAACACCAACGGTACCAAATCCCGCTTGAGGTTCAAAAAGCTAAACATAGCTGGGCGACAAAGGAGCGCGAGCCTCAATGAGCCACCGGCGGATGCGGCGGACGAGGAGAATGTCCCTCCGCCCTTGCCAGACTTGGACAGCGGGGATGTGCAGGTCGGATTGCAAGAACACGAGATTGGAAGACTTTTGCTAGCTAGCATGGAGGACGTCATGTCCATCTGGCAAGATCCTCGCATCCGAAAGCTGCGAAGGAGGCAAAAGATTGATGAGCGAGCGGATGGTGCAAGCTAGTGAGTGCTGCTTCGCGAAGCGCCGCCGATTGGGGCTGCTGCTGTGTAGATGCTGACCTGAGAATCGCTTGCGCAATGAAACAGTTTCTTGGAGCAAATGCCACGCATTGCAGCTGCTGACTTTTTTCCAACCGATGACGATATCATGCGCGCTCGAGTGCGAACAGTAGGCATCACGGAAGATCGCTTCACAGTGGATAGGCACACCACGTATCGAATTTGCGACGTCGGCGGTTCTCGAAGTCAAAGAGTCTTTTGGGCAAGCTTTTTCGAAGATGCGAGAGCCATCATCTTTTTGGCTCCTGTCTCAGCCTTCGATCAAAAGCTCATTGAGGAGCCGCGCATGAATCGCATCGACGACAGCCTGGAACTCTTCGCCTCGATCGTCTCCAATCCCTTGCTACTCAAAGTGTCCTTGATCCTCTTTCTGAACAAAATCGACGTGCTCGAACGTAAGCTGGCTGCTGGAATTCAGGTGTCGCGGTGCGTACCAAGACTCGTGGCCAGTGCGCAGCTCGTGCGCACACTCACTCCTTACCGTTTTCCTCTCAGCTACTTTCCCGAATACGACGGGCCGGACGATTTTGAGCAAGTCTGGCGCTTCTTCCGAACCAAGTTCAGGGAAGTCCTCGCCTCGCACCGCTCCCTGGCGCGCGACCGACCTTGCTACGTGAGTCGGCTGGTGCAGCTAGTACCGATCGGTGCAATGTTTCTGACGTCCGTCGCCTTTGATGCCATGTACACATACAGATTCACACCACCTGTGCGACTTCGACGAAGCAGATCAAGGCCATCTTGGTCTCGGTGCAGGACACCATTCTGCGCGAGTGAGTTCTTGGCTTGCGGATCGCCTCGGTTCATGTCAGCTCTGACAGACACGGTTCACTTTGTACAGAAATCTCAAGGCCACCGGCATGGCATAGGATTTTCGCGCTCTCGCTCGATCTGATACTTCTTTCGGGGCCATTGTCCGTCTAAGAGAACACCTATCAGCACACGTCGATGACGACGACACCCATCTCGATGCGTATAATTCATTACGGCCCCGCGTGTGCGAACGAGAGCTTGCACGACGGCTCCTCATCTCTTCTATTGCCGATACCACTAAACACCTTCAAAGACGAACTTTTCGCGCACCGCATCTCATCAGGGCTTCACTTGGACGACCTTGTCCGCACCGTCGGTGTGACGGTGTCCTCGCACGTGCCCAATGGGATGGACGAGTGGTCTGTACAAATAGACTCATCACACTCTACGCAACAATGAACATGGTCACCTGTACAGCCAATGCGTGAGCATGATTTGATGGGCACTTGCGAGTCGGGTATGGTACAAGGTACAAAGCAAAGTACGCTAACATCATGCGATGAGACGATCGGCGTCACCATTTCCGAGATTCGTGATTCTAGGGTACGTCCTTGGTCTGCCAAGAAGCGCTGATTTGCGAAGACCCAAAGCTCGAAGCTGTAGCGGGTCTGGTTCCTGCATGATTCGCATTGCGAACGACGTGCTGAGCATCGTGAATTTCGGAAGGTCGAGCAATCGTCTCTATCCAATCTGCAGAGCGCTCGTCGCCGACGAAGGACTCTGTCCCCGCCTTGCTCGCACTCCTGATCTGACCAGCACCGAGCGTCTCGTTGAGAATCTCGCTTTCAGTGCTCCAGCCATTGGCAGAGATTTCGCTGCCAATCTTCACATCTCGCAAAGGAAGATCGTACGTGTGTTCCCCCAGACCTTGTCTGCCCTCGCTGCGCCTTCCTACAGAGGCTCCCCTGCCGGCGCTCCGAGGAAGTGAAAGATCGTCGTAAGACCCATAAGGCAACAACCTTGGCGAACCTCCACCACTCGTCTTTCTATCCTCCAGCCCTCCGTGCGCATTGTAACCTTTGTGGACGAGAGGACTGATGTTTTGTGTTCTTCTTCGGAAGCGTTTGAAGAAGGCGCTTCCGCCACCGCCGTACACCTCGATCTGAGCGGATCCTGCATCCCCACTTGAGTTGCGTCCATCGCCCGCCGTGGAACGGTCCTCCACGAGAATCGCCGTCTCCGTCTCCGAAGCATGCCGCGCGTTCTGAGCCGCGATGGCAACCGAGCTGAGCAGAATGTTGACGCAACACACCATGGCGTTGAGTGCGATCATGAGGCCCAGAATGTTTGGATCGCTGTGCAGTTGGGAGACGAGCAGGAGTGCCAGACTGGAAGCGGCGGGCAAGACGAAGGAAAAGACGAGCACGTTCCACAATCGTTCCAGTCTCTTTTGGAAACTCTTTGCTCGAACCACTGGCATTGCTTCGGGCCCACGCAGCGCTCTGCGAAGCGCCCAGAGGCAAAAGATGGCAGAGTAGATCGTGTCGGCTGCCTGAGCTGCGTATTCCGTCGTCGCTGCCGGGTACGTGGTGCCATGGATGTCCAGAGGTGTGGGAGATCTGTCCAACGATGCTCGAAACTCGATCCAAAATAGCGTCAGCGAGACCAAACGTCCGACCTTGAGCAGCACTGGGATGGCAAAGATGGCGAGCAACTTCTTGGCGCTGGTAGTGGCGATGGGATAGAAGTGCAGCAAGCGCAAGGTGATGACTAGATCGGCTAGGTATGGGGTGATGCCGGGCATGACTACGATGGCCATGTAAAGACCTTTGGGGAAAGGCTGGGAAGGGTCAAAGCTGAAGGAATTGCGGAAGAGGAGCCCGGACAGGATTGGGTGAACCAGCTGCATAAGACTCGCTGCTACCACCAAGCAGAGGGTGAAGATGGCGACGCAAGACATGACGGTAGGCGGCGTCCGAGCACGAGGGGAAGGTCTGTGATGCTCGACGCTGCCTGACCATCCTTTGCCAGAAGCGCCTTGATGAGCGTGCAGTGAGCCTGCCGGCGAGCCATTCTCCCCCTCTTGCCCTGCTACACTACCGCCTCGCCTGAGGCGCCTCTTGATCTTGACGGGATGCGTGGATGAATCGCTGATCAGGGTGAGCCACAGCAGTGTTATGAGTAGCGGCAAGACCACTGCTGCCCTGAGCACGCTGACGCTGAGAGCGAGAAAGGCTTGTTGTATTGCGCCCCTAAGCTGCCCCATCAGGGCTTCCTGCGAAGACATCGCAATTTGGCCCTGGAGAGGTCGAATCTGGCCCAGAAAGATCGATGTTGGACGCGTCAGCGACCGGCGTTGTAATCGTCTGCGATAGTCAAGACTCTAGTCGTTTTGGCGCGTTGATCGGATTGGGACGCAGCTCAGATTCGTACCGTCAGGCCATGTGACGCTGAGCGCATACAAGGTACGGCGGCAAAGAGCGGGATTGAGCGGATTTGATGGCGGGTGACGAGGGAGGGAAACAAATGTACCACCCCAATGAAGCAAGATGTTTGGGCTTCGTCCGCCTTGCTCACATTCACATCTGCCAAGAAGCTTGCTCGTTGCTCGGATGGACCCGCGACCATGCAGAGGCCGTAGCTTGGCACGGATGCTGATGGGATGGGTGGATCGATGGGAGACCTGAAGTTGCTTTGCATTCATGGACCCAATCGCCGGTAGGTCAAGAGCCAGAACGTGCTTCAATGCGCCTCTTCTAGACGCTAAACGTGCGTCTAGGCTGATGTCTATTCACATTCAAATTGCTGTGCTGCATGCGTGTGAATGAGACGGAAGGCTTGCCGCGTTCAGAAGCTGCTCTTGCTGGGGCCTACTGCTCGTGAGTCGCGGCCTGTCGCCGCGAACTCGATCGGAGACGCAGCAAGCACGCAGCAGATGTGGGCAAAGCAATCTATGGGCGGAGTTTGCGCGGTCGTCCAGCAGACGATATATGCATGCCTATACGTCACTTATCACACTTTGACTCGTCTCCCAGCAGTCTCATCAGCTTTCGGAGCTCCACCCGTGACCTCCGTGCAACGAAGCGCTCGGCGTGGGCATCGGAACAAATGGTGTCGATAAGAAGTCACGAGTCACATATGGTCTCTTCTCACATTCGCGAGGGGAGAAGCCACCAAGCAGAGCAGAGCAAGAATCGGAGGTGGAGCTGACCGAGGCGAGTCTTTCCTGCTGGCGTTGCGACTTGAAAGTTTCAATGTTGAATGTCGAGACGGAAGGAGGCCTCTTCAATCTTGAATAATCTTTAATGTTCTTCAATTTCGAATAATCTTGAATGTGAATCACGAATTCAGACTCACCCGCGACCCGGGCCACTCGATGAGCGTAGCGCGTAAATTGACAAACCGCTCGCACCCGAATAAGTTGCGCAGTTCACTTTGAGCGTCCAACTTTAAGGTCACGCACCACCTAGCTGCAGCGCCAAGGGCCAAAGACTCTGCAGCTTGGGGCCCGCGTAAGCTCTTCAGCTTCGATTCAAGCGGACCAATGCGAACTTTATTGGAGACGCAGCGTGTGTCTTTTGCGGCGGCCGCGCTTCCTAGTTCATCCATATACGGGGGTGTGTGCGTGTGTGTAAGGAGCTCTAAGCAGCACAAGCAGGGGAGTGGGCTGGGTATAAGTGCGCGCGGGAGACACATATACTCACGACTGCTGACTTGGAGCGCCACTCTGGCGCTCAGGGCGCCCTGAACCGTGCTGCTGCTGGGCAGATAGATTCAAATTGGGTTTGCATGATGATGGGCGGAAGCGGCGGTCCGACATGCACTTCGTACGCTGACTTGACTGTGTTATACACGATTCGTGGCTGACACCGGACACGCATCAGGTCAAGACGGCGACGGCCCCAGGGCATCAGCAATGCGGCCGTCTACGCTGTCCTCAACCCGAGGATATATACATACGCGAGTGCCTGCAGCAGGGAGCAACAAGCTTTCCCACTCAAACTGTTGATCAGGTTCCAAGGCCTCATTTACGTGCAGCTATACGGGCTCTCTCCCACGTCCACCTTGCAACTTCAGCAACTACAATCATGAATAGTCACGCTTTACAGCCGGCCAGATCCACTTACACTTCAGCTTCAAAGACGTGACTCTTATCCACGGTTTACCGGCAACTTGAAAGCGAGAAAGGCGTTGGTGCGTCGAAATTGCGCCGCGGTTAGAATTCGCCGCCACCCTGACTTCTGTTGCGCGGCTCCACATGCAGCTGGCGAAAGTCACAAGTCGGAGTCAGCTGCTGCAATCGCGGCCTGCAAACGTGAGCCGAGGGAGTTCCGTACGCGTGCGAGTCGAGAAAGTGAAGACGGCCCGTCACGATTTGTGACTTGGAATAATGGCTTGCACTGTTGCGCCCCCGGAGCCGCTGAAGCGCGGGCGGGTGATGCTGCAGTCAGCAGTATTGCGCCCACGCGCATGCAGTAATCAAGGTGGAGGGCCCTCTTGCAATTGGTGCAACGTCCACCTCTCTCTGCGAGATCTCGGCAGCATGATGTATGAACTTCCCGGCGCCTCCTGCTGATGATAGGACAGCTAAGCGAAAAGCCTCTCTTTCTGCTTCCAGGCGTCACTTGCTCAGCTAATGAGCGGTCACAGCAGTGTCCCAAAGGTTACACCTATAGTGCTGTGCAGCCGCGTCTCCGGACAAACCATCGCCTGCCTGACCGCCTTCAGCCTGCTCTCGCCGGCGGCAACTCGCAAGTCAACGCAGTCACTTGTGCTCGTTCGTAGGATCACTACAGCCACGGCGGGAAGTGACCGCAAGAATGTCCCGAAGGTCAGTCTGCCTGCACACTCTATGAGCTCGCAGCATATACCACTATAGTCTGGCTAGACGTGCCAAGCCGAGACTCTCGGCTTGCTGCTTCAATCAAGCGCCCAGTCTTAAATTTGGATCAGGTGTGGCAATGGTTACGATCGCATGGGCCGCGCGACGCGTGACTGGTATAGCTCAGGCACAGGGCGCAAGATGGCATGCAAATGGGACGACGGCTGCTGCTTGCATAGAGCTCTAATTAATTGTCCACAGCCTCGCCCGCGGCATTCAGTGATTCTTGACGAACGTCCCATGTCCTGGAAACCTTGTTGGAACTCGCAGCTCACCACTTCGGAGCGCTCGCCGAACAGACGTCAGCTGGCACATAGGCGGTCATTTTAGTATGGCTGAAGATCTTGAAGGTCACAGCCTCTTCCTACCATACTGACCCCTTCATGATGGGACCTGGAACCGCGCTAGCGCGTCGTCAGTGCGGAAAGCTGCAGTCTTTTGAAGCAGCGGCAACTCCCAGCAAGCTCCCGAAGGGTATATATAGGCAAGGAGAAGGAATCCCGAGAAACATGCTGTTTGTCCCCAGCTCATCCCAGCACACCACATCTTGATACTCATCACCCATCACCCATTCCGTCATCAACACACCGTATATCTCCACGATGAAGTCCACCACTTTCGCACTCGCTTCCGCCGCCGTCCTTCTGGGCGCCTCGGTCCCCGTCAAGGCTTTCAACCTTGCCTTCAGAAACAACTGCGGCTTTGACGTCTGGCCTGGTGTTGGCAAGGCTCCCAACGGCCAAGTCGATGGAAGCGTCGCTTACGGCGTTCACCTGGCCCCTCAAGGCACCGCCAACTTTGGCGTCGACGACCACCAGATCGGTATTCGTTCTTGGGCCCGTCTGGGCTGCGACGGCAACGGCGACAACTGCCAGTCCGGACACAGTCTTGGTGGCCTGACGCCTACCGATGCCGGTATCAACGCTGGTGTGCTCTACAGCGTGAGTGTAGCTAGCCCGCTCTGATCATGATCACACCAGCGCTGACCTTGCTCTCTTCCCCACGCACGACAGGAATTTGGTTTTGGTGACTTTGGCGCATACGGAGGTCAACGCATCTCTTGGGACTTGAGCCACGTCGACGCGTCCATAAACGTCGACACTTCCATTGTCGCATCCAGCGGAAACCCCAACTCTGCTACTTGCCGTCAGAGCAACTGCCCTGCCGACCAGGCTTACGATGTCTACAATGATTACGCCGCTGACCGCAACTCTGACCTTGGAAGCAACTTCCAGATCACGTACTGCCCTTAAGCGCGAGCAAGCTGCGTGCACGCCGACCTTGCCGTACATTTTAACACTCATGGACTTTTGACACTAGTCGCTCGGCAGCCCGAGATCAACGTACCTAATCAGATCTTCTCCGTAGTGCAAAAGCTCAGCTTCCCTTGTGTGTGACGTGGACGTGTTCGGTGTGATGGGGTGTTTTTAATTTGATGACGCGATGCACATCTGACTAGTCTACATCTATCATGCTGCATTTGACGATGAAGAGCTGCAAGCATGAGCTTCCGTAGGATGGGAGCGCTTCGAGGCAGTACACTCACGAATAGGCCGGAGCATCTAATTTCTCTGCACCTTTCAAGAAAGGAATCTCGACGATGAAGAGGTACTCGACCACCTTTGCGCCAAGCTTTGTGACGAGCTGTCCTGCAGCTTTCGCGGAGCCGCCTGTCGCGATCAAGTCATCCACCACGAGCACGTTGGCTCCTGCTGGCACCGAGCCTGCTTGCGCCTCAAAAATGTCCTACACGAAGGTGGTCACCGAGGACAAGTATGAGCGCCTCGAAGCAGACGCCCTCTTGAGCTCTCATCATCACTACTCACCTCTCCGTACTCTTTGGCATACACTGCCTGTTCGCATGTTCCAGGAAGTTTGCCCTGTTTCCTGACGGGAACAAAGGCAGCTCCGAGGCGCAGTGCAAGTATAGGTCCCAGCAAAAATCCTCTAGCGTCCAGCCCTACCACAGCATCGATCTTTGCTCCATCTCCCAGCCTGGGCAGCGTCACGCCAAACACGTGCGAGAGCAGATGGGTGATAAGACCTTCGAATGCGATCGGATTGCGCAGGATGGGAAGAATGTCGCAGAAGTTGACCCCCGATTTGGGGTAGTCCGGGTAGAAGACGAGATGCTTGCGAAGTGCGACCACGTCTGGCGCATCTCGAGATCCGTTCGTCGCCATTGTGTCTCTCAAGCTACGAGCTGATCTCTCGATACAGTCGTGAGTCGAGGCTGTGCGAAGCTGAGGGTAAATGGTGAACCGCGACTGCAGAACCGAATCAGTGGCCCTTCGTTGGTGGCAGGTAGAGAGGACTGGTGATTGGGATCCGTGATGTTATCGACGTTTCTTCCAGGCGCGCCAACCGCCATGCAGCGGCATGCGCCTAGAGGCGGACGTGCACGTTCACTGCCGCGGACAATTTAAAAAGATACGCGCGTCAATTGCTTAATTCACGATTGGCTCCGCCAGAAAAAGGGACAAGCACGTCATTCACGATTCACGATTCACATTCGTGATTCAAAGATTCAAAATTGATTCCAGACTTCCTGATCTATGCTGACCAGCAGCACGTGATCAGTGCGTGCGTGCTGTGTTGACTGCAACTTACATTCACGTGATTCGCGATGCACGATTCGAGATTGACTCTTCTTGTTCTCATCAATCTTCAATCACAATGAATGACCTCAAGCCTTCAGCCTCATCACTCTTGACCCTTTGACCATCTCGAATCTTGCTTACCAGCAGTCGATGACTTTTGTTGATCATCCGCTCCCTCTAAAGTGCCGTTTCCTCATCCGGGCGCGCTTCATCAGGTGTTCCGAGGAGGCTCGTTCGCTGAAGCGCTTCGCGCACACAGGTGAGCGAAGCAACAAAGCTCGACATCGGCGGCATGCACCTTAGTATATACGTGCTTGAGACCTGGTGATGAGCCAGGCTTGCTGTGCATGCGGACGGGGCGCGCTTAGTTCACGACTCCCTTGAAGCGCGCGGGACGAGATTCGCTGGATGTCGCTCGCACCAGCCTTTTGGGATCGAGAGGCTGACGCACGCGTACCCTTCGCCGTTGGTGCATCAATATGACTCACTTGACGCTTCTCTGAAAAGCAATTGAACTTTGTCACATCAAGCCGAAGGTCTTGTCCATTTCCGCCGCGACACGCGGCGTTCGTGAAGCTCTAACGGTTGTGTGCGTTGCGCTGAGTTGATGTGGCAGGAGCCTATGCGTCGGCGGGGCCATAGGAGGCTGGCAAAGTTTGGCTACGCGGCTGCATGTCCTTAACGGAGTCCCTATGTCCTTGACGTTAGCCAAGGCCAGCCACGAAGCTACGCGTGCATGGAGAGAGCCGCTTCCACGAGCAGGTGTTGCAGATGATCAGTCACGGTGCTCAGCAGACAGACGAAAGTCACTCTGGGTTACACTTGCGAGGCTCGTCGTGACTCGTGACAGTAGTAGTCGTACTATACACATAGTCTCCTGTCCATCAATTCCTTAAGAATTTGGAGCTCAAATTTGAATTTGCAGTTACGAGTCTCGAGTGAGCAGCCCGATTCACGTCCACGTACTCACTTGCAGCCCGATTCAGCTAGTAATCGCATTGGTGCGCATGCTGACCATCTCGATCTCACGCTGGATCCCTTGAACAGCAAAGTTTGGTCCAAAGGCCGACGTCGCGCCACGTACATACTCACGACTGTACATCGTCTTTTTGGTCTGGAAAAGAGATGTTTCACAGCATCGCCGGTACTGCAGCATGCGTGTCGCGCGTGCCGGTCCTTCGAGCGTGCCCGCGGAAGGAAGGTTAGCGCGCTGCGCCCTCGCGACTACGCCCAGCTGCATGATTCTGTCAAAGAGTGTCCCCGTAAGGCATGAATTGGGAAGCACCACGCATGCGTACCACCACACATCAGCAGCCGCAACCACCAAAGTCGCTTGCATACGCGTGCGAGCGCCGACCACGCCTTTGCATGAAAGCCAAGCCATGCATCTGAGCACTTCATGACGAACTCTTGCTTACCAGAAAGGTCCGCAATTCGGAGTCACAGCACTTTCCAGCCACGAGAGACGGTGTTGCAAGCATCAGCGCTCACCACTCTGCCGCAAGCGTTCATGCATGGACCCCGATACACAGCAAGAATCAAGAGGCGACGTCTGCATGCATGCCCTGAGCGCTGCGCCAATCGTCACCGACGTTTGATCCTGGATGACTTGCGACCTGACGGTGGAGTCACAAGTCGTGAGTCGTGAGTACTACTGTGTAACAAGATGCCTGTTCATGCAGGCACGCCGACCGCGACACGACGGCCGGAGCAGGGCGCAAGGCGTGCAGAACGGCGTAGCAAGCATTCACAGCAGCTATACGATGCTATGCTTCCTAGCTGCCGCGTCTAAAGAGCTATAGCTGCTACCAAGCATATCCCTGCATGCAACCGGCATGCTCAGTACTCCCATTTCACGCTGGCGGCCCGTGGGACCCAGTGCCACTTTTGTTGGGTCTCCATGTGCAGGAAAGCCATCTCTCAAGGACATGGGCGCTCGTCCGAACCTGTGCCGCCAGCCACGACATAGGGGAACCTCGGCGTTTCGAGAGGATAGGCGACCACGAATCACGAACGCGATCATGCATGGCCTTTCGGGGCTCGAGCTGCAGGTCCCGAGACTCTACTGCGCGTAGAATGCACGAGGGCGGGACCCCCGAGCTCTTCTGTACCCTCGCATTTCCCAGCTGAGCGTCTTTTAAAGGTAAGGCATCGGTACGAGCCGTTCCCTCTTCGGACCCTGATCCACTCCACCACACCTCTCCCCATCTCTTTCCACGGACGTCGATTGCGCTCATCCCGCAATTCACGAGGGCCGGACCCATTTACAAGGCGTAGGGCAGGATCCCTACCACACCATCCACGACCGACCTACACTCTCTCACGACCACCGCAGCTCTGGGCAGGCCCCACCAACATTCTTTAAGTTTCGTCACCCGCGGCAGGCTCCGCCACTAAGCTATCAATTTTACGCCAACAGCACCACTAGGTGAGTCATTCAGGCAATTGCTTACGGCGACAACCAGGCGCAGCTGACTCAGATGACAACCGCGTTACTTGGTGCACAGTCACCGTCACTCCAGATCACTTTTCAGACATGCCCGTCACACGCAGCCTCACTCCCACCCAAGCTCATATGCAGGGCTCTTCCAAGAGAAGGCCGGCGCCTACACCGCTCGATCTGCGGGCAGCGCACGCCAAAAAGGTCTCAAGGGGCTTTAACAAGTATCCAGTGCCAAACCACCCTCGCAGCTTGGTCCCGGGCAAGCAGATCTACTGCGCTCCCACTAAGCAACCAGCAGCAACTGTTCGCATCGTCGACGCGATTGATCTGAACGAGGCTAGAAGATTAAAGAACAAGACTGTTTCTAAGAGCAGCCCTAGGCAGTACGAGAGCACGTCACCCCGCCGACAGCCTCTGCGCTCCGTACGCGGTCGGCCTCGGACGCCTTTGCCCATTGTCAATGGCGTCAAACAGCACACAGTCGCTTCGCCCGCTGCGCGATCCGTCACCTTTCCCATGCCCAAGCGCAAGAGTAGCCGCATCAGCTTGCGTTTGCTTGGTGGTGGTAGCAGCAGTGCCAAGAGGCTAGTCGCAGCGGCCGCAATGGAGAAGACACCGTGCCCTTGGACGAAAGGCTGCACAGACTGCAGAGCGCATCAGCAAGCCGACGTTCCAGAAGTTCCGAAAATCAGTTCGAAGAGCTACGGTTTGGCGTCGGGTCTCGGTAGCGGCAGCGTAGACATTGTGCCCGACAGCTGGCTCGAGCTTTGCTGGGGAGAGAACCACGACCGCTTCCCATCCGAAGCTAAGCCTGGGATGCCCACGCGACGCCAACAATCGATGCCTGCGATGCCGTCCCACGCCAAGGTGTCGCAACCCATGTCGCGAAAGTCCACCCCGCCTGCAGGCAGTCAAGCCTCGATCCCATTGGTGGCTTCCACCGTTGAGCTTCCACCGGTTCCGAGCGCCTCGATCACTGGCGAGGCGATTCTACGCCACTCCCCAGAGGCGGAGCAGCCCAAGCAGCTGCCACTCGTCAACGAGAGCACCAAGACAAGCCCCAAGATGAAGGTGATCAACACGCCGCAGAGCGCCCTTCCAACACCCCTGCCTGCGTGGGTCGCAGATGTGGACGCGTACCTCGCAAGCATGACGCCCACCTGGGCTGGAAGAACTCCTGCCACTGCTCGATCCCTCAAAAGCGCATGCGCTTCGGCTGTCTCGGTGTGGAGCGTTTCGTCGGCCCTATCAGCCTACCCTAACACTCCAGCTGTCCTTGCCTCGCGCTCTCCTTCCACCATGGCTGCTCTGCTCAAGTCGTATGGTGTCCCTGTACAGCTTGCCACTCCGATTCAAGCCCAAGCCGTCCCACTTGCTCGGCCACAATCGGCAATCTTTTCCCTGGGTGGATCGCCATTGATGTCGGCGGTCACCGACTACTCCGTCGATTCTGACGATTCTGCGGAAGATCACAGTCATCAAGCACCTACGGTCACCGTCACAGAATGCGCTGCAGACACGTTGTCGGCGGCTTCTGACGGCGAGACCAAGATAGGCAACGCTATGCTTCAGGACGCGCCCATCACGGCATCCTCATCCGAGGCTTCGCCACCGCGCTTCATGAACGCCAAGATGCGCACTGCGAGTGTCAGCTCTCACGGCAGCAGCAGATCTGGCTCTTCCTACCGTGCGGACTCGATATTCTCGTCTGAAAGCAGCTACGCGGATAGCGACGTAACCAATTCCCCGCGAACCAGCATAGAAAGTTCGTCGCCACCTGCCAAGACGTCCAAATCGGCGCTTCTGAACGGCAGGCAGATCACGGAGCCTGCCAGGACAGAAGTGAGGGGCACCAAGGACATCGTGCCGCCTCTGCCCACGACCGATGCGCAAACTGTCGCTGCTATTGTGTCGGCCAAGGCAACAGGTGCCACTAAGCCTATACCGCCGCCCATCACCATCGCAGCCATCAAGCCCATCGCGATGGCAGAAGTAGAGACGAACTCCGCAGCTAGCATTCCAGCACAAAGCTCCGACAGCGTCACGACCGAGTTCGGGGGAAGCGTTCGCGACTTTATGGACGAGGACGATGGTCTGGAGGACCAGTCTGCCTTTTCTGCAGTGTCCATCTCTAGCGAAGAATGGAGCGCAGACTTCAGCTCGGCAGCGGAGAACTTCGAAAAGGTTGCCATGGGAGACGTGTTCCCGCAGATTCCAGAACCGGCAGCTGTGAGCAAGCAGCAGAGGCTTTTGGTGGAAGTGGAGAGACTGAACGCGGTCAAGATGGACCGTGGACGCAAGTTTGGACACGCGCGTTCCAAATCTTCTCCTGGCGCTTTTCAGGTCACTGCTCCCTTTGCCTTTGGACCTTCCCTCATCGAGCCAGAAGTTTCGGTCGCTAGGCACCCGGGCGCGAAACCGTTCGCAGCTAGCGCAGCTGGTCGAGCGCTCGAGCTGAGCAGACTACAGCTGTCCATCGAACAGCTGCAGATGGAGAGTCTCAGCCTCATGAACGCTTGAGCGTGCGTTTACACCTGTCGAAACACCACTGCCCGGATGACGCGCAAGTCTGCAGAGAAATGCTCTCTGATGGCCCCCTTGCTGCTTTGTTGTACTGTATGATCTCGCTTGCTGAGCCCCTTGCCTATATCTCCTGGAACTCTCGGGTCCAAACCACACGCTCCTTTGCTCGTGCTTGTCCGTACAAATCTTGGTGCGTCGGCCCCGGTGGCTCGGCTCGCTCGATACCTTTTTGCTCCCATGGAGAATTCAAAGCCCTACAAATAGGAAGAGACCGAAATATCTTGGTGACGAAACCTGTGTGAGAAGATCTTTTCGGCAAGCCAGAGAGAGAGAGGGAATTTTTCAATCGCTGTCTGTTCTTCCGGACATTTGCTCCAGGCTGTGAGCGCTAGCAACACCTTTTGAGGGATGCGAAGAATGCTGCGCAAGGGTCCGTTCTTGGGATCAGCAAATACGACGCCTGCCTATGGCACAGCGGTCGTCGATAGTGCGCTCTCTCCGCTTGTCATGACATTGCCAGCTTGAGGCACGAACAGCCGGGCTCAAGAGCGAGACTTTGAATAGCCGAACCTTACACTCGACTCTGCGTTTCGGTCACGTGGCGCTCCATTGCCTCGAGATCGAGACGCTGAGGCATTCGCGATTGGATGCTACTGTTCCGAAACGTGACTTGCTGCCCACGACGACATTTGTACATTCAAGGTTGTTCTTGCGATGGTGATGAATAGGACCATCATCAGCTTCCGTATGCCCTTCGTCCGGCTAAGAATGAGGCACGGAGCCTTGGACGACTTTGCCGGTGTACCGGAGCGCGATGACGGAGGTGAGGCCGTGCACAGGTCTGAAGAGTTGCCTTAGCTAGGCTGGCTGGCCTGCTGTGCGACCCTTCTGCGTGTTCGCTGCACACATGGCTTGTGCGACCGGCCCGGATAAAATGTAGGCGACCGGCCCGGCAGCAATCAAGTATGTATAGCAGCCAAGCAAGGCGCGCGCAAGGGGGGGCAGGTCGAGCGTGAGTGTACCGTGACTCGCCGCATCCGCGCACGCATGCATGGCTGCCATGCAAGTCGACATCTTAGCGGTGTGGTGTGGTGTTCATCCAACGGCGCACTCAGACTTCTTATAAGCAGACAGCCTGCTTCAACTTCACCTTCCTTCACCCCATCTTCTCAGCCTGGAACTGCAAAGTACCCCCCCCACCTCTGCTCAAGACAAACGACCGGTCACCCTTGGCGCGCCTGTACCGCTTGATCATTGCCGTCTTGCCCGAACCTCTGCTTTCAGCGCCACGCCGTTCAATTTGCGCCTGAGCGCCCCAGGGACCATATACAACGAAGTGTATAGATACAGACAGACCTATCAACATGGTCCTCGTCACCGAAGTAAGTTTGCAAAGCTTGCGCACTGCGCACTGCGCGCGTGCGCGTCCGCCTGCCCAACCTCCGTCATTTGTATTTACCTTTCCTTGCTCGATTACGCCTCGCTCGTGCCAGCTCACCAAAGCTCTTGGATTGGAGGTGCCGCTTGTGCAAGGCGGTATGCAATGGGTCGGAGTACCTCAACTCGTCACTGCCGTATCCAACGCCGGAGGACTTGGCTTGCTCACTGCTCTGACGCAGCCTTCTCCGGATGCGCTCAGAGAGGCGATCCGAGAGACTCGCAAGAACCTCAAGCCGGGCGTGGATGAGCGAAGCAAGTATGGAGGATTTGGAGTAAACATTACCATTTTGCCTTCCATCAACCCACCTGACTACGAGGGGTACACGCGCGCTGCGCTCGAGGAAGGTGTGAGGATCTTTGAGACGGCGGGAAGCAATCCGGGCCCGATCATCAAGGCTGTCAAGGAGTATGGGGGTTACGTCATTCACAAATGCACCACTGTTAGGCACGCTCGTAGTGCGCAGAAGCTCGGCGCAGACATGCTCTCCATCGACGGCTTCGAATGTGCCGGACATCCAGGAGAAGACGATATCGGAGGTCTGGTACTCATGGCGCGCGCATTCGAAGAGCTTTCCGTTCCATTTATAGCCTCTGGCGGAATCGCCAATGGTCAAGGGCTGGCCGCTGCCTTGGCACTGGGCGCATGCGGAGCGAACATGGGCACGAGGTTCATGTGCACAAAGGAGGCGGATATCCACGAGAATGTCAAGAGAGCTATTGTGGACTCGGACGAGAGGCAGACGGTGCACATGTTCCGCACGCTAAGGAACACCGCTAGAGTGTTCAAGAACAAGGTGTCGATGCAAGTCGTAGAGCTGGAAAAGAAGGGTGCCAAATTCCCAGAGATTCGTGAGTTCGCGCCGCAGTCGGCGCAAAGGCGCGCACACGTTGCGCATCACTTTCGCGAGAAAGTGCGTGCCGATCTGACCTTGCCACCACCTCATCCTTCGACCACCGATGTTGTAGAACCGCTCGTGTCTGGTCAGCGTGGGAGAAAGGTGTACACCGAAGGCGATCTGGATGCGGGAGTTTGGACAGCCGGAATCACGCTTGGACTCATTCACGATATTGTGAGTAGGAATAAACGCCTCTTCCTATCCAGAGTGTGACCTACACATGCTCGCACGACACTAACCTCGAACCCATTTCGACGCTCTTGCAGCCCACGTGCGAAGAGCTGGTGAAGCGCATCGGCCAAGATGCCGAGAAGCACATTGATAGGCTGGCATCGCTCTCTGCTCACAAGAGCAGCTCCTCCGCTTCGAGAGAGTCGAGGCTATGATTGCGTAGCTGATCTGTATGTTGCTGCCATCATCTTCCACATCACCCGCACGCCGATGTTCGATGAGGAGCAACGACTCGCGACTCGATGACCTCATCCTTCGCAATGCTAGTCGATGTTGAATTTTGGGGTTTGGCCGAAGGCTGATGAGACCTGAGCTGAGCCCTGCTGCGAATTTTCGAACAAGCCATGTAAACGAGGGAACAATTGGCTACCTCATTAGGCCTGATGGCCGAGTGAATGGACCGGATGAAGGGCCAGCTTTTCCAGTCATCTTTGGTGCGGTACGATCGAGGATGCGTAGGCTGCGAGCGCCATGCACGCATTATGGATGACCGACTGGTGAACGCCAACGCCGTGTGATCGTGAAGGCTTGATCGAAAGGAGCGTGGCGGTGTCACACTCGTGACTGTCAGGGGTATGGCGTGCTGATGAATGCTTGTTCGGGTACTCACACTCAACACTTAAATGTGCTGCTGCTGCTGCTGATGGCGGGAGATGTCTTGCGCTTCATTCAGCCCAAGCGGCGTTCCTGCAGCAGCGCGCAGCAGCTTGGGCTGCATGGGCGAGAGCCGCGAGAGAGACAAGATGTGCATGCATGCATGCATGCATGCATGCATGGGTGGATGTGGATGCGGATGCGAGATGCGCAGCAGCTAGGGGTCCGCGGTGGGCGTCCGTCCATCACGAATGTTGATGAACTTGGCTGAGCAGCAGCAGCAGCAGCAGCAGCTATAGCAGTCCGTGCGTTCGCTATAGGCGCAGCCAGCCAGCCAGCCGCGGCTGTGCAGCTATAGCTAGCAATACGTACGGTCAGCACGCAGAGAAATCAAGCGCCGCTCCATCTTGCCAAAGCTGCCATAACCACCGCTACACCCACGACTCGATGATTCATCATTCGTGATTGCGATTGCTGCGACGATTCCCTTTTCCCACAATCGCGCATTCACATGCTGCGGGGCTGTACCATCGTTCACAGGGTGACTGCCGTCTTCGACTTTCCCTTGCGCTGACCCACACACTGCCCTAGCATCCGCCGCTCGCCCTGCGTCTGTATCTGCAGTCTCACAACGCCCCACCCATACGCCCCTCAGTAGGCACACTTTCGCATCACGACTCACGAGCCCCCCTCGACCTGCGTGGAGAGCAAGTTGGATCGACATGCCTTTTCTGGGCGGCGCGAGCGAAGGTGGAGCAGCAGCAGCACCTAGCTTCGAGACTGCTCAGAGCGTATCGGCTCGACGTAAACGCGTAGCCCTGATCGTTCTAAGCTCCACCTTTCTCATTGGCCTAGTACTCAGCGCTACATTCAGAAATGAGATCATCAGTCTTGCCGAGACGATCGGAGTCAAAGGGTGAGTTTCGTGGGCGTGGGGCGTGATTGGGATGCAGAAGGGGGGGGGGGGGGAGCAAAGTTCGAGCAGGCGTACGATTTGGCGAGTGTTTAGCTGCAGCGCTGGTCGAAAGGAGCAACATCGACAACGGCCTGTGACAGGTTGCTCTCGATACCGCAGAGACTAACGCTACCTCACCTACTCGCGCACCTCCCCCATCATCCCCGAACACTCAGGTTTGGCTGGATCGTCTTTTTCTTCTCTTCAGCTCTGACCCTGCTCGTGCTCGTCCTAAGCTTCATTCCCATCCTGCTCGGTTTCTGGTGCGTGTGTGTCAAAGCTGTGCAAAAGGGCCCGGCTCATGTACGTAGGTGTCATGGCTCAAGGCAGCTCACCCATTTCCCCCCCCTTTCTCCCCCCCAACTCGTTCCAACTCGTTCCAACTCGTTCCAACTCGTTCCAACTCGTTCCAACCCGTCCCCCCCATTCCCATCCCGCTCTTCGTTCGACGCTACCAAACATCCAACAGGTGGCTCTTCCTAGCTCTCTTCATCTACATCCAGATCAAACGAGGAGGAGGAGGTGCAGCAGCAGCGTCAAGCACCACCGGATCGAGCGCCCAGACCTTTTCCCAGGCTGCCAAAGACGCCTGGAAAAAGTTGCCTTCCTTGACGGGCTCTGGAGAGGGCAGGATCAGGCTTTGAATCGACCTTCTAGGGTCTCGCGCGCAGGAAGTCGTTCAGGAGGATCCGTCAGATGCGGAAGAGGCACACAAGAATCCCTGAGCGCTAGCGGCCCTGTTCAAGAGTATTCAATCAAAAGATCGTCAGCTCCCCCTCCCAGCCCCCTGCTGCTCCTTTTGATGATCAAGCGCATCAACGAGGCTCGACGCAAGGAAAGGCGCCCGATTTCCCATCTCGAGAGTGGCCCGCGCCGGACAGACCGTCTCATCGTGTCCAAGTCCTGCTACAACGCTTCCAGATGCGTGTGCAAGCAGCGGCTCAATTTGCACGCATGCCGACACCCCAGTGATCACTTTATCGAGCTCGCGTATATGATGCGTCGATCGTGAGAAAGAGGATGAGTGACAGTTACGTGAAATGGGCGATGACAATGAGTGCGAGGTGGTGATGGTAGTGTAGGTGGAGATTGGCTTTGTACACGCACGGTGTATCCGAGAATCGTAGGTGCGAATGCGAGCAGAAAGAACAAAAAGGAAGAAAAAAAAAAGCCATGGACAGCAGACTTCCAAGACTCCGTCATCAAAGGATCTTTACAAAGAAATGACGCAACGCCTGGCCCAGATCATCGAGGAGTGGCAGTGCCAGGTGTAGGAGCAGCCGATTCCATGTCCCTCACTAGAGGTCTCTTGGGATCCCCATTGGCTTCGTGGCGCTGCTCCGCAGACTCTTCGAGCTTCGCAGCAGCATCCTTGAAATCGGCATGCCTTTGCGACTGTCCCACCGGTCCAGCCAAATCCGTCGCCGAGACATCTTCCATCAAGCTGTGCGTGCGCGTCCTCCTCTGCTGTGCTCCGTTGCTTCGCTCCGGTAGCGCCGTCGACCTCTTCTGAGGACTTTGAGACGCAGATGGCGTCATGGCAGGCGCACCCGATAATCTCTGCAAGTCGCTCGACGACCTGTTCCTCTTCTCTGCAAACGTCTCCGCAGCACCGCTGCTCGCTCGAGAGCGCGTGCGGGCTCGCGGGCTCTTGGGACTCTTGGGATCGTCACCGCGCGTGCCGCTCAGAATGCTAAAGATGGCCTCGTAATCGCCTTCTTCTGACTCCTCTTCCGTTGCACTGCTGTACACGTCCTCGCCATCGCTCAGCGCTTCTTCCACCACCTCGTCACCCTCCTTGAAAAATTCAGCGCCAGAAAGGGCACGCGTCGTTCGGCTCGCCCGACGAGAGGAGCCCGACCAGCCGAACAGACGCTCGTCCACCCACGAAAGAGGGTGTGCCAAGGCGCTCGTGCCATCCAAGCGCTTGTCAGTAGTCTTTTGCTTCCAAAGCAAAGCGTTTGCTCGATCCGGCGTGGTGCTAGGCGGAGCGTTGGCAGTAGGAGGTGAGATGATGCGTCGCTCCGTGAAATCGTCCCACACCTGCGGTGCCAGCTTGTCGATGACTTCGTGCAACTCTGCAGAGATTCTCGATCTCGTGGCTTGAAGCTCCAGGATGGCCTTCTGATTGCCGGGAAGCAGCGAGACAAAGAGAGGAGGCAAGGATTTGTAGATATCGATGCCCACTTCGCTGAACTTTAGAGTGCTATACGCCAGCATTGGCATGCCTCCAAGAACGTACATAGGCATGCGTCGAAGATGAGGTGGCGAGACGCCGTTTCGGTAGGCGACGTAAGTGGTGACTCCGGCGTAGAAGCAGTACAGGACAGGCGTGATGCCCATGCTGACCAGGACTTTCCAGGTAGCAAGAACGTCGCGACCCATCAATTTCACCTGAGAGGCAGCTAAAGCTTCTTTTGCCTTGCGCGCTGAAATGATCTTGGCGAGAATGATGATGGGTGCATTGAGGACAACGCCTGGCAGCGCCAGGCCGCCCCAAAGCCCTAGAAGCCCAAGTCTGTAGAAGAATAGCCCCAAGGATCTCCATCCGGCCCGCGTTGCGCGCTCGACTTGATGATCTTTCAAGCCGGCATAGGCGAGCATTTTGTTATATCTGAGGACGTTTGCTTTGAGTTGTTGAATACGAGGATCGTCCTTGAACTTCAAGTACCCCACAATCATCCTGCGATTGATTTCTACGACTTGAGACAGCGAGGGATGCACACCCGGTGGGGTGTACAGGCGCCGGCCGGCCTGGATGAACATGAGCGTCTCGTAGTCTGGCGCTCGAAGCGTTACCGACTTCAATCCATCGAAAACAATGTCCATCATCGAAGCGACGGCTTCGCGCTTGCCGTCCCCGCCTTTCTCAAACTGCCCGACCAGCTCTCTAGGCACGTCGAGAGGCGTACCAAATTCTACCACTGCTCTGGAGCGGAACTTGTGCGGGTGGAAGTAAGAGAGACCGACGGGGACGATGCGGACTTTAAGACCGGGATTCGCGGCCATAGCGCCGAGCGCCATGATGACTACGCCAGCCTTGAGAGGCAGCAGGTCTGTGCGATCGTGGGAGCCGCCTGATTGGAGGAGCGGCCGAACCAGTCAGCCCTGCATGCATAGTCTAGCTGCTTAAGAAGGCTACGCTTACCTTCTGGAAAGATGCCTAACGAGCCTCCGTCCGCCAGGCGCTCGTAGACGCTTGAATACATTTGCGTCTGATCGACATACGGCAAGCACTTGTACTCGCAGCCTTGCTGCTCTTCTTCCCTCGCCTTTGCGCCCTTGCCGATCTTGACCATCGACTTCCCTCGAAGCGATTCGAGCGCCTTTGCCTCTTTGAACTCCTTCTTGATCCTAAGCTCTGTGTCAGAGATAACCTCGACCACCTCAGCAGTCGCGTAATTGGTAGATTTGGGCAGCATGATTTGGCTCTTGCCTTTGAGCTGCTTTGTGAATTCGGAGCCATGTCCTTGGATGAGGGTGGCGTCACCCGAGGAATGCGCACTGATCGTGCCTTTGCCAACCTTCGCCGAGTCTGCTGCCCGGGCCACGGGGACTGCAGGAGGCGGAGTGGATGAGAGGGTTAGCAAGCGCCCAGTTGACTTGGCACAGCTGAATGATGCTCACTGCTTTGCATCACTCGAGCAGCAGCCCCAATGAATTGCCTCTTGATGGACTTTTCGGCAATCAGGAACGCAACACGACGGCCAGAGCCCCTTCGCACCTCGGAAGCCAAGAGCAACGGATCCAGGAACTGCGCCAAGAAGAAGAGATCTAAGAGGGATGCGTCTCTTTTCCCTGTCGAACGGCTTTGATCACATACCTGATTGTGGTGAGGAGCTGCCACAAAGATGACTGGACCTTCGTTTGGCCTAGGAATCTTCCAAGCCCCGCGCGGCTGTATGCTCCTGAAGAAGACATTGATAACTATCCTCCAGAACAGCAAAGCAATGTCGAATGCCTGTCGCAAACCCATTGAGATGATTGACGTGTCAGATTCAGAATGGCATCTGAGGGAAAGGGTAGCGCCTCGTCCCTGAAAGTGTAGATCAACCGGCGGGCCCCATGAGCCCTTCATCGCTACTCACTATGTTGGTAGCCATGATGCCCTGCGAAGCGAGGATTCGGGCGGCAGCTCTGGCTACCAAGCGCGGTACGAGCCGATGAAAGGGTAAAGGGAGTCCGCTCAAGAAAGCGTGCAAGTCCCTAATTGATCTCTGTACTCTCTGACTATCTCCTCTTCGCATCCATCGAGCAGCAGCTGCAGCGTTGGCGCTGGAAGAAGCTCGTAATAGAGCTGAGTTCGGCTGAATGGATAAGGGAGGCAGCGGCTCGGCTGGGTTGGTCGAGGGAGACTTGGATCGTCGACTTGATGGTGTGAACGACGGCATATAGAACGAAGAAGGATGAGCTATCGCTCTGATTCTGGACAGCAGGCCGCGGGTCCTTGCTTGTGGTCGCCCTGTGAGCGCTTTAGCGTGACAGCCGAGAGGTGGGCTTGCAGTTGCGCACGTTTTGCCGACTCCCGACGGGCATGAGAAGGGGCGCAAGTGAAGCTAGTGCTGGCGTTCGCGTAGGTATGCTTGGAGGAGACGTTTGCTCCTGCTTTGGATGATTGACGGTGTGCGACAGCGTCGGGTTGCTTCCTGAGGGGGTGTGTGTACAAGTACGATCTTCCTGCCCCGTCCGTGATCGAACGAAGGCTTTGGCTGTCCTGGAAGGACTTGCGACTACCACAACAGTCACGCAGTCTCGTACACTCGACTGTGCAGCGTAGGAGCGCAGAGCCTAGAGAAGCCTGTACGCAGCGCTGCACTGCAGAGCAGGTGTGGATGGTGCAGGGTCCGCGCGCCCTTTGATCGCGCGCGGGCGATTCACAATAATCACGAATGTGCTTCCGCAAGCGCAAGGAACGCCACGCGCAGCTCGCAGGTGGATCGTGCAAAGGCCTATAACCAGTGAAGTACGGTATGTGGCTACTGTTCCTAAGCTGCAGCGCCGAGCAAAGCAACAACAGCAATCACAATCACAATGAAGTCTTGAGTCTGAAGCGCTGCTGGAGAGGGTGAGTGACACGACGGCGAGAGGGTGCAGGCGCGAAGGCGAGTAGTGCGAGTGCAAGCTTTAGCGCCGCCGCTTTGATCGCTGCACACCAAGCATAGCTTGAGCTTTAATTTGTCGACGTGCAGCGCTGCTGCCGAGGCGCCTTAGCCCTTGCGGGGGAGCGTGCCTTGTGGGAAGTTTGGGGCAGTCCGCATATATACAACAGTAATTACTTCTCGTGTCCAATATGTAGTACTGTAGTCACCAAGTGGAATTCTTGATTCACGATTGTTCACGACTCACGACTGAGCTCACGACTGGCGATCGTGCCAGCACACGCGCTTCATAATAATCACGAATCCACGCTTGAGTGAGCCTCGATCGATCGACCTCAGACATGTACCCGCGGTCAGTCACAGCGGCGAGTCAGACAGATCTCAGCGCAGCTGCGCGCGGCGTGATCTCGATCAGACGCCTTCATTCGAGATTGATCCAGCACTCACGTCTCATTCTTGATTCGTGATTGTACATCGAACGCATATAGCAGCGGGCCGAGCAGGCAGGCCGTGCAGCACGCGTCCGGCGCGGAAAGTTGGGGCAACGAGAGGCTGACCGCGCGTTTCAATCCAATTTTGACTGCTCTGCATGACTGTTGGTGGACTTTGGGTCACGTGTTGTAAATTCGCTCGGTCGCTCGCACGAAAAAGGGGACAGAGGGTGGCGCGACGCGTTTTAACGAAATTGGCGCGTTGCACAGACACAGCGAGCCTGGACTGGCGCCTTCGGATGATCGCGAGAGGCGACTCACGAGTCGGGACTGACGACTGTGCTGGCTGCTGAAGCGCTCGCTTCCTTTAATGTCACGCGGCGCGTGCGCGCGTGTGCATTGGGTCGCTCCCCTGCACCAACCAACACCTCACATTGTGATTCGTGACGTTGATCCGCATCGACGTCAGACACCACCTCGAACTTAGCTTCCGAGACGATCAGCTCTCCTTGCGCACACCGCGGCTAGACTATCAGCATAGAAGCTTTGAACTACATTTCGTGTCGACAGTCACCATTTGACCAGCACGGAGGCGCCTTCCCAAACCATCTCCGTCAGTCGACCGCTCTTCAGGCCTGAAGACAATGTCGGTCATCCACCTTCAAAACGTTCAGGTCCTGAACCCCAAGGGATCATTCTCTGGTAAGTGTTCGGCAATCATTTGCACTGCTCTCGAGTCATCTCACGTCTCACTCCGTCTTGCAACGACCACTCGCTCGCTGCCCGACCATGCAGATCCTTACATTTTCAAGGTGACTTTCGAGTGCATCTCGCCACTTGAGGACGATATCGAGTGGAAGCTGATCTACGTCGGATCGGCCGAGAGCGCTAGTTACGATCAAGAGCTGGACAATTGCATGGTCGGGCCTGTTCCGGTGGGTGAGTGGTAGAGGCCGTCATGCTTGAGGAGCTGTCGCGCGTATTCAAGGAGTACTGCGTCTAGCAGCAAGCACGAGCCGCCTTTGGCCCGAAAGGTCCTCATGTGCTTTTTGATGCTCAACACTTACATGGCTCCGGCTCTTCTTTCTTAGGCGTGAACTCGTTCGAGTTCGAAGCGGACGCTCCTCATCCCGACAAGATTCCCACGCAAGATCTCCTTGGCGTGACAGTCATCCTCCTGACCGGAAGCTATCGCGACGCAGAGTTCATTCGTGTTGGTTACTACGTCAACAATTTTTACGAAGACCCAGCCTTGCAAGAGAATCCCCCTGAGCAGGTGGATCTCTCCATCGTCAAGAGGGAAGTCTTGGCAGAGAAGCCTAGAGTCACTCGTTTCAATGTAAAGTGGTGAGCATGCCAGTCTCATGCTCTGCTAAACGGTCGCTTCAGCTATCTCACTGGCTTCGATCCATTTTACCACTCTGTCTCTGTCAGGGACGCGGACTCCAAGCCAGCAACGCTGCCATCCACCTCAAATGCTATGGACACCGACGACTCATCTCAGGCTGTTGTGCCTCCACCTGCAGGCGGCTCCTCCTCGTCAGGCTTCGGTTCCCAAGCTTCGGGACAGTACAATGGCAGCGACGGGCAAAGCGTAGGAAGCAGGAGCGCTTTTGCCCCCGTGGCTGTACAGTGATCGATTTGGCTGGTAGGCCCAAAACCCGACTCTAGCAGCAGAACTGCATGCTGCCGCTTGGAGGTGCATCAGCCCCAACCCCATCAGCGTTCCTCGTCTCGTTGATTGTAATCGTATTTCTTCTTGTGCAAAAGTATCGAGCGGCGCTGCGCAGGCTTTGCAGCAGCAGCAGCAGCAGCAGCAGCGGCACGCTCGTTCAGCGTCGAACAAGATTTCGCATGGATGCCGCATTTGCGCTGGCTCCATACGAGAGTTGCGTTGAGTTGAACAGGGTTCTCAAGGCACAAGCGCGCATTTTTCTAGTTTGTGCAGCGAAGTGAAGCTGTCTCTGGCGCCCGACCGCGTCATACGCTGATGTGCTAGACCCAGTCTAGTCTCAGGCGCACAAGACACTTGCGAAGGAATTTCACGACGATTACGAGCGGCGTGGGTATGTCATTTCTGAGCGGCGGCAAAATAAAGGATCACTGCGAGGATCGACACTAAAACGGCGCTTGGTGACGTAAGTGAGTGTAGGTGCCCACAAGAGAGCAAGAAAGATCTATGGCAGAGGGAGCGTCGGGAGAAGCAGATGGGACGCAAAACGAGAGCAAACATCGGCGAGTCGCAACGCTGAGGGCGAAGCTGTCGTTGTTAGACTGCAGACACCAATTCGGCGGAGCGGATCCTGCGTCATCTGCGTGCAGTGTGGAAGCTGTCCAGGGCTCGCCTGGAGAAGCGATACAAGGATCTTGATCAGCATTGCATGCATCGATGGTTCGAAAGGCACGTCACACTCACATCCACGCGGATAAGTCTTGGTCTGAAGGTGCTTGCAAGAAATAGGAATTTGCGGCGGTGTAGAGCCCGAATACGTTTTCGCGCTGCGGTCCGAGCGGCGAAGGAGCACGAAAGACGACTTGAACGTGAGCGCCGGTGGTTGATGAAGCCTTGGATCTGATGTGACTCACCATTAACATGCGCTCAATGTTCTCGTCGTGCTCCACGCGCACAGAGCCTAGATGCATCGCCATGAGCTCATCCAGCTCCGCGCTGTTCTCGTAGACGTACAGATACGGCCTGTGAGAAAATGAGACGCGTTGAGCTATACAGAAACTAGACAAGCATCGTCGCCTTCTGAAGATGCTACTGACCGTCGCAAGACAAACCATCTTCTAATCCATCGATCAGAGTGAGGCTCAGCAGGAAGAGCCAGCCAGCCTCGCTTGGCTGCAGAATCCGTGCGGGGCACGAGTGACACTTCTGCGATGAGCTTGGACGGGGTTGCGGGTGAAGAATGAGGAGCTGGTGTCTTGACAGAAATGGACGCAGCAGCCTTTGCTTCGGCCTCATCGGCGGCTTCTTCAGCAGCCTCTTCAGATTCCTGAGCGAGGACAGACTACAGGTCCGGACAGCAACTCAGCTTGTTGTCCTTGCCATGTCTCTCACTGCAGCACTCACCAGCTGTGCATCTCGTCGCGCTGCTTGCCAGTAGGTGACTGCGCGCTGGAGCAGACCTTCGTGATCCCCCCCTGCATTGTTGCTACCATTCGACATTGATAGTGGCGGTGCCGACTCGAGCAGCCTACGCACGCCTTCCACTTCCGCTCTTCGTCTTTCTAGTCGTACCATGCGAGCGTGATCGTGCACCAAGCTGACGCCACGAGGCTTCCACTTGCCTTGTAGCGCTTCCTCGCCCCTGACATACTTTGCGGCAGTGTCGAGCCTCCACAATTCCTTGGTGCGCTTTTCCAAGGGTGGCACAAGCCGTACAGCGAACAGCGCGCTCGTCTTCGTCAACACTCTAGCACCCGTCGTGGCAGCTCCGATGAGGCTCATAAGCTTGCCTTGCGGCTTAGAATCTCTGCCACCTATCGACACCGCGATGTCCATACTGAACTGAGCAGGTGCGGTGCACATTTCCACATCCAAAGTGAAGCTGAAGCGCAGCAGGACTCTTTGGCCGCTTGGCGTTGGTCTATTTAGGAAAATAGAGTCATGTACGCTGCTATCCCACCAGGCCCACATGGTCAGCTCGCTTGTCCCGTTGGGTCTAAAGTCGACTTGCTGCTGTTTTGGCGGGACTTTGAGATGCACTGGCTCCCCGAGGGTAGAGGAATGCACCCGGCCACGAGCGTCAAGTAATCGAACCTCGCTGAGCTCAGCACCGCGGACACCGGCCCAATTGAATTGCCGCCCAGAATCATGGGTCATGGTCAGGACTAGCTTCCGCTGCAGTCCTTGCCTTAGCGAAAAGGCTCCTGGGTCGAGCGACGATTGAGCGCGGACCTGCACTGGCACGTATTCCCCCCTGTCATCCAGTTCGCACAGTTGCACGAACGCCAAGACGTCGTGACGCTGCTCGGATATCATCTGGTTCTCTGACAAGCGTCCGGCAGCGGACGATTTGTGGAGGAGCACTGGACGTTCGGGAGAGTTGCTGTCGACACCGAGATCACTGCCATTGAGCGTGGGAGGTGCGCGGCCCGTCAAGCGTTTGGCCTCCTTGGCGGCGTCGTAGTCTTCGAGCGCTGTAAGATGCTGCGATTTGACGCGGGCGTGAAATTCGATCGGTGCGAAGCCTGAGCGCATATACTCTGCAATCTCCGGTGTGATGACGAAGGTCAGAGTTCTGCGTAATTTGACGTCCGATAATGCGCTGACACCCTTCTGTCCGAGCTCGGCTGGTGCTGAAGCAAAAACTTCGTCTTTGCTGACTGTCCGGCCAGCAATGCTGCTTAATCTGACTTGGACGTGCAAGCGCTCAAAGTCGCTACTTGGAAGGCCAATCACACCGTCAATGGACAGCTGCAGACCAAATTTGTGACCAGAGGGTAGCTCAGAGTCATTGCCGTCCGAAGGTGTTGTTGTCTCGGGCGAGGCGGTACCGTTTGAGGTCTTGCTCTTGACTGGAGAGACAGAGATGCTGACGAATCTGAGCTCAGCAGAGCATTGTCCGATTTCGCTGCCAGTGTGCCGCGAAAGAATCGGCAATCGATACTTCGCCGACACCTTACGAGCAAGCGGACAGAGGGGTAGCAAGGCATTGCCGATGAACATGTAGGAAGGGGCTGGCACCTCATAGAAAGGGTCTGCCCAATTGAAGTGTTGTGAGTATTCAGGTCTGTCGATGAAGCTGTAAAGATTCCTCATCTTGGCGAGCCGTGCTTCGAGTTTTGGCAGGGACCAAATGTATGAAGTTGAGTGCAGATGATCGATGACCCGAACCGCAACGCATGGCTTTGTAGCTTTGTGAAGCTCGGGGTCTGCGACGTCATCCAGGTCGTCTAGGCCAGCAATGGACTCAACGGAAGAGACCGGGTTGCTCAGCGGTTCGTCATCGATAATCGTGTACTGCATGGTGGTCTTCTTGTCCAGCTCCATGCTGATCACGTTTGCCTCCTTCAGAAGTACCGCATTGGATAAGATGTCCTCTGCCATAGAGACCCTCGTATGTGCTCTCCACTTGGCGAGTACCCTGTAGAGCATAGCTTTCTCAGGCTCGGTATAAATGACGGGAATGTCCAGAGGATTGGGAGGCTCTCCGCCTGCTTGGAGCAAAGTCAATTGTGCCTCGTACTCTTTGACCTTCTGCTTGAGATCTGCGTGCGCTTGGAACTCGACCGTCGCGTCGCCGTTGTCTGTTGTTCCGGCAACAGAAGCAGCGTCGCGGCTTCCAGGACCACCGCTACCCCAGGGATCGATGGAGGTGTCGTCGGTGTAGGTGCTCAGCGAGAAGGGGCGCGCCATAGATGGAGACTCGCTATTCGCGTCGTCCAGCGAGCTCAGTCGACTTTCGGGCCTGCTGGGCGCGGCGAGGCTCGTGCCACGCTTATGACGAGCTCTCGAAATGTCTTCAAAGAGCTTGTCAAGCTCCTGAGGCTCGAGATGGTCGAATGCTGCATTGTCGCCATTCAATCTCGCCAAAGCGGCCTCGCGCCTTGCATATGTCCAGTCGACGTCCCCAGCCTCATCCGCATTCGAGACAGGAGACTCTGGACGTCCGGGCGTGCCCGGATCCGTTGTCTGGTTGAGCTCGTCGCCTGTGGACATCGCCATCGTCGACTTGACCCTATCACGCGCCCTGCGGACTTCTTCGGGGTGGTTGAATCTGAAGACATGAAAGTCGCCCAGAATGACACGATAGCCTGACCTGAGACGCCTTGGCTCTCCTGGCTGCACTCGCTTGCCGTTCACCATGGTCATGCCGCCGCCGGAATTCTCTATAGTAACGACCCCACTGTCCGCAACGTTGAAAACGCAATGTTCCGCCAATATGTTCGAGCCTGATAATCGGATTGCTGGCGTATCTCCTGAGGTCGACTCCCCATTAGGATCCCCTGCCCCCTCTTCAGCAGCGTCGATGTTTCCCACCTTGGTGTCGCCCGGTCTCAATTGGTAGACGAGGCATTCCGACATGAGAGGATCTTCGTTCAAATTCACCAAGTGAGGCAATTTCTTTGGCGTGTGCACGCCAACGTTGCCCTTCTCCACACTGATGCCGAGCTCTTCCAAGGCCTTTTCTCTCTCCACTTGGATCTTTTGAGTATTTCGGAGCTTGTCTTCCCATGTCTCATTGACCGAAGCCATGAGCTTCTCTGCACTCTCCATCTGCTCTTGCAGCTCGGCCTTGGTCACAGTCTTGATCTCGCCAGTCTTGGTTTGGTAGCGCACGACCTGCTTCTCGGGTGGAACTGTGGGATCCCAAGACGACTCGCCCTCCCCACCTCCCATGCCACCCATTTGAGCACGAGTTCGGAGCATCTCCAGCTCTTCTTTGAGCTCTCGAATGAGCTTGGCGTTCGGATCTTCGTTGACTACAGCCTTGTTCTTGATCTTCTTGGCCGAGTCTGCGTATCTCAATGTGCTCAGCGTCTCTTCGTAATCTGCAGGTGAAATCGCAGCAATCATTGCAGTCTTGCTGTTACCTCCTAGCGAGTCCTTCAACAGCCAAGTCAGGACTGAGTCGCGATAAGGCACGAAGTTGTCCAGCTGCTTCTTTTTGCTGCTCGGCGCTGTGCTCGCAGCTGCGAGCGCTGCAATAACCTTGCCCAAAGTTGTTAATGATCTATTGATGTTTGCACCTTCCTTCAGACGGCTACCTGTCGCACCCGTCGAGTTCGCTCTCTCTGATCCAGCCAAATCCACCAAGCTATGATACATCGTTTTGTCTCAGCAAATGTCAGCCAGCATGCACACAGCGACGCCAGCTCACCTGACTTTCGCTACTTTCTCCGCTTCTAGATTTGTCTCTTGGTCCTTGATCTTCTGCGTGACAATAAGGGTAAACACAGCGTGCGAGCGAGAGCTTGTTTCGTTCATATTCGTCGCAGCCACAGTCCGTGCCTTGTTGCCTTCATCCATCAGGTTCTCTATTTCTGGGAACGACGCTACCGCCAACTTGCTGAGGTCTTCAACATACGGTCCCAGACTTGGATGTTCTCTGACTTTCAGATTGCCCTTGTTCTTCGGATTCAGCAAATCTCGAACCTTTTCGTTGTAAATTTCGATGTATGACACTTCAACTGTCACGCGCAGATTCGGATTGGCACCCATCTTGTCCTCTGCCTCTTCAAACAGCTTCGAACACGTCAAAGGGATGAGGCCCTTCGCTTGAGCGTAGCCCACCATGCTATGGGACTTTCCGGAGCCGGTTTGGCCGCTGCAGTGTTGGAAAGCTCACTATCAGCAGGCATGTATGCACTCTCGACTTGCGGTAGATCTTCACTCACTAAGCAAAGACGCACTGAAAGCCGTGCGCGTGATACGACAGTAACGGTCAGAAAGGCAGGGCTGAAAGGCGCACTACCATACTGCACGCTCGCTCACAGTATTGAACCCATCGAAAGCCTGTTTCAGGACATCCAAGCCTACATACTCGAACAGTTCCTGTTGTTCTGTGTTTTCGTCGTAAGCTCTATCAAACGAGAAGGGCATGGCCTTCTTCTTTGTCGCGCGTGCATTCTCTTTCGAGTCTCCTTCCGATGGAGGGTTGAGTACGAGCTGGGTCTGATCTGTGAAGTCAACCAAGTTGGATGCTCCTCGTGTTCTTTCTCGACTGTTCATAGGTCTACATCGCACCACCACCTTGATGTTACCAGAATCGGACATCGTGAGACCAATTGGAGCGAGACGAAGTCCCAACCTGCTGTCCTCTGCCTAGTATGCACCAAGGGTGGATGCTCGGCGTCGTTAAAAGTACAAAGTACTCTGACGAATGCCAAGTCGGACGAATGTCGGAGCAGTGAATGGAAGACCCGCTATCGTACTTGGCGACAGGCCCTGACGAGCCGTCGAATGGTCAAAGCGTAAGGCGAGGACGATGAAGGAGGGAGGATCCGCGACTGCTGGCCGAAAGCTGCGAACGCAGACAGCGCGCTGCTATGGTCACGAGTCGACCTTGATGATGAAGGCTTGCGCTGCCTCGTTTCCTCGAATCTCGGGCTGGCGCTTGAGCCTGCTGATCAGGCGCGCGTGCGTGTTGGTCGATTGTGACTACTCGCGCGCGGGGCGTGCTGCATGGCGCGCTGCAGGCCTATATGTGCGCGGCGTGGTCCAGAATCGTGAACCCATCGGGCCTGTATTCACGCGATTGCCAGTTGTTCAGCGCTGCCATGCGCTTTCCAAAGTGCCCTGCGTGTGTCTTTCTTTTGAAGGGTGTGGTCGAAGCCTGGACATTAGGGAGTCGGCAGCCATGCAGAGGCTCCAGGCTGTCACTTCAGGATCGGTACAGATCGGTTTCTGCTCGGCACTCGATCATGAATTTCACTGTGTCAGAGAAGTCGTGCGTGAGTGAGTGAATTTGAGCCTGGAAGTTTGTGTGTCCGGCGGGGAATATTTGATCACGTGACTGTCTGGCGCGCTGAGCGGGCTCACCGGAAGCGGGGGCCCAGCGCCTGCCGGAGGGCCGACTTTGTGATGCTGAAAACGGAATCACGAATTTGGGCGAGCGACCCAACCGCCTTTATTCGAGCATTCTTGTCCGACTCTCGAATCTTCCTTGCCCTGTCTTGACTCAGATACCATCACCGACCCGCAATCGTGAAAGACTCGCAGCTTTTGAAGGCTCATTCGAATGTCCGACCGTGCTCAGCTTTGATCCGAATAGGATCAACTCGTGCGAAGGACCCACCCACGGCGGAAGCGACGACCGTCTCATGGGATGCACCTCCCCGCGATTACCAACATCTGACATCTCAGTCCTGAGCACGAGAGCCGAGGCAGCATGTCATCGTATCTGCAATCTGTTCGCTCTTTTGCTGAGCGCAGGGCAAGATCTTTGGTGGCTGTCGGTGCCTTCGTCGGCGGGGTGTATGCTCTAGGCACATATGCGATCTCCACACTTGCCGAAGCTCAGAAACGCATGTCAGATGAGAAACGGGACCGAGAAAAGTGGGTGTCGATGTGCTAAATATGTTGCAATCGGGCTGAAGCAGTACCTCTATCCTTGCGCGGCCGTGACCTCTCTTCAGCCTGAAGCGACGATTCGCTCAGAATCAGGACGATGTCTCCTTCACAGTCTTGGCGCTGCTGCCAACACTGGCTGATCAGCTGTGGTCGAGCATGGATGTGGAGGGCTTGACAGCAGAGCTACAAAAGAGCAGGGTTACTGCTACGCCTGCCCCTCTCGCAGCAAAGGAGGAGATTATTCATGAAAATAGCGAGATGCCATCGTACGCTGCAGCGGCGAGCACAATAAAAGTCGAGGGAGACGACTTTGTCAAACCGCAAGCGGAAGAGATACCGGTAGCTCCGACAAGCAACGACGAGGCATCTGCCACGACGTTCCTACATGGGGCAGCAGCGGCACGTACAAGTGACGAGCAGCCTTTGTCCAGCAGCAAGGGTGGGGTCGAGGGCAATGCTCCAAACGGTAGCCCGTCATACGATGCTGGCTCGGAGGCCACTGATGACGCCGCAGCCTCTGCGCGTCCCACTCTGCCAAAAGGTAACAGTAGCCTGGACTCCATTTCGGAGGTGAGTAACGCTATTGAGTGATCTACCTACCTGTCCCACTCGCAGGCTGCTCGTTGACTCTTTGTCTTTTGGTCAGCCCGCACCCCAGCCTATCAATCCCACCGCTCGTTTGACACCAAGTCCTCAACCGAGCACATCAGCGACACCTCTGAGGTCACCGCCTTCGGAACAAGAAGGGGCCGCCGTGCAGAATTCAGGAATCGATGGCCATGCTGAGGCGTTCGCTCAAGCTATTCATGCCAACGAGGCGAGACCGTACGATCTAGAGGGCAGCGCAGGCAAGGCTCCTATCGTGGGAGGGGAACAGCAGCCGTTCGCCTCACAACAATCGCAGCGTTCGGACACAGAATTGGAAAAGGCGGCCATGCCTTCGATTGCAAATTCAGAGCCGACCGAGCATGATGCTTCGGAGGATAGGCGAGCGCACGAGGCGTCTGCTGCACAAGCCGCTTTGTTAGAGGAGCAGAGAAAAGCAGACGCTGCAGCGGAGAAAAAGGTCAAACTCGAGCTTTGGAACGAGCTGAAGATCGCTGGTGAGTCGCTTCGCCGAAGGTTGTAGTAGTAGGATTCTGACTAAGCACTACTATCATCATCTGTAGCGATCTCAAGGACGGTTACCTCGCTATATGCTCTAGTCCTGCTAACACTGCAGACCTCAATCCAACTGAACGTTCTCGGAAGGAGAGCCTACCTCGAATCTGTATCCTCAATGTTTCCTCTGCCGCCAGCACCCAAGAAGGAAGGAGTACCGCACCGCATCTTGTTGGAGCCCGGAGGACAAGGGACTGGGGCTGACGGTTGGGGCAGATTTGATGACGAACATCAGGATTCTGATGACGAGGGAGAGAGCGCGAATGACGAGCGAGCGAAGAATGGAGCGGAAGAAACCGAGAGGCTCTTTCTCACTTTTAGCTGGTGGTTGCTGCATCGAGGCTGGAAGGAGTTGGCTCAGACTGTGGAGACAGCCGTCAAGGATGTGTTTGGCCCGTAAGTGACGATGCTTTTGGGCGTCCGGTACAACTCGAGCTGATTTCGAACCGGGTTCCCACCTGCCAGACTTGCCCTCAAAGCACCGCTCATGCATGGAGAGTTCATTGAGCTGCTTCGCGAGGTCCGCAGCAAGGTCGAGTACGCAGAGAGATCGTCAGAACGCGAAATGAAGGATAGCATCAGCGAGCTGAAAAGCGAGCCCAGTGCTTTTAGCGGTGTCAGCTCTCTGCGAGGTGGCCGCGGCAGGCGGAAAAAGTGAGTGGCGACGAGAGTGGGAAGCGTTGACCAATGTGTTGAGCTGACCTTCTTCGAGCCGTGCTGCGCGCAGCTTCTTTTCAATCTTGTTTCCGGCGACGGAAGACGAGGAGATCGACGTGTTGCTGCAGGCAGGAGCGATCGACTATGCTGCTCCCTTGTCTCCCAGTCTGAGGTCACTCCTTGACGAAACGCACGATCTAGTCTCGTCGCGAGACTTTAGATCCGTCATGCGGCTCTCTCTCGACCGCGTCTTCAATGTCCTCGACGAATCCTTGAGACCGACGTTTGGCGTGGCTCCTCGAGACGCTCCTAGCAACGTCGTCACCAGCTTGGAAGCTCCTGGCGGACGTTTTCAAGAACTTGGAGAAGTCGACGATGAAGGCAAGCGGGTCAGACTCGCTGCTCTATTCCCGGCCGTTGCCAGACAAAGTCAGCTGGCTGTGCACGCTGTTCCAAATTCGTACGCAGACGTGAGTTTTCCTCTTCCTCCCCCCTCCTTTGGATGGGTGTGGGGCTGAGCGCGATGCGCTCGCGAACAATGCGGAGAATGGGAAAAAGCTCAAGTCGTCTTTGCCCTCTTGTCCCGCAGGCATTGAGCGATCTGAGCGAGCTGAAAGCATTCTCTGCTGTAATTTACACTGGTTGGGATGCATGACTCGACACGCATGGACACGTCTTGAAACACAGTAATGGAGCATTTTTCTCGCACACGTCATCGTGTGATGACTGTACGTCTCGGGATATTGCATAGCTCCACACACGAGAAGCCGTTGGATGGTGCCGCGATCACTCGAGTATCGCGGCCTCTAAGTATAAGTCTAATAGAACCTCGACTCGATCACGCATTCGAGGAGTCAAAGAGTCGAAAACAAGACGTTGCGCATCTGAGAGCGGTGTGAAAATGTATTGTTGTGCATCACTTGAGCCGAGAAGCTTTGTAGACAGGTGGCAGATCGAGGCATGTATGGCCAATGTAAAGAGATTATATAGACTGGAATGCAGGAGTAGCCGATGCGCAAATGTGAGTGATGGGGCAAAGGAAGCAAGAGGAACACGAAAAGAGAGATGACATGTGGGCAAGTGTTAGGAGGAATTCTAAAGGGCAGTCTTTTGTTCTAAGGACGAGGAGTAGCGGTCAAAGTGCGCAGGTGGGTGTCCCAAGGTGCAGCATCGTGCTTGCAATTCAGCGAGGCTTCTCTGCTTCGACTTGCAATACCGCGCGCGACGGCCTGAGCACGCTCGCGCACGATCGACATGACTTCTGCATCGCTTGGACGAGTCGTTCCTTGCGGCTTCGTCTTTTGTTGGATGTTCAAGTCGACGGCTGCTGCGCGAGCACGCACGACGGCCATGACATCCTCAGCATCATCGGCGCGCCGAGGAGCCAGGGACATTTCGTCGAATCGAAGACCAAGGACGCATTCCTGCGCTTCATCTTCGTCTTCAAAGTCCTCGTTATCCTCACCCTCGTCGCTGCTCACGTCCAACGTTTCCGTCGAGCAGTACAAAGGCACAACTCCGTGCGCGCCGTCTTGCTCGGCCAGGTCGTTGAAGGCCTTCATAGCTGCCGCTTGACGACGTGCAGCACGACCCGCTCCGCGACCCCGGCTTCGTCGTCCACGAGAACGCACCCTCTTCATATGGGGAAATGGCATTCCGTTTGGATCGAGCGAGAGGAAGCCAAAGTGCGAAGAAGATGGTGCGCTGCTGGTGATGGAGCCGCAGGTCGTGCTGGGAGTGTTGACCATGCCACCGTACATGCCCGGATGTTGTAGGCCGTGATGAGGGGAAGCGAAAGGGGGGTGGGAGGGGAAAGCGGTGTGAGAAGGAGCGCTGAATGGCGGAGGAGCCGAAAGGCCCTCTACACCAGAATAGTACTGCTGATGACCTGCGTAACCGCGCTGTTGCACTTCTGGCAACTGCTGCAGGTTACCATGCTGAGGCGTGTCGTATGACTGCGGCGGTGGCTGTTGCAATTGTTGAGAGGGGTATGGTGGATGATTGATGTGGTAATGATGACTTGCTTGAGGATGAAAAGAAGGTGCGTCCTGGCGCAACGCATGTTGGTTGCTCTGCCCAGGTGCGTGGTACGGGGCCTGGGGATACTGATATTGGTGCAAGTACGACAGGGACTGGGAGTGCGAGTGGTGCTGATAGACTGCGTTCGGGGTTGGCAATGGCACGCCGGCAGCGCGAGACGGAGGTAGACCGACCGTGCGGGTCGGCGCGCTGCGTGGTGCCCATTCCTGTTGCTGCAAGGAAGGGTGCTTCTGGAGCAGCTGAGCCACGGTAGCGCGAGGTGGCGCACTCGTATTCTTGATAGGAGAGGATGGCTTGGAAGAGCCTCCAAGGCGCACGCCACCCCCAAGCACACCGACATTGCCATTATCATGGGTGGTGTAGTTGAGTGATGATCCGCTCGGACTTTGCTTCTTGTGACCGCCGCTCGACGGGCTCTCACCCGGCGTGGAGCTCGTGACGCTTCCGCTCGTCTTTTTCGCGACCTGTCGCCTGACTGGTGTCGAGCAGTCTCCTTTGGGAAACTTGAAGTCCATGCTATCGGTGCTGTCGCTGCGAGGTACACCTTTCAACGTTTCGTCGACATCTTGCATGGCTGTGATGGTCTCGTCGTCGAGGCCCGCATCGATGAGGCCGTTGACGCCGCACTCCTTGGCACGGCTGCGGAAAGTCGCCTCGCTGTCTTGCTCGAACAGACTGCCATCATGATAGCTTGCGTCCTTGCTATGAAGACGATCCATGCCAGTCTCAATAGACGTGGCGGAGCTGCTACCAGCAGAGCTTGCCTGACTGAACGAGCGAGCTGTGAAAGCAGCGCCAGCAAGACTTTCGCTTCCATCAGTAGATGAGATGGAGTTGTTGGAGGACGTGCTTGAGGTGCGACCGTGAGCGAGTGCTGGGTCACGCAGACTGGCATTGGGATCGACGATGCGAATCGGACGCCCGAGACTTTTGAGGCCGACCCTGTTCGTCGACCCCTCTCCTGATTGGGTTGCCTGGGGAGTCGAAGGCAGAACGCTGACCGAAGGTACAGCGATTCCATTCGATGCTGGGCCAGGCGAGGCGCGATTCGATAAGGCGACTGGCAGCGAGCCCCATATGACCGTCACGGTGGTGCCGTGGGATCCTGAGCTGTTCAGAAGTTGAGCATTTGGAGCGCTGACGGCAAGCGCGGTGCCTGGACCGAGGCCCATTCGAACGGCCACGCAGCCAGGATCAATCCAAAGAGTGAAGGGCTGCAGCTTTTCAGCGCTGACATTGGCGTCCTTGCATGCTTGGACTAGACAAGCATCGATGCCCTCTCCTCCATCGTGATCGTGACAAACTAGTGCGCGGGCTGCCGAACCCTTCTCTGGAGCAGAGACATCCCATGTAGAGGTTGTCACCCTGTTTGTCAGGCTCTGGCATAGGCAGGCATGAAGCCTGTCTCGTGCTTGAGGAGCGTCGCCTGCCAGCAATCCGCAGAGGTGGCCTGCGGCCGCCTCCACCTCTGCCTTCATGCTGAAGAAAGTGGTAGGGAGGTGTGCAGGAGCGCTATTTTGCCACTCAAAAGGCTGCGGAGCTCGATCCTGCTGAAGAGGGGGAGAGCTTTTAGAGTTAGATTGCTGGGGCGCTCCTGCTGCGGAGGAATGGTAGTTTGAGAGGAGGATCGCAAGATTGGTGGCAAGGACTGCGTGCTGGAAGAGGCCATCATAAGGACGAGTGCATGGGCCTGGAAATGTCAGAGAGGGCCACAAAAGGCTCTACGACAAAGGCGCAGTACACACTCACTTGAGGTATGATATCACTGCTTCGCCCTATATAGCTGCTTACACGATGCTGTGCGTTCAAGCACTCTACACCTTCCGCGGTGAATGGGTTGGCGCACAAAAAGGGTGCGAAACAAAAGCGAGGAGGGCGCAGCGGGCGGGCGTCGACGGTCCCGAGCGCTCCATAAATGAAACGGGATTCAGCTGAGTCGCAAGGTTGGCACCGCTTCGGTTCCTGACTAAACGCGGATCGGCGGTGTTGTCTCGTATCCCTGGTGAAATAAGCGATGGATGCGCGGAGCCGCACCGGCAAATGGCTTGTCCAGTTCCAGGTCTACGTCCGTCTGTACGCTGCACTGAAGTATAGCTAAGTGGGGCTCAATTGATGAGACCTGCTGCCGGTGGACCGACGAGAGCAGGTCGTCTCAATATTGCAGACGAGTAAGCTCCTATGCTACCGTCTTGTTTGCAGACGATGGCAAAGCCCTGCGCGCTCGTAAGCTAGCGTGGTGTTGTGCGGGCTGAGATGCTTGAGACAGGTGTTGTGGGAGTGCTCGAGCCTGGAAAGAGGACTGCGACAAAGGGGCTTGGTCACGAGTTCCAGCGACGCCAACTCCGCGCGATCAATGCGACACCGCCGAGCTACGTGATTGACAATCAATGATACCGTTGAGCTCGAGTGGCTTCAAGTTCCTCGCGATCCAGTTTGTCCAGGGATGCGATCGCTTCGACTGACGCTCTGCGACAACCAGCAGGAAAGCAGAATGTGCTCAGAGGTGAAAGCGAATGGTGAGTGCGTAGCCGTGTACCGCGGTCAGCGGAGATCGAGCGGGCTGAGTTTGCTGCTCCGAGCGTAGACTACCGGTATCGAGCGGCCGTCCGCGGGCACGTGGGTTCGGATGATTGGCCAGAGTAGATGGGCCCGGGATGTGCTTAAAGGGGATGCCTGAAAGGTAAAGATTAAACGGAGACGTTGTTCACGAGCTTGACGATGACGACGAGGTGCACGTAAGGGATGGATGCTGAAGTCAAGTGGATGAAGAGCAAGGGGGACGTTGGTGAGGAAGAGGTCGAATGAATCGCGCTGAGTGACGAGAGGAGAAGGAGGTGATCGCGGGAGGAGGTGGTGGACGAAGGGATGATGAAGGGACCTAGGATGTCCGCGTTAGGCTGATGGTTGGCGGTGATGAGCAAGACGGATTGAGCTGAAACATATATACAGAGCAAGAAATGCGACTCCCTCGCATTTTGCTTCGGAAGTTCGAGGTGAAGAGTTTGAGATGGATTGCTGAGTGAAAGCGCACCTGGTGCAAAGACGCTATGCCAGAAGGAGCAGGTACCTGAGGTGGGGAAGGGCAGGTGACGTGCCATCTGCTGGTGTAAAGGGCAAGTGCTGACTGTCCAAGCTGGCCTGTCCAACGACGTAGGTAGATCATCACCAGCTCTACAGTCTGAGTGCATCAGCGACGCTGCATCGCCGCTCTGCCGCTTTGACCCACCACCTACCCCTTACCGATTAAATGCCCGAATCAAGCTCTCATCGCTGACCGTTAGGTCAGTGAGAATGTTTGCTGTTGCGTCCGATCACAGCCCACGCAAAGCCTCCACGATCTCCAATCGCGACGATGCACACGCCCTCACAACGTTCGTTTAGCGCTCACAAGCTCGCAAGACGCTCATGAGCCTGCTTCGGCAGGCGCGTGCACAGCATCTGGCGGCCCGCTCGAGCACAGCATGGCTGCGTGCGGCCGGCATAGCAGGTGCCGGCCCCAATCAGCGCCAGACGAAGGGAGTGCGCCACTTTTCCTCACATCGGGTGGCATCTAGACTTTTGAAGTACAGTCAGTACACCGCATCAATCAACGCAGAGTGAGACGTTGCTCGAGCTGGTCGAGGGGTCTTAGCGTACGGAGAGCGGAGTGCATGGCTTTGTGGGAGTCACAGTGTCTTGAGTGCAGTGAGCTAGCTGTGCGAAAGGCCGGCTGGCTGACGAGCTGCACATTCAAGGGGATGAGGTAGCTCATGCGAGTGCTTGCCACGCTTGAAGGTTACCCAAGCGCTGCACGCGCCTGCGGCTCACAAGCTGCATGAGCTGCCTACGCGCTCCACGCTATCTACGGGCAAGCAGCCAGCGCTGATGCCGAATGCGGAGAAGGGCGAAAGAGGTAGGAAGGGGGTCGGGAAGGGGAGAAAAGCTTCAAGCGGAGCGTTTGGAGGAGAGACTCGAACACATTCTGTTGCCCCGTGCGTCCTCAAGAAGAGTCTCGACTCTGGCTAGCTTAAGACAGCGACCAAGGGGGATTCTCCTTGCACCGTGTATACATCCCAAACTCGTGAGACTCTGCAGCAGTCACACCCATGACTCGGACTTTTAGCGCTCCGCAACCGTCAAGCGGACAAGCAAAATCGTGCATGGCTCCCTCGCAACGGCTGACAATCAGAAGAATAATGAACAAGCACGATCCAACGACAGCAGCGCCCTCGCTTGCTCTGGCGACATCTTCGCGCTTTCAAGGCTAATACGTTGCCTTGACTAGACTTGCACCTCCAATCACAATGCACCCTACCACTTGACTGCACCCTACTCAAGACCAACATGTGCTCGCAAGTGTTTGCTCGGCTCAACTTGGCAACACCAAGTTGGGCCCGATTTCAATTGGAAATCGCGAAAGTTGCTCGCTCTGTTAATATGCGCATGCGCATGCGCTGTTGGTGTTGGTGTTGGTCTCGCTTTAGCCCTATAGCCACGCCGTACCCTTGGCCCGAGGATGTGCGCCTTCTGCGCTGCTGGCTGCAGGGGGTGGCAAGCTTGCGCGCGCGCGCGCGGGGAGCACCGACCCTGAATATGAATGCCACGAATTCAACACGCGCGATCCAAGCAGAGGCCCGCAACGCCGCAAGGGGCCCCCTTGCTGTGAGATTTCCTTTGCAATATGTACCTACAGTACCATACTCCGATTTTCAAACTTTCAGCAACATTGCCCCCCATCTTGCACCGAAGCGCAACTTATTGCAACCCGACGAATTGGCACTGTGACTGGTGGTCGATCGTGTGTGCATGAATGCACATGTGCACAGTGGCCGATTTGACCTCCACAGCGCAGAGTCACGAGTCGCGAGCGAGCGGGGTTTTCTTATGCGTAGAGAACATTCTAGAGCATCCTCGAGAACAAGTGCACGCGGCAAGCCACGACGTGTACCTGGGCAAAGGACGCACGCTGGCGGCCCCCCACTCCGAGTACGAAATTTACGATTATTTTGGATACTCGCGCTCATCAATCAGACTTACCTTGCCAATCGCGATCAAGTAAAAAATGATGTAGCAATTGGAAATGCTCCGCAACCGCAGGTTCCCTCTCAGCATCTTTTCAGAAAAGTGGTGATACCGCGTTCAATACATCTGTTTTCAACCGCAAAGGCCGATCGCTCGCTCTTTACTGTACCGTCCCGCCAGATTATACGACGCGTAGGGTTGCCTGCCTTATGCACCGCCCCTTATCAAACCCCAGGTTCACAATCTCTGCTCGCGCGTCTTGAGAATAATCAAGCTCCATCCAGCTCAACAGTATTCAAACATATCATTCGGCCAGTCTTCAAGCCTAGCAAGCTCGTTTCGTGAAAAGAATCTGAGGAAGGCGGAGAAGGAAAGGCGAGAGAATAGAAGGCTTAACAGATGAGGGGAACAAGACCGACACGCTTGGAGAGAAGGGATCAGCGCGATGAGTAGGATCAGCGTCCCCCTCTCATCATGGCGAACTGCTTCACAGCGTTGGAGGCGTTGGCCCCAGAACAAGGGACGGACGATTGTCTGACTCCCGAGAGATTCAAAATGAACAGGTCGGAGGGACTGTAGGGAGGGAAGCGCGTGACCGTGTAGCAGAAACGAAGTTCGTTGGACAGAGTTGCGTCAGAATTGCGTCTGGAAGAACACAGTCCTTCCGAACGGCAAATGCTGAAGCATCGCACCAAAATTGATCGGGCACGTTGCGCTTTCTAATTTCGCAAGAATCCACCCTTCTTCTTTGAGGCCTGTTGGTACTGTGAATGAATCGGCTGTCTGTGTTAGCTGCTTCCTAAGTGGCGCGGCTTGAGCATCAGAATACTCACACCTTGCTTCTCGGGAGTCAACGGACGACCACTCTCCAGCCGCCTCTTCTTGTCCTCCAATTCGAGGCGCTGCTTTTCCAAAGCGTCGCGCATTTCCCTATGACGGGCATACAGCTCTTCCTCACTGTTGCAATTAGAGTCGAAGGGACGAGAGGGTCAGCAAACGCGCCCGCATGTCGTTTATACAAGCAACACGCACCTCTGCTTCAGCTTGGCCTCCTTCTCTGCGACCTTTTGCTGGAAGACGAGCTTCATCTCGTTCTATTGCGGAGGCAAGGGGCGATGATGTCAGCGCCAGGAATGAGCTGTGCTCCGAGGCGGACGAGTGCGACTCACCTCCATCTTCGCGAGCTTGGCCTCGTGCAAGGCGCGCTCCTCGGCCATCTTCGCAGCAGGGTTGACCTCCTTGAAGACCGAGTGGTCTTGCGTGACACCCATTCCGACCAGCTTCTCGGATCTGTACTTCTCGTACAACGTTGTGTGAGTGTGCTCCTTGAGCTCTTCCATGTGGCTGCGAATGAGCATTTGGCGTAGCTTCACAAAGTCGCAGTGGTCTTCGTTGTCGACCTCGATGACACCCCACGGGTACCCACGTCCTCGCACACGACGTCCGTCCGCTGTGTCAACCTCGGTGTCCGAACCAACAATGGCGAAGGGAATCTTGCGCTGGGATTGAGAAGACGCCGTTCGTCAGCGACGGCCTTTAATGATTAGAGCTCCCCTGTCCTGTGGGGAACTTCGTACAGCAGGCTTCTTGGCTCAAGGCAAGCGTGCGTCGCACGCCCGCCAGAAGCGAGTGGCTAAAGCTACTCACGACAATCTCGTCATTCTCCGCAATGGTCTCCTCGTCCTCGTTGTCATAGATGGGCGCGTAGAAGATTTGAATCTGGTGGTGGTTGATGTCGGCCAAGATTCTCTGCTTGAAGGACAAAATCTCCTCGTCTGTCAAGGTGTCGCTCTTAGCGATGACGGGGATCAGGTTGACTTTTTGATGGAGTCTGCGCATGAATTCGATGTCGATAGGGCGCAGACTGCAAGGTTGGATGACACAAGTCGAGTGAGTGACGAGGGTAAGCGTGCGGTCCCAGCTTGTCGCCGTGTTCACCGCATCCTTCTGCCATGCTCCTCCGATCTGTACACTCACGCGTGACCAGTTGGTTGAACGAAGTACAAGCAAGCATGGACGCGGTTGTCTACCAGCTTGGCGCGGTTGACGCGGTTCTCCTGCTCGAGGTACGCGTCAAAGCGAGATTCGATGTTGTCGACAATGGGCTTCCAGCTACGGGTGATCGCGTTCAGGAATGTGTGAGATGATTCAGACTGCAGGCTATGGGTGCATACAGCGCGACTCACCTCTCATCATTGTTCACAAAGTCACCAAACCCGGGAGTGTCGACCACAGTGAGACGGAGACGGACGCCGTTCTCGTCGATGTCTACGAAGGGTTCACGCCGCGTCAGGAAATTCGGCCATTGATGTGCGACAGAGCGGCCAAAGGCTCACCTGCGCTGATGCTCTCAATGGCGACAGTCTTGGGACGCTCTGCGTGAGGGGGTGGGATTTCCTTTCGGGGATACAGACGGGTATTGAAAAGCGTGTTGATCAAAGTGCTCTTTCCAAGACCGGATTCGCCTGTGCGCAAGTGACCGCGGCAATGATCAGCATGACGTTCAAGGCCAAGAAGAAGGGCATGAGACAGAACAGAAGTGCATCCAGGCACGACCGAATTTGGTTGCGCGGCAGCGTCGGATGTCATCAAGTCATCCTGCTCCAGCCTTCACAAAGAAAGAAGCGCACTTCCAAAGCACCCAGCCTACTCTGTGCCGTCGAGAAGCTTCCAGTACGGCTGGAAGCCCGCAAGGCCGGAAGACCGATGCACGCGAAACGCCCTCGTCGGAAGACTGCAAAACGCAGAGCGACATCCATCACCTCCTTGTACCTCGCGTTCACGACGTTTGCACACCAATCCCATCAAGCATATCGCCGCCCAGCCTTGATCATGGAAACAAAGGTACCCACCGACGACCATAGCAGTAAAGTTGAAGCCTTTGCGGACGCTCTTCCTGTGCACTTGGTTGGGCAAGTTGGCAAATCCGACGTAGCCGTTCAGCTTCTTGCGAGCAGGAGCAGCAGCTCCGTTTGCGGTGATTGTCGACATGTTGCAAGTCGTGTCAAGCGCGATTCGAAGATGGTGCGGAGCTAGATGATTGCGTTGGATTGGTCAAGTGCGTGTGAGGCGCTGGCGCGATGAGCTAGCTGCTTCGATCGCTTCAGGATGCAAAATGATCCCTCTAAAAGAATTCGCAAGGTAGCGAAGACTTCGTGGTGATCGAGGTTGGATGGACTCGGAAGTGGCGAAGGAGGTTGCTGGACGGGGAAGCAGGAACGAATAGCTCGTTCAGTCTGGATGAGATGAATTGAATCAGAAGAGTCACCGAGCCCAAAGAGGTGCGATTACTCACGACTGACACTCCACGACTGCAAAGGCCCAAGCCGCGCGGGTCAAGGACGGATGCTCTGCTCGCCTAGCTAGCTGCTATACAACTCAAGACTTCCTGGCTGGCGCTTGCATGTGCTCCGATGGGAGCGCGAGCAAGCAGGCCAGGCAGCAGCAGCTAGCAGACGACCGACACGGCCGCCGCGACGCTGCGCACGTACACGTACACGCGCCGCAAAGCTGGCAGCTTCAGCAGCAGCACACTCAAACTTCACGCTACCAGCATCGCCGCGCGCTATATAGGGTACTCGCGCCCGCGCGCGCGGGTGATGCGCTGCCAACATCCGTGCATGCATGCATGCATGCATGCAGCATGGCGGGACAGGGCGGATGAAACTGCTGTGACTGCTCGGCTTCCTCCAGATGTGAATGAATGTGCTGCTGGACACCAATTAAGCAGCAGCAACAATCCGCGCGCGCTGCTGGCAAAAGTGCCGCGTCCGCGTCCCATGAACACTCGTCGAGTGCCTTCACACTGCCTACCTGATGTGCACCACTATCCAACGCGCGAGCGAACTCGTGACTGTGTGGTATACGTGCAAAGAACGCGCTCGTGAGCAAGCTGCTGCTGGCGCGCGCTGTTCATCGAATCGTGACTGCAATGAAGACCTCGCGAAGGCTGTCTGTCCAGTCTCATAGGCTTCGATAGAGGGACTTGAATCAGGGCCTCTTTAGGTGACTCAATATACTTTTGAGATGCGAAGCTGGCTGTCTTCGATGCTGAAGCGAAGTCGCTGCGTGATTCAGCAGCAGCTACGACTCTGGGCAAGTCACATTTCCGCGTCCGACGTCCTTGCTCCTTTCACGACGAACAGAAAGGCTTTCGTGTACAGATAGGAGACCGTGACGTTCCAGGTCGGAAAGGAGACTCATTTCGGGACTCGTTCTAATTGGTATGAGTCGTGAGGCCAAGACGCGGTAGCGCACCAGCCAGAGTACTTAGTCAAAGTGCTCACGAAAGGCGTCTCAAAGAAATCTGATCAAAGAACACTCATCGATCTCGTGCGAACAAGGTACAACATAGGAGGAAGGCGCGTGTTGAAATGGATAGGAGGCCAGGCGCACACCGAGCCGAGCTTTGCCGTCGTGGTAGCCGTGTCAACGACGGCGAAGAAGGCCTTGTTCCTTAGCAAGGGATCTGAAAACTCCATCCGGAATGTCGAGCAATCTGTCCGGCGTGTCGAGCTCCAGCACTCTGCCGTTGCCAAGGACGAGAACTCTATCAAAGTCAATGACGGTAGCTAGACGATGAGCGACGGCAATGATGGTGCAGTGGCTAAAGCAAGTTTGCAGCACCTCTTGAAATTCTGCATCTGTTTGCGGATCCATGGAAGAGGTCGCTTCGTCCAGTACTAGCACCTTGCGACGTCGCAATATGGCTCGCGAAAGACTGAAAAGCTGCTGTTGCCCCGCCGACAGCGTCGCTTCGCTTGTGAGGAGCATGGTCTGCAGACCTTGAGACAGCGAGCGCACGTACACATCGAGCTTCGTCTTTGCCAATGCGTCCCACAAGTCGGCGTCCGAATGCTCTCCTTCAGGGTCCAAATTATCGCGCACGGATGCTGCCAAAATGAGAGGATTCTGAGGAATGATGGAAAGAGCATTGCGCAAGCTTCGCGCGGTAACAGAGTCGATGTCGAGTCCGTCCAGCTCGATGGTACCCTCACGCGAGTCCAGCATCCGGAAGAGAGCAAGCAACAGCGTCGACTTGCCAGACCCGCTTCGGCCTACCACTCCAATTCGCTCGCCGGCTTTAATGTCCAGACTGAGGTTGTGCAAGGCGGGCTGCGACGTAGGAGTGTATGCGACCGTGAGGTTGCTGACCCTGATACCGCCCTGAACATCCGCTGGCTTGATCGCTTTTCGAGACTGGCCCGTCTTGAGCGACTTTGAGCTTTCCTCAGGAGGCAGGTCCGCAAACGCACGGATGCGCTCCAGAGCAACACCAGCGATCTCGAATTCGGTGTACGAGATGAGTGTACGATTGAGATTCTGGTCGATCAACGTCGCTTGGACCAGAGCGACACCCAGCAATCCCACTGATTGCGATTCGCGCAGGAGCACAACGATGAGCACAAGACCACAGCTGATGACTCCAGCGAGCAGATTCAAGCTGGTGAGCAGCCAGCGTCGGACGGCCCACAATGTGTAGTAAGGCTTCTGTGCTTGGTCCAGTCGTGCGGTCATGATGCGTTCAAAGGTCGCCTGCCTGCCCAGAGCTCGCAAAGTTGCTAGGCCCGTTTCTGAGGTGGTCTCGCCAAGCGAGGAGACGAGTGGACCCTTTTGGGCCATCTCGAGGCGACGAAGCTGCCTACTTGCCGGCATGTACAGTCGCTGAAGGAAGACGTAGAAGATGGTGATGCCAGCAAATACTGCGAGAAGATAAGGCGCTGGCACAGAGAGCACGATCACTTGGCCAATTAGTAAGCCCCCATTTCCAAACAGATTAGAAGCAGCAAGACCGAGCTCCCAATCGATGGTGAAGAGATCTTGCGAGAATCGGTTGACGACCCTGCCGACGGGATTGACGGAGAAGAAATCCAAGCTCGTTCCCATTACTCCAGCCAGTTGCATCTGATGCAACCTTGTCCCTGCATTGCCAGCACCCCTCACCATCAAGGCGTGCAGCTCGATGGGCAAGCTTGCGAGCGAGACCAGGGCTAAGGAGAGAAAGACCATAATGTACTTGGCAAGCTCAGCCCCGTGCAAGGTCTGACCATCGGGCTGGGCGTCTGCCACTCTAGCCCAGTGTTGTAGCCACACGGGCCAGCCCATGTCTGCTCCGACTTGGCCCATGGTGCCGAGCTGCGAGATGACGAATAGCCAAATTCCCATCGTCTTGAGCCAGAGACCATAGACACCCCACGACACACTACCAGAAGCCATCTCCTCTGTCTTGTCTTCATCTGTCTCGGCTACTCCGGCGGTCGTCTTCTTGGCATCCCGAGGAGCTCGCGTATCGATTGTGGTTGGGCGATCCGTGTCGATGCTTGCACGGATAGCAGCTTTACCTTTGAGACTCAGCGACTCGTACGGAGCTGCCTCTGCCACTTTACCATCTTCGAGACGAACGACAAGCGCAGCAGAAGGCAAGAGGTGCATGGCATTGGTAGCCATGATGACCGTCTTGCCTCGCAGCAGTCCTCTGTCGCCCAAGATCGAGCGCCAAAGATGCGCAGCGGTCTCGGCATCCAGAGCGCTAGTGATATCGTCGAGTATGTATGCGTCTGCATCGGCATAAACACCCCGGGCGACGCTCAAACGCTGTCTCTGACCTCCGGAGAGCGACTTGGCAGGAGTGCGGTCCCGTTGGGGAAGTTGCTGCAGATCCGTGTCGAGACCGCAGGCGTGTAGCGCGGTTGCGTACCTCTCGGCATCCCAAACTCCGTCGAAGACAATGTTGTCACGGATGCTGGCCGCTTCCATCAACCAGCTATCTTGCGAGCAGAATACTGCTGGTTTTCTTGAAAGTGGTAGGTGGGTGGAGCCACTCAAGACATCAGCTTCTCCTAAGCAAGCGGCCAGCAAAGTCGATTTGCCGCTGGAAATCCTCCCGCAAATCATGGTCAGTTTGCCAGCGGGGATGCTGAGGTCGACGTTGATGAGAATCGGCTTGCCGGAACCCCATCCTAGCGTGGCGCGCTCAAAACGCGCGGCTACAGTGGAGTCTACGGGCTCCAACACCTCAATCGAAGAGGCGGACAGATGAGCATCTTTTCTATCAGACACTGGAGTTGCAGAACGCAAAGAGTGTTGACTTCGGTGATCGAGAGTGCCACTGCGCTCCGGTCTTTCATTCTCGCGCAGAAAGCTTTCGATACGTTTGCAAGACGCGAAGGCGGCGAGAATACTGGCGTACTGCTGGCCCAGCTGGAGCAGTGGAGCTTCTAGCAAGCCTAGCGTTGTGAGGGAGGTGAAAACACTATTGAGGTTGAAGCGACGCCCGCCATCGATGGAATCCGCAATGGCGATAGCTGAGAAGATTGTGAAGGACATAAAGTTCATCACGCTATTCGTTCCGCAAACGACGAGGATCAAGCGGCGCAAATAGTCTTTGGCCTTCTCGATCTCTTTGGCACGAGCAGTCAAGAGCCTCTTGGAGATGGCATCTTCGTATGCTGCAAATTTGAGGCCTTTGGCGTCCTTGATGGCAGAAGAAACCAGATTGACTCGAGCGTCCGTCTCTCTGCTCCACGCGCCCTGCTTTTGGCCGATGTTCTCTCCCATAGATGAGACGAACGGCGGAAGAGCGAGGGCGATGAAGATGGCAAAAAGTGCGGCCACAAAGCCCACCAGCGCGAGTTGGGAATACAAGATCCAGAGGCCGACTCCAATCAGGATGAAGCCAGACCAGAGTGTGTGAAGAGGATCGACGCACTTGACGATGCGCTCGACGTCTACAGAAACGAGGTTGGCTGCTTTACCGCCTCCTGTCCGCTTTGCGGCCTCCAGATGCAAGCGCAGACTTTTGGCGTAGATGATCTCGATCAATGCACCGCGCATTTTGACCATCGTCTTTGCAGACAGCCAATAGTATTGCCCGTTGCTAGTAGCAAGGACGAGATAGATTAGCGCGTAGGCGCCAACAAGACCCCACCCATAGGCTGTTGGGCTGTCTGTAGCGGTACCAGAGCTTTGAGCGAATGCCAGCGTCTTGCTGACCAAGAAGGGCTGCGCCAGCGTTGCAGCAGTCACAATGAGTCGAGGAATGATGGGCAAGAAGAGAGAGACGGGAAAGCCGATGGCGAGAGCGTAGACCAGATTGTGAGGTGGAGGTGGAAGACTAGTCTGAGCTGCATCAAGTTCTTCAACATCCCTCATCTCCAGGTCCTCCATCGCGAGCGAAGAATCGCTGTCATTCTTCTTCTTTCCGTTGCTTCTCGCCTTCCACATTTCGAACAATTCAGTCCGGCGAGAGACGGCACGTCTCTGTCGACGTCGTTCCAGGGCAGCGGGGCTGGCAGGCTGCCAAGCATCTTCCATGATGACGCGCAGCGAGTTGCCGCAGTATTCTGGAGCAAGTGTGTCTAGGTCGGTGAGCTGCAAGCCTCTCGTCTTTGACAATTTATAGCCCTTCCAGATGGTAGGATAGAGCCAAAGGAAGAACAGTCTAGAAGCGAAGCTCGCCCTCTCCTCCGGATGCGTATGAGACTATCGGAATGACTGACAAGTCAACACTTGCTGTCCTTCTGCAAAGAAACTGATAAACTCACCGGAATACCGCTCGTATTCTCAATGATGAGCATAAACCCCTTCACCACTACAGTAGCTATGCTTAAGGCGAAGAAAGCGGAGTTATGCACCACGTCGACGTGTGCAAAGGTGCGAATACGACAGGCATCGAAGAGACATGATCCGAAGAGGTACAAAGGGAGAAGAGCATCTCCACGAGCCGTCTTTCGGCGCTCCAGATATGACAGAGGAATAGCAGCGATCTGCACATTGCATTGAGAAGTATTGAGCCAGGTGTGAATGCGCGGCCGCCTCCTTGCTTTGTGCATCTTTTTCACTAGACTTACAGCAGCGACCAAGCTGAGCGAAGCAGCTGGAATGATGGTGCGAGAGTCCAAGGCCGTCGAAAGTTGATTATGCGCCACGACGAGTGCCAGACTTGCAGCGTTGAGCACGGCATGAAGAGTCGCGACTGCTACTCTCACAGTGCCCACCGGATCTACGGATCCAGGCGCTAGATCTTTCTTGGCAGCAAGAGCTGGTAGACGAAAGTGGCAAGCGGCGACGAGGCATGCAGAAGGCAGGAGGGACAGGATGATGTTGCTGAAGTTGAGTGTAAAGTCAAAGTACCGACATTGCGAGACTGGCCCCTGCGACAAAGCGACGGCAAGGCCCACTTTAGCGTTGCGTTTGCTGATTCATACGCCAGGGAACTCACAAAGGCCGCATCCTGGACACACGACATGACGGATGCGCAGGCACAGCTCGCCTTTTCTCTTCGTCCCAATGGTGACAGGTGATGGTGAGAAGTCACACGAGTAGACGTTGCGAGGATGGGGCACCTGATCTTTCAACGAAGACCGCGCCCAGGAGGTTCTTATCGTGTCCGTGTGTCTATGCGGAGCCACACCGCATTGTCATCCAGATCCACACCGGCCCATGACGCTGACTGCGCCAACATGCTAGCCAGTCTCAATCAAAGAAAGCCTCAGCATGCAAGAAGACCCCCACCAGTTGTCTGAGTCTGAGTCTGACGGTCACAGTCACAGTCACAGTCACAATCACAACAATCTGGCTATCCGAACGGGAAGCTGCTGAGCAGCCTTCCAGCCGCAGGAAGCGCTAGGCGGACCAACTTTCATGCAGCGTGGACAGCTCCTCAGGAACAGCAGCCATGCGTCGCAGAGCAGACGCGCAAGGACGTGAGCGTAATTCACAGATTCAATCGCCTCGCGATACGTACGGCATGGCACGGCACTGTGACTGTATACCGGGCACGATCTGCCTGCCACTCCGCTCATTTCACGGGCAGATCGCCGGAAATCGAAGCTCAGCATGCATCTGGACAGCTGGCCGGCCTGGCAATTGCGCTCAGGCTTTCTGGCACGCGCAGGAGTCATCAGAAGCGCAGCAGTCACGAGTGTGAGTGATGAATATATGGTCAGAATACCAAAGATGTGATGCTGATGCTGTGGCCCTTCGAGAGGCGCTATGCGTGCCTCCAGAACGAAGGGGGTGGTGGAGGTGATGTCGTCCATCCATGCATATATCAGCGTCCGACCATCTTTTCTTCCTAAAGGCTGCAAAACCTTTCGCATGAAAGTCGGAATTGCGCGCAGTGCAGCGGGTCTTATGTTTATTGCCCTGTCCCAAAGAGGACACGATGGCGATGACAGCTAGCAGCCGTAGGTGGCCTAGCGCAGGGCATCCTGCGCCTGCGCAATCTTGGAATGCGCAGCCACACCTCTCTAGCGGTCGGCAATGTGAGGAGTCGTAGGTCACGAATGTGGATCAAAAGGCGCGAGTCCACGCTGACTGAGCTGCCAGGGTTGGTCCACACGACCCGCCGCAACTCGCAAGTTGGACTGGCTCGGGTGAGGGAGGAGCATCACTCGCGACCCGAGACGCGGCTCACGACTGCTGGTGCGCAAGGTCCTCTTCTTCGGGCACGGGCTTGCTGGCTTCATCACATTTACCCCGCTGCGCTGAATGTTGCTTTCGGTCCATCAGCCTCGAGTCGCTAGTCGACCTGCTCAGCAGACATGGTCGAGTCAAGATGCGCAGGAGTCCGCAGTCGGCGGTGCTCGTGCACAAGCCTTACTTGACATTCAGAATGACGAAATCCTCGCATGTAAATCGTACATCATGATCAAGGTTCGAGCAACTTCTAGACCCAAGGTCTCGGCATGCAGTGTCTGGTCAGACGCAACACTTTCGACTCGTTCGAGCCTTCAATTCCCAATTTGGATAGTTTGGGCCTGACGTTATCCGGAGGCGTGCCTTGAAATATTTTCGGAGCTAGGTGGAGTAAATCTTTTCACGTGCACACAGCCATGCCACCACTGCAGCGTTTGACATTGCGCTGCGACACCTTACTCAAGAAGCCTCCTGCCCAAGACTGGGCAAGGGATGTCGTAAGATGATCAGAGCATCAGAGGACCAGTCATGCTCAACTGGTTCTGCAATTGCTTGCGTGTTGTCTGACTCCATACCTGATGATCGAAAGGAAGAAGCAGGCTGTTCGACTGCATTGCCGGTGTAGCGACTTGGATTGAGAAGCTCCCAAGATCTAGCTCTGGGCTAGCGTAGAATTCAGATTCTCCCCCCTCCGACCGGATGATCATCAGAGACATAACCATTTCCGCCCTGACTTTGCCTCCGCCCTCGCATCATTGCCATCTCGGGCTCTCGAACGCACCAGGAAGAGACAATAACAAGGTGCGACACTCGCAAGTAATGATGAGACTCGAGCCTGTAGCTGAGCGTGGCATTCATTTGTTAGTAGAGCCAAGGAAGAAGTCTGTCTCGTGCTGGTTAGAGTACACTGGGGATCTGACGGGAAAGACGGCGCTGGCCTTTCGCCCTCACGAAATTCTGGTAATCTCGTGTTCTAGACGACGCCTAGCTTGTGATGGCCTCGTCGCATCATAAGAATGCCTCTCTTCTTCTAGCGCTCCTCTGCCCACTCGTTCTCCTTGCGAATTTGCGCCTCCTCCTCCGGCGTAAAGTCGTTCTGAATGTTGAACAATTTGCGAATCTCCTCCGGAGTCTTGCCCTTGATCATGTTTGCTACCGTCTTGCATCCCACATCCAACAAGGGCTTGATATCGAGGTAGTTGGCTGCCAGAATGATCTCAAACAGCATCTCTTGGTCGACTTGAATGAACTTGGCATCCCACTCGGAAATGTCAGTCGTGCGCTTGCGAGACTCTTCGTTGGCATCGTCTGATGGAGGTGGGTCGCCTCGGTGGTGGGAGCAGTATTCAAGAACCTGGGCAAGAGAAGTCATGACAGGCACGTAGATGAGCATCCCAGAGAGCCAACGCACCGAGGTACCGGCCAACAGCGAGTCGATGTATGCGCGCTCGAGTTTATGTCTCGAATGCGAGACCATGTCTACAGCACTAGCTTGCGCGCTATGCAGATGCTTGGCTCAGCACTCAGCGCTCTGTTCAAGGCCCAAATCCCCACTGCGAGGGTAGCCCGCAGACGAGACGTTCAAGCTCCTAACCAAGGACATCCACCCTGCCTCCTGGCTATTGCGTACCGAAAGCCCGGACGCACCTTCTTCAACACGTTGGCGGAGACATTCACTAGCGGAATGGGCATGTCATCGCCCTCAATATCTGTTCGTGAGAATGTGTGTTTTGCGTGTCAGCCAAGGGGCAACGAACGAGGCTCTGCAGTCGCGTTCGTCTGCACAACGTCCCACCCCCTACACCGTGGCGAGCGCTACTCACCCTCCATCATGTTCTTGATGAGTGCTGAGCGCTCAGCAACATCCTTCTCCACTGTGAATTGCTCGTTGTCCGAGGTTGTAAGAGTGACCATGATGGGCGGTGTGTGTGCGTGGAGTGCGAAGTGAGTGGTGTGTAAGTGCAGGACCGGGAACACTGGACCATACGCAAGCGAGCGACGCGTGAAGAGGTTGAGGCGTCAAGCGAGCGTGAGTGATGAATGATTTGGAAGGGAGTTGGAAGGAGAGTATGATCTTGAATCTGAGATGGTGCATGCATGCGCTTCTCTCCATCGCCTCGCAAGCCGACGTCCATGCAAGCGCGATAGAAGCACCTTCGCGAGCACAGCGACGAGTGAGTCAAGTGAGTGCAGCATGTGCTTGGGCGTCGATCGTAAATCACGAATGCGCCCGGCCGCCACCTGCTGATGATGATGCATGCATGGCGACCGCATGGGCCTATGCGCGAGGCGGTGCGCGCAAATTAATGCTGCCGGCCTCAGCAGCGAGTCGTGAGTCTTGAGTGATCTAACCTGCACTCCGCCAAGTCAAAATAAGTGGTGACTTGTGAGTCAAGTCACGCCTGGCGACGCCCATGCATGCAGCGAGGTCAGACCGCGTGCGTGCGTGCGCACGCACGCACAAGGCAAACGAAACGTCTTGTTGGACGAGTCACGAGTCACGCGTCACTTTTGACTTTTGACTACGCAAGACTGTTGTGACTGACTCGACGTTGGCAGCAGCAGTAGCAGCACATACCTTGCCGACGTTTGAACGGGAAAACATTTCGCAGCAACTCAAAAGGTACACACGGGCTCCACATGAGTCAAGAGTGTCAGCTTGTGACCCGACTGCTTGCAAGTGCCAAGGATTCACGTGATTGTCGAGTCGCAATGCTTCTTGATCCTCATCAGATGCGCTCGGCGCCAAGTCACCACGTGGGTCATGTGAGCGGGGCGCGTAATCTTGAATTGAATATCATAGCGTGCACTTGATGATTTCAGTCACGAGTCGTCGCCCAAGGAGTCACGAGCCATGCGCTCTTGACTCTGACTCAGACTCACGCTCACGCTCAACTAAATTCCACGCTACGCATCTTTTGGTGAGGTCCGGCTCCAAGTGCCAGCACACCCATCGTCTACATCCGCCCATTCCCTCTCAACGCCTCGAGAGGTTGCCGAGATAATCTTGCGGTCACCTGGGCATCACGAGTCTGGCCGAGCCAAGGCTTGTTCCGACATCTCTAGAGGGCTGACCTCCGCGGCGTAGCTCAAAACAGCCCTTCGAACCTTCGCGTGACTCATCGATTGATGAGTCATCTTCCAACAGCCTCGTCCGAGGCTTCGACGAGCGTGGCAATGACGCCAATAAGCAGTAGCACGCTGGAAGGCCTCTTACCGAGCCGTAATAAAGCTTCTGCTATCGCGAGCAGCTCGCGCGTGACATTGGATCAGCTAAGAGCGGAGCACGTTGCAGAGCATCAGCGTCAGATCGCGTGAGTACAGGTCAGATTGCGCTAGCATAGGACGCCGTGCTGCTTGGATCTCTCACGTCCCTCGACTTCGGACCATCGTTGCAGTGGAGTCAGGGAAGCGCATGCTGCAGACCTTCGAGAACTGCACTTCATGTTGACGAAAATCAATCGACTTGACGAGGACGGGTCTCCCGCTCATCCGCCAAGTGCAGCAGAATATCCGATACAGAGTGGCAGCGAGTCCTTCTTCGCTCTGTGGGAGCTCGACAAGACTAGCAAGAGCATCATGGAGCTGCAACTTCCCGTCATGCCCAGCGCGCCCCTTTCGCTTTCGCTGCCTGTCAAGCTCGAGCCCTTGCGCGCTCAAAAAAGTGTAACAAGAGAGAATACGTCGACGACACCTTCCACGCAGACTGCAACACCCCAACGTACACCGTCTGGCGGCACGAAAACATCAGCCAGTCCAAAGAAGCCTGCTCAACCAAAGAGCGCACCTTTTGTCCCTCCCGCTTCAGTTCCTCCCCCTTCACCGAAGAAAGTTGCCGCATCGCCTGTCAAAGAGCCTCTGGGCTCTACACTGATCCTCCCGTCCAACACAAACACCCCGGCTAGTCATGGCGCTGCGACGACACCCACACGAGCAGGTGCTGCACTCCCCCAGAGTGGCAGCATCAGCGCTACCGCACAGACTTCCGCCACTCAAGGTACTCAAGCATCTGAATCTCTCAATTCGCAGGGTGGTGAAGAGGATGCCACGCAATCCACGAGCGTCACGGTGCCAAGCGTGGGGTTGGGCTCCCAGACTACAGTGATCCCGTCGCAGCCGCCGCCCAAGTCAGATCCCTCGGCGGCGCTTCTCGCGGCTGGGCGAGGCCTGCTGGAGGAGCAGATGCAAGAGGACACTCTATCGGGAGACTTACTGCCACTGCATCCGACTTTGCAGCAACTAGCACCGAATCCGCTATCCATTACCTACGCTTCCTCACTTCGCCCATTACCTCCGGATCCTTTCCGACGATATACAGGCCAAGGGATTTCGGGAGGTCAGATTCACCACAAGGGTGCCAAGAAGGCGGTGCAGCTTCCTCAAACTCGTCAGGGAGTGCCTCCACCCTCTGGGCCGGCAGGAGCAGGACCTGCTGATCTGTGGCAATGGGCTGTGCGAGCGAGAGCGAGCCCGTGTGCTGGGCTGGTAGGAAAAGCGGACAAGTGCTTGATGACGACGGACTGGCGCGCCGCTTTTTCAGAGCAGCGCTTCATTCGCGCAATGACGCGCATCGAGAAGCTCAAGACGCGCGGCGAGTGGAGCTTCCGCCAACCGAAGAAGCAGAAAGGACCGCACATTCGCAAAGCGCACTGGGATCACTTGCTAGAAGAGATGCGCTGGATGCAGACAGACTTTCGAGAAGAGAGGCGCTGGAAGACTGCAGTTGCTTTTCATTTGGCTCATGCAGTCAAGGCGTGGCATCAGGCGAGGACACCTGCTGCTAGAAAGGCAATGTGCATATCTCGAAGTCCGATCGCACGTCTGTCGACGCCCTCTGAGGATGTTGAGTTCACCGACGTCCAGAATACAGCGCAGCAGGTCAAGCGAGAGCGCGACGAACAGGACGTTGAGATGGAGATCACCGATGTCAGGCCCCACAAGGAACCCAAGGTCAAGTCAGAGCCTGGGCTTGGACAATCTGGGGAGGGTTCTGTTGAAGTATCCACTGCTGATGCGCGCCGAGAGGAAGACGCGGACGCCGAGGGCGAGGAGGATGCTGATGCTGAAGGTGAAGATGATGACGCAGAGGCGGATGCAGACGCAGATGCAGATGCTGAGGCAGACGACGTCGACCGATCACTGGCCTTGGAGCTCGATCGCGAGCGCGACTCGAAGTCGGATTTGCCTCCGGTGACTTTCGTCAAGGAGCCGCTGGCCCCTCAAGGACCTCAGCCTGCCCTCAGCGCTTCAGAAGCTGTGCAGGCCAACAGCAACAGTCAAGCAGACGGGGTCATGGGCGTGCGCAGTGACGTCGCGCTTCGCGACACCACGTTGGCCGAGGCTTTGCCGCCGAACCTTGCATCTCTGGCACGCGGTCCCGTCTTCTCGTTGGACGTGGGAGCAACCACGATCTCGGCAAGTGCAATCGTTCAGGAGCTGGACAAGCAAGTTGCTGCCACGGCGTTGGGCTTGGAAGTGGAAGATTTGCCATCTGACATAGACATCGATCAGATCACCGTATCGAGCTTGTTTCCCGAGCTACCTCTGTACGACGCCCCCGCCGAGCCGGACGAGTCCGGCAAAAATGATCGTCGCTGGGATGATGGGAGTCTTAATGCGCCACCTCGCCTCACTCACGTCAGTCGATTGCTGGACTCTAAGCCGTTGCTCGTTACTACCCTGCAGCCCTCGAAAAATCGTGCGATGGGCAGATGGCGTGAAGACAGCGATTGGATGATCGCGTCCTCACTTGCAGATCCAAATAAGGGCGTGGTTCCGGAACTTGTCGATATCCCATTGCAACCAGGCTCGTTCATATTTGCACGCAAAAGCAACAAGGCTTCTCGCGAGATTGCGAACGTTGGCGGAACTCCAGCGGCACCCAGCAATGCGGATTCTCGAGCTGCGCTTTTCATGTGGAGCAACGAGGAAGACGAGTATCTTGCAGCGCTCGTCCGGCAGTACGGCACGCATTGGCTGCTGATTTCGGACTTGTTCAACTCCACACGCCTTGCTGTACCAACGGATAAGCGCGAAGCGTGGGACTGCTACGATCGCTGGCAGCGGCTGCAGAAGGCTGCTGATGAAGGCAAGACGCTTCCGCCGACTCCGGTGTTACCCGCATCTGCGGAGATAAGCGCATCGAGCAGCGAGTCCGGGCCAGGCTCCTCAACGTCTTTCGCGATGAAGCGCGACAAGATCAAGGCGAAGCTGGGACAGAAGTATGACGGGTCGCGAAGGAAGATGCGCCAAGGCAACATTGGAGACGTCATGCGCAAGTGTGCTAGGAAGCGCGACGCCCTCGCGAAGCCCAAGGCGGACCAAGCGGCTCAGCGCAAAGTCAATTTGAACATGCACGAAACCCACTCTCAGTTTAAGCCTGGCAGAGTTCTCACTCCTCAGGAGCTGAGCAACGCCAAGGCTGACAGGGACGAACAGAATCTTCGCCAGTACTATGCAATGCAGCAGCACCGGGAAAGAGAGCGACTGCAAGCCCAGCAAGCGGCAATGGCAGCCTCCAATCAACAGCAACAAGCTGTCCAGCAGCAGCAACAGACGCAGCAACAGCAACAAGCACGTGGAGTTCCTCGACAGTCACAAGGGCCACCGTCTTCGCAGCCTCCGACCCAACAAGTTCAGCTTGCAGCGCCAGGCCAGCAGCAGCAACAGCAACCCAACGCTGGCAGTCCCAATGGTCGAGCTACCCCTCAACAGCAAACGCAGGCCGCACGTGCGCAGCAGCAGCAGCGTCTCAGCCTCTCACAGCAGGTACAACAGGCTCATATGCAGCAACAGCAGCAGCAGCAGTCACAGCAGGGAGCGCAGCAAGCGCCTGGTGGCCGGCCCTCTACGCCGCAGGGTGTGCGACCACCCCCACACAGCGTTGCGACCCCGATGAGTGGTGCGACGTCGCTGGCTCAGAACGTGAGCGCGCCTCAGTTCCGACCGCCGAACATGCAAGGTCAACCACTTGTTCAGCCACAGCAGCAGCAGCACTTTGGTTCTGCAGCGGGTACTCAGTCGCCCGTCACGGTTAGACCACCCAACAACGGTCAAGGTCAAGCGCCGCAACCACTGCCTAGCCAGCTGGCGTCTTTGCAGGCCAGTCTGACACAGAGCTTGACAAGTTCATCGTCGAATTTCACGCAGGAGCAGGTGAGTACGGGCAGCACCGGTGCAGTTATGTTGTCCTGTGCCCCTATCAAACACCTGTTCTTTTCATGCTTGTCCAGATACAAAATCTCGCTCAGCAGCTCTGGCGACAATCCCAAGCTCAGCAACAGCAGCAACAGCAGCAGCAGCAGCAGCAGCAAGCAGCGCTGCAAGCTCAGCTCGCCTCGTTCCAGCAACAGCAGCAGCAAATGGGTCAAGGACAGCTGCCTCAGCAGCCGCAGCCGCAGCAGCAAACGCAGCAGCAACAACAGCAGCAAGCCCCGATGCAGATGCAGGGGCAGTCGCAACCTCAGCAACAGACTCAGCAATCGGCGCAACTGGCGCCAGCCAATGCGCAAACCGCGCAGCGGCCACCACAGCACGTGCGACCTGGCGGCGGGGTGCAGCGACCAGTTCAGCAGGGACAGCAGGTCAGACCATCGGGGCCTGGCAATTCTCAGGCCAATACGGGTGTGCCTCGACCTCAACGACCACCGCAAAACGCTTCTAAGCCTGCATCAGGTGGACAAGCCGTGAGACCCGGTTCAAAGTCAGCAGCAAGACCTGCCTCTGGAGCTGCCCAACCAAGGCCGCCGCAACAGAATCCTCGCCCTGCCGCTAACGTGCCAACTCCTAGGCCGAATCCATGAACTTGGGTGGAGAGCCGAGGATATATATGGGAAGCCAAGCTACCATAAAGTAGCACGTACATCCGCAGATGACAATCGTGATTACGTCAATCACTTTGAGCATGGAAGTCTGTGTATTACGTTGCGCCTGAGTATGCTGAGACGCTTCGAAGAGCCCTCGCCCTTCGTCTGCTTCCCCGCATCCATCGTGGACTCGCTACGTAGTCGGCAGCGAGCCAGACTTACGTATCGTGCCCTTCTCCTTCAATTTCGCGTGCGTTGTCATCTCTTGCAGAGCTGCAAAGCTATCGATCGGAGGGTGTTCGGGCATGTTACGCACAGCTGCATAGCCCGTCACTTGTCGCGGAACCGCACCGGTCACCTTGGCATCAGGGTGATTGTGAATCTGCTTTGAGCCGGGAGGCCAAGCGAGATCAGGGGCAATAGGAACTCGGTAATAGGCATATCCCGTTTCGCTTCTGATGAGGTGGCTTCGACTCTTTGCGTAGCCCAGGAACGCCCAACCTTGCTTGTCGTGGAGCATACCTCGCTCCACCTTCGGAAAGCGAGACATGGACACTTTGAGTTTAGCCAAGCATGAGGAAAGGAAGAGAAGAGGGGCCAGCGACTCACCCTGAAGTGGTCCACATTTGGAATCTGGTGGCGGAAGTGATGCATGGACTTCTCCAACGCGTTTGCGTGGACGACGTCGTGGACCCTACCCATGTCGACGGTCAAGCCGTCAACCGTGCGTTTCTGAGGAGGGTCGGGAATGCGACAGTGAGCGCTCGCTGATGCAAGGACCTGATTCCCTGGATGACTGCTAGCTCACAATGCTCTTTCCTGGCATTTCGTTGAGGTCTAGGATCTGGGGTCCGTTGCGCACATACCGCCAGCCGGGTCGCTTGCCAGCCGTATTGCGGGTGTCTGTTGCGGGGCTGCGGCTCGTACCAGAGGCGTCTCCTGCTGTTCTCTCGCCACTGGCCTCGGCTGGATCATTGGGACCAGCGCTATGTGGCGTTGGTTCGCTCGATCTCGGCTTTTGGACTCTCCCTGCGCCACCAGCGTCCGAAGCTCCGACTCCAACATGCCAAGGTCTCTTGTTGGCGCCTGTGTGTCTGACCATGGCGGATTTGGTCTGACGTTTTGGAGCCCGCATGTGGCTAGGGAACGGTCCCAGCGTGAAGCGAGGCACCGAATCTGCTCCTCGGTGCGGCAGGGAATTTGTAGCTGGAGTATTTGTCAGTGTTGAGGTTGCCAGAGCTCCTTGGTCGCCAGGCAGCTCGAGATTTGCAGTCGGATTCAATAGATGAGCTCGGCTTCCGCTTGCCTCTGCAGCCGCTTTCGAACCCGCAATCAAGCGCTTTTCTAGCCGAGCTCCAAGGCGGCTGCGCTTCACTTCGTACCGCTTGCCACGTCGAGCCGTGTCGAGGTCTGACCAAGACGATCTCCGCGAGTGGAGCTGAAGTTGCCGAAGTCAGCTTCGTTGACCAAGCCGAGGCAGCGAGGTTTGAGCTCATGTCATCACTCACCTCGTAAGCCCCTTTCCTTTGCATCGGCTTAGCCAGAAATTCCGCCACGGAAGGGTGCGCGAGCCAGCTGCTCAAAAACAACGCCCCCATCAGCAAATGACTTGAAGCCCACATCTCGAATGGACCAGTTGCTGAAGATCTTTCAAGTGCGGCGCGTTCGACGATGGAGATGCCACTAAGGAGAGGATGGTGCTTACGCCAGAGTCTGCCCAGCAAACGGTTGATGAGAGACAGTGCGAAGCGCAAGAAACGAGGACACGAGTGCTCGGGGACCAGAGAAGGCAGATCTTTCCATCTGTTTATACATCATTCCGCTGTGGAAGCGAGCCCGAGTGGTGGGTCCCTATCGCCACTCTAATCGCTTGCCAGTCTGGTGGCAAAGTGGCGGAAGCGCGTCTAGCAGCGCGCCGCCGCCACCATCACTATAGTCATCAGTTCTAGATATACCTGTAGATGCAACACTGCTGAAATGCACCATTGCTCTCGTACAGCGCACTATGTACAGCGCTGATGCCCTGTTCAAGGTGATGTTGCATTCATGATTGCAAAGGAAACGTTAGTACAGCGAAATGCCTTGACTGTGCGTGCGGTGGTGGCCGGATCTCGGTGCATTCAGTGCGGCCTGAAGACACGCGCTTCTCGCGTGGTTGATGGCGGCCATCCAAGCATGCGCCGATTTTGGTGAGGAGGTTCTGAGATTGATCTTGTCGGAGCCACCGACGATCACTTGGAAGGCAGACTCGTCGCGTGCCCCAGTCAGCCGAGAAGGAACGTCTCTCACAACGATCTCTTCGAGAGGAATGGGCATGCGATACAGCTGTGGTCGTCGGTTGCCAGCAGCATCTTCCTTGCCTTCTTGCAAGAGAATCAAGAGATCCGAAGTGAGAAGCGTCGTCAATTTGCGACCAGACTTGTGCTTCGAGAGCACCTCTTCCTTTAAAATTTGGCGCGGTCCCATGACTCTCGTATCCTTGGTGAGGTCCAGCCTAGCAGCGTTTCCAACCCAAAGATACTCGCTAATCGCTGCCAGACGATCTCTAGTCTCGCGCGTCCGTATCGCTTCGTTTGTTGAAGCCAGTATGGATTCGGCAGTGCGTAGCGACTCATGCAAGCTGTCCTTCTCTGCTGCATCGATGGCGGCTTGATCACTGTATCTCATGATTTGCGAGATCAACAAAGGATAACGAGTGAGTCGCTGCATGGGAATCAGGAGAAAGCTGGACAGATCGAGTCCGCGTGCCGCGGGATTCTCGCGCCGAATGGTCTGCAGCTGAGCTTCCAGAACGGAATTACGGTCCCTCTCGGCTTGCAGGATCTGCGCTGCTGGCGTTTGATTGACGCAGTACGGCAAGTATACTCGCATCGCTGCGATGTGCTTCGCGAGAATGTCCCCCAAGCCGCTGACGATTACTTCTTGCCTTTGCCGAGACTCGAGATCAGAGAGGAGCGATACTGCCACCAGAAGCACTTCTTCGACGTTGGCGAAGATGACGGTGGTAGCCTTAGCACTGAGTAGACCGGATGCGTGCATTGTGTTGAAGAAGACCTGGCAAAGCATAAGAGCTACATCAGCATGCTCACTTACGATACCAGACGCTTTGTGCTCACCTCAACAATGATCTGCAAGTCGCGAACGTGGGTGCTTTCGGTAGCAATCAGCTCGTGGATCGCTTCTTGACGTTTGCGCTCAACGCCGTCCAAGGAGGCTGCTACCTCTGCAGGAATACCAGAGGCCCATCCTGTGAGCGACGTGGTAGGCACAGTTCCGACAGACTGGGCGCTGCTGGCGAGAGAGGCAGCATCACTAGCAGGACCGCTAGGCACTCCAAGCGACGGAGAGTCTAGACGCATGGGACCAGATATCATTTCGGTCGTGCGACTGGGGACAGGGCTAGGAGCAGCTTTGCGCGACGTCATGCTAGCTTTGAGACTGCTGAAAAGACCGGACGATTTGCCTTCCGGTGTTGGCGAGCCAGTTGGAGGCGGAGAGCCGGGCGGAGACGACATAGAGAGAGCCTGGATAGCCGAGCTCGTTCTCTTGTGACGCTTTGGCGTTGCACTACTAGTAGCCGGAGGGGCTGATTGCTGCAAAGAGACCTCGGCGGCCATCTTTTGATATTGATCGAACGCATCATCCATACGCTTTTCTGGCTCAACGGCGGGTACTTGAGGGAGTGGTCTATCGGGTCGTCTTGCGCGAAGAGTGTTCTTGCTGCGGCGCTGCTTCACGGTGGGATCCAGCGAGTCAGGTTCGCCCTTCGACTTGCGCCGGACCGTAGTGCGTCTTCGTACCATCAGATCTGGCACCCCTTCTTCTGTCGTGGCTTCGTGGAGATCAGGCGGCAGATCCGCGGCGTCCTTGGAATGGACCGGCGAGGCCGCCTCGTCATTTCGTATCAAGACCCCAGCAGCCTCGAGCAGTCTGAGCCTCTCCTTTACTCTTCGTGTGCGCATTTCGTCCGTCTCCGCTTCGTCGTCGTCATCATCCTCTTCCTCACTCGAAGTCCATCCCGTAGTCGACTCGTCCGAGTCGTCCTCAACTCCAACTGTCTCATCAGAGATACCAGTATTCGAGACCGGAGCAGCAGACAAGTTCGAGGCATTTTGGACTTCCAAGGCTTCGTCACGCGAAAGCTCAAGAGCACGATTCAGATCTTTTTGTCTGACTCGGGTTGTGACGAAGAAGCGCGTCAGTCGCCTGAAATTTCGTGAACGCTCGCTTGGCCATCTTCGGATTCGGACTTACTCTCGCGCCCTAGCTACTCTCATCAGACGCTCGTCTTTCTGCGAAGCAGCTACAGCTCGTCGAAGCTCATCAGCATCTGGATCCGCCAGAACCTGATCAGAAGCTCCAATCGCAGCTGGCAAGCTTGCGACATCTTGCACATCGCCACCGCTCATCTCTTGAGTCCGACTGGCTACGGTTTCAACATCTGCGCGCTTCCGCTCTTGTCCCGCTCGCTGCGACGCGAAGCGCGATTCCGCCGATCGATCATCTAGCGGTGGCGCAGGTTCCGTTTCCATTTCGCCGGACGGCGCAGAACTTTGCCAAGCGGCAAAGATTGCGTTATCTGGCTGAGCAACACGAGGGCTCGGAATGCCTGGCAGCCCCGCTTTGGAAGCCGACATGACCTCCCCAGTCACGGGCAGCCTCGGGCCAAAAGCGGGCTGCGAGGTCTGACGGTGTGCCGCACCGGCGTGAGGCTGAGTAGCGGGCTGTGGCAAGGCAGCCATCAAAGGAGAAGCGCCGTTGCTACTCTCACCAGGTGAAGCAGCTACAGCTCGTAGTGTCGAAGCGCCGCTAGCAGAAGTAGATGCTTGGCTGCTGGCATCGAGCTGGTCAGCACGAGCTTGCTCACTTGCTACCACTGTCATGTCGCAAAGAGACCAATTCAAAGAGTTTCAGGAATGCATCCGGCGCGTCAGTTTGTATTTCGAGTCATGTGCAAGAGACGGAGAGGGAGAAGTGGGAAAAGAGTCTACCGGTCAGCGCAAAGGGCGGCAAGGAGGACGAAAAAGGGAGACGAAAGAACTCTTTTCTCCGCGCCGTAGTGACCAGAAGCGCACGGGAAGAGAATCCAGACTCGCAAATAGGTCAGGAAGGAAGAGTGGGCGGCCGCCAAAGCAAAGAGCACAAAGACATGATTGCAATGATGATGACCCCACTCTTTCCTTCCTGCCTGCTCGACTGGACCACTCCCTGCCTTGCAGTCAGAACAACGCATCGTGGAAATGAAAGTCCTTCCTCCTTCCCCTTCGTCCTCCTGGCCCCCAACACGCTGTGGAGCTATGCAAACACCTAACCCCCTAGCGGGCGGAATGAACAGAGGTACAGAAGGGGACAGGAGAGCAGTGGAGCGATGGACCAACAAGCACGTTGTTGCAGCAGCGTGCCATGCAAGCACAGCTTGCGAAAGCCCATCAAGCGAGAGCAGTGCAACACTAACCACTGAGGCTCAAGTAAGAGGCGGGAGCAAGCAAGATCCGATCTCCTTGGTCTACCTTCCACCAATCAGCATCTTCCTGATCCACCACGATCACCTCTTGACCCGTCGTGAAGCTTGCTTCTTCGGGAGAAGAACCCGCAAAGTCGTAGACAGCGGTCGCGTGCGTCGCTGCAGCAGCCAACGCGAAGGGTTAGCAATCAGAAACATTGAAAATTTTGCTGAGCTCAAAGGCAGCCTCGTCTACTCACGCTGAATGATCTGCACGTAAGCCCTTGGGAAGGTGCCCTTCACGCCCTTGGCACCGGTGAGTACGCTTCCGTACCACCAATCGCCTCCAGCGTCCTTCGCAGGATGGCCAAGCACGACGTCATTCTCCTCAAATGACACGTCTTCCTCTCGCTGAGCCGCGTACGAGTACAGCGCTCGGCAACGAAGAGTCTGCGTGAAATCGAAGTCCGCAGTCGCGTCTTCCGGATCCGCCGCTGTCCCAATGACTTCAGAAGCGGCAGCCATGGTCGAGTCCGGCGCCACTACACCAGATGGACTCAGGACAGCTTCTGCATCCTCCGGTCCCTCATCGTCACCGCTGTCCTCGGGCTCCTCGGCGACAGAAGGTTCGTCCGGAACCGCGCTGGGATGATGACCATTCATCTGGTCCGCAGCGAGATTATTGGCCCAGTCGACGGACTGCCTGTTGGGATTACTAACCGCAGGTGGTGCGATTGGTGCGGCAAGCGGTTCCGCTGCCGCAGGCGGGGAGGGAGGAGGAACGTACTTCTGCACAGGCGCGCTGGCGTCCCCGATGACTGCTCCAGCACCAGGGGCTCCCGATCGATCAACAGTAACAGCTTTGCGCAGCTTGAGACCACCTTGAATTTGACCGAGGAGCGCTCCTCTGTCAGCGTCACCTGGAGGAGCCACGAAGGGCTGCGCGGGAGCAGAAGGAGGCGGAGCGGGTGGAGCAGGGGCACCGAACACTGGAGGACCACTTGCTGAAGGCGCAGGGGCAGTAGGTGCAGTTGGAGCAGCGGGTGCAGGAGGAGCAGGAGGTGCCGCTGGCGGTGTAGCCCTGCCAGTAGCCTGCGGGACCAATCCGCTAAAGAGCGCAGCAGCAAGATTCTGACGCGTAGCTCTCGAGCTCGATCCAGGCGCATCAGCTTCCTCCTCTTCCTCCTTGTCGGAGTCTCCCCAATCATCGTCATGTGTCGGTGCTTTGCGAGGCGCAGCTGCAGGAGCGGTCGATGCAGCGGGGACGTTTTGCCTTGAAGGTGCAGGCAGACCGTTCGAGACAGCTGCACCTGCTGCAGCCCACGGGTTGCCGCTGGGCGCTCCCGCGCCTGGCGTCGTTGCCGTGCCGGGCTGCATTCGATGGAAGGGGTTGTTGCTCGTTGCGCCCGCAGGCGACTGACTAGGAGAAGCAGATGCGGCGGGAGGGGCAGGTGGGGCAGGTGGGGCGACAGCGACCGCAGGAGGAGGTGGAGGAGGCGGAGCAGCAGCTGCTGGCGCAGAGGGTGCAGTGGGCGGGGGAAGGGGTGCGCCCTTGCGAGTAGGCGGAGGAGGTGGAGGTCCTCCCTTTTTGCGGCTAGGCGCTGGCAACTGTGACGCAGAGGATGGCTGTTTGAACAAGTTCTGCTTCTGCTTGAAAGCTTCTTCTTGTTTCTTCGCTTCTGCTTCCTCCTCCTCAAGCTTTGCCAAACGAGCCAAACGCTCTGCCTTCTCTTTCTTGAGCACCTCTTCGCGACGCTTGATCATCTCCTCTTGATCGTCGATCTCCTCCTTCAGCGCTTGCGTCACGGGAGCAGGTGGAGGGGCCGAAGAGCTCTCTTGCGCTTGAGTCTCCGCTTTCACAGCAGCAAGAGCTTGCTTTTCCCGTTCCAGTCGCTGCTCTTCCAGTCTAGCTTTGCGCGCCTCTTCCCTAGCTAGAGCCTCAGCATCAGCTTGAGCACTGCGTGCCTCAGCTTCAGCCTTGTCAGCAGCGAGCCTTGCCTCTACTGACGTGTCTGGACCCGAACTTGACGGTGCAACTGCGCCAAGAGCGCGCATGCGCGCTTCGATGCGGGCTTGAGCCTGAGAACGGACCCATGCTTGTCTCTCTTCTGGAGTGGCGAATTTGGGAGGACCGGATGGTGCAGGCGACGCGGCAGCGACGGGAGGAGGAGGCGGCGGTGGAGCTGCAGCGCTTGCTGGTGCGGCAGGCACGGGAGGTGGCAAAGGCGCACGCTCCACAGCAGGAGAAGCACCGGCGGAAGACGGTCGAGAGTTGCGAGAGCGGTCGTCGCGATCGCGTCCGTACCGATCATCGCGGTCATCATACCTGTCCCTGTCCCTGTCGCGCCTGCCATAGTCGTCGCGATCCGCACGTTCGTCGTCATATCGACTTCGAGAGTAGGAGTCGTTTCTGGAGTCTGGCCTGGGACTGCTTCGGGCGCTGTCGCGATAGTCGGATCCTCGACCATACGCACCTTCATTGCGCCGATCTCGAGCTCTGCTCTCGTTGAGACGACGGTCACGCTTGCGGTCCTCCTTCGCTTCCAAGCGCTTCTCCAGCTGAGGAAGCCGTTCATGATGCAGGTGCAAAAGCTCGCGCTCGGCTTTACGACGAGACTCGTTGGCTTCTCTGCCCGGACGCTTCTTGTAGTACTCGATGTCGTCCTGAACTCGACGAATACGGAAGCGCAACTCTTCCATCTCTCGCTCGAGTTCGCGAGTCTCCGTCTCATCCTCATCGTCACGAGAATCGTCGTTGTCCAGCATGCGTTGGGTTTGACGCTTCATCTCGTTCAGCTCATCGTGAGCGCTCTGACCTTCGTACCTGACTGCTCGGCGGTCCAAATGACGCGAGCTGGACTTGTAGCCCGAAGCTGAGGTGTCGTCATTTTTGAATGCAGTGGCGTCCTTCTTTGGCACACCACCCGCACCAGGCGCAACGGGATTCTCGTGGAATGACCTCGTCTTGCCGTAGGCCGTCGTCGCATTGCTGCCAGCTTCCGGAATGTTGAGTCCGGTAGTATTGCGAACGTTTGTGTCACGCTTCAAGAGATCTTTCAAGAAGTCGACACTCTCGTTGAGGTCTTTGGAGGATGGGGGAATGAGCTCGGGCGGTAGCTCGTTTGGAATGTCGTTACCATTGAGTGCTAAAGAGGGCAGAGTATACATAAGTCGAATCTTCGCGGCTCAGACTCGCCTCGGTATTGTACTCACCGCGATACACCAAACCCATGGCAACATGAAATTCAGCCAGATTGAGCTTGCCCCTGTTCTCAGTGTCGCTGAGGTGCCAAATCTGCATCAGGCGATCCCGGTCCAGACCGCTCTGCTCGAACACTTCACGGGCCACATCGCTGGACAAGAAGCCAGTAGCCTGCTGATCCCAAGCTCTGAAGATTGCATCGTACGATTTGCGTTCCTCTTTGCTCAGAGCCCAAGGGATTCGAGGTTCTCTGGTACCTGCTTGCTGTTGAGAAAGGTTTTGAATGCTGGACTGGAAGTTGGAAGGCTGCATGGAGGCGTTGCTGAAGTTCATGTTCTGGACCAGTGGAGCTCCGCCGCTATAAGGTTGAGCAGCGGGCAAGAATTGCTGACTCATGAGTTGCATGCGAGGGTCCATGGGTAGTCCAGTCATTTGTGGGTGCATCATCCCAGTCATTTGTGGTTGCATCCCTCCAGCACCAGGATAACCAGTCATTTGGGGTTGTAAGCCACCCATCCCTGGTCTCGGACCCATGCCCATACCCATGCTCATGCCAGTTGCTTGAGGTTGCAAGCCAGGCGAAGGGGAGAGGAAGCGATTGGGTTGTGGAGCTCCCAGCATACCATTACCACCTGGACCCAACATGTTGGATCCGCCAGGTCCACCCATGCGTTGCTGAGCGATTCCTGGACCTCCCATGCCCATGCCCATGCCCATGCCCATGCCCATGCCCACGCCCATCATGCCAGTTGCTTGAGGCTGCATGAACTGTTGCTGTTGCTGCTGCTGCTGCTGCTGCTGCTGTTGGGCGTGTTGAGGTGGCATACCAGTCGCCATTGGTCTTTGAAATTGTTGTCCTGGATAACCAGTCGGCTGGGGTTGCATGTAGCCCTGGCCGGGCTGGCCACCATACTGCTGGCCGTACATGACTGACGATCGACCAAGAGACGAGGTGGGGTGAGATTCTACGAGCTATCTAGATGCTGTCGTCGCCGTAGTCGAAGGTGCAGAGGGTGGATGTGCTGGAACGCGGAGAGGAAGACTTGCGATTCACGACTCAAGATTGGACCCAGACGAAGGCGATGGATGCGTGAGAAGGTCTGGAAACACCACACCGCCGCACTGCACGTCGCTGGCTCGAGAGCGGACGAGCGATCGAGACCTGACCTGACCTGACCTCACCTCACCTCAACTCAGCTCAGCTCCTGGCTGCACGGACGGCCGGGGCGAGCTGCTCGCCTGGTCGCCTAGCTGCACGCTCGTTATGGCCATGCTCGGCTCTCATCATGCGCTTAGCCACACGCATTATACCAGCACAGCACATCTCCAGCAGCATGCATCAGCAGCGCGTGCGGTGTGCGGTGTGCAGGGTTCAAGCTTTGACCTCAGCCGCACCACGTGGTCTCTACGCTCGATCATGGTCATGCAACCATCAATGTGAATCACGTGTGACACCCCCGCTTGGTGATTTCTTGAATTTTGGGACTACAGACACAGGAACATTCATGATTCAGAGAACTCCATGACTCGTGACTCACGCTTTGAGTCGATGGTGCGCATCAAACTGTGTTTGTCCCATCTTCCAATCAATCACTCGTGACTGCAAGGCCGCCATACGTGATGTGAGCTCGACCATGCTCGCACTCGAGACGTGAGATCGCTGCCACCAGTTGCCATCCTTTCGATCTGGCTCCTACCTACTTAGCTCCTCTTGCGCCGAGCAGGGCGAGTCATCTCTGGCAGCACAATCAGAGAATTCTGCTCGATAACACCCAAGTCCGAGAGTATCTGCTCCAATCACCAGGTTGCTTGCATACAAGCGCAAACATCCGACACTCTCAGCGTGCCTGGCTCCTGTCATCAGAGCCACGACTCAGCTGTATACCTTTACTAGCGTATAGACCTCGCGAGACAGTTGCAAGACAAGATGATTACCTCGCCGATGCACAGTCGGGACAAGATCAAGCTTTGCGAGGACATCATCCGGGATCATTTTGGGCCAACAGCGCATGTGAGTGATATTTGCAGAGTCATCGAAAGCAGCATCCGAAATGAAACGGGATCAGACTTTGCGTCGAATGCTCACCTCTGCTACGCCCCGTGATCCTTGCCGCATCACGATCCCAGAGAGTTGCTTGCACATTATTGGAGCGCGGCAGGCTGAGTCTTCGCGAGCTGCAGAGATTCCTGGCCACCACCACTACGGTAGCCACTGCCGGATTGACCACCGCCGATCTACTTGCTCACGCGGGAGGCAGTGGAGGAGAGGGAGCCTCAACTTCCGCAGCAGGTCTAGCAGCTGCCCAAACAGCCGCAGCTCAAGCTACACTCGCGTCAATTTCCGCCTCATCCCCACTCAAATCCAAAAGGTTGATTCAACAAACCCTTCTGGTCCTTATACAGCACAATGTGTGCTGGCACGTCAGACTGGACAGGGACGGCTTCATCTTCGAGACGGATACGGACGACTTGGAAAAGGAGAGCAATTATGAGGGAACGGAGTACTTTGAAATCAATCCGGATGCCGTGTTGCCTCGTCTAAGGTTCGGGAGGTACATCGAGACCGCCCAAGAAGAGTTTGGAGAAGAAGTGAGTGAAGTGCGCGTGCGCGTGCGCATACACATGCTTCGGCGCGCGTCTGACTCGCTCGGCGATTTTACCATTTGCAGGGCGGGGCTGTCGCACGCGAGGTGCTGCTGAACGGCAAGCTCAAGGCTAGCGACATTATCGATCGGCTTTCTGAGAATGGCCACGATCGTCGACGAGCAGATGAGATTTCTTTGATCCTGCGTGACATGCTTTATAAAGCCTACTTGCAACCTTCGGTACTGAGCCAGCAGACGAATCCGCGAGACAAGGAGATTGGTTGGTCTCAGAGAGAAAGACAAGCCATCAAAGGCGCCAAGTTGTCGACTGGTGCGGATCGGGAGATTGTCGAAACCGTCAAGAATAGGATGGCAAGGGAAGAGCAACAAGCCTGGGAAGGTGACGCCATGGGCGCTGGCGGCATATTTGGCGGAGGTTCGGGCCGACTTGGTCTGCTCGTGAGTGCTTCCGCCACGCACGGCTCGCACGAGTCTGGTCATGTCGACAAAGCAAAGCAGACTGACGCATCTCACGATCTTTCGGCATCTCACAGAGACGAGATGCAAAGCGATCGAAATCCGGCTCGAGTAGGAAAGGCGCCAGCAGTAGCAGCAGCGCCAGCAGCAAAAAGCGAAAGGTGGATAGCGGCAAGAGCGCGACTTCCGAAAAGCTGCTGGGTGGACGAGGGGCAGACGAGGGCGATACTGAGAGGGAAAATCTCGAGATTGATGTGAGTGACGTGCTTCTCCGATTGAGCTCAGCACGTGTGCAAATGGCTCACTTGGCGATGCCACTTGCTTTGTACGTTTGCACCTCGCAGCCTGACATCTTCCTGAGGCTGCACTATCCTCGCTTCGACGTTCACCTACGCGACTTGGTGAGTTCATTGAGACCGCCAATCTTTCTGCGCGAAATCTTACCGCGCCTACACGCTCCAATTTCAGATCATGTGCCAAGCCATCAGAAGCAAGTTCAATGAGACGTGCTCAGAAGTATTCCAGTTGATGATTCAGATCGGAGAGGCCAAGGAGGAGCGACCATCGGTAGGAGATTATCAATCTGGTGAGTTGGTCAAACGAAAGAAAATGCTTTTCCATCGACAGCATCGCTCACATTCGAATTCGTTTTGATCTGCAGGCATCTTCAGTCTGAGCGAACTTTCCGGCCAGACTGCATCCTCCATACAGCTTTGGAAAGGCTTGGACAGGGAATCGCTCAAAGAGTCAGGTCCAGCAGCTGGCGGCGGAGGCAAGGCGTCTCGCTACGATCTATTTGCAGAGTACGCGGCCATTTTTTCTCAGACGGACGACTTGTCCCACACTAGCATGGAGAGCAAATTTATACAGCCCGCTCCTGGCAGTACGACGACGCTTTCGGCTGGGGGAAGCCGCGTGGCTCAGAAATTTGTGGTCAAGTACGACAATACCGCCAAGAGACTAAAGAGAGCGCTGTTGAAGGATGTGGTGCAGAATCAGTATGGCAGCATGGCTACACGTATTCTGTCGATTCTTTTGGACAAAGGCAAACTCGAGGAGACGCACGTGAGTGGAAGAGCGTGCTCGGTAGGCTCTGCGCGCGGCATCTGACGAAGCTTCGATCGAACGGCCATGTCCTGACCATTTTGCGCTACTCGCAGATTCACAAATTGGCACTGATCACCATCGGTGAAGTGCGAGACTTGTGCGCGAGAATGTTTGCAGCTGGATTGTTGTCCCTGCAAGAAGTTCCAAAGTCGAACGATCGATCCAACGTTTCTCGCATGGTGCTGCTGTGGTTTGTGGACGAGTGCAAATGGCGTTCGTGGTTGTTGGATCATCTGCACAAGACGCAGAGCAGGCTGTTGCAAAGGAGAAGAGAAGAAGAGAGGAGACGGGCTGCTCTGCTTTCCAAAACGCAGAGGAGCGATGTAAAGATGAATGTGCAAGAGTTTTTGGCCGATTATGAAAAGGAACAGCTGGAGAAGCTCAACAATACCCTGGCTCTCATCGTCGTGGCACAATTGCGCATCGATGAAAATTCCTTTTTGCTCGCCAACCTGCCTGGTTGAGCGCGGGCTGGTGTAACCCTGGCTAAGCCGTCACTTGCAGCAAATAATACATGTCTCATCGCATCCAAAGCGAGTGCCAAAGAACTCACAGATGTACGTTTGCGTTTTTGCGCCAGGCCAGAATCGACGCTTGAAGCACTCAAAGTCTAGTACATGATTTGCACACGAAGAACCGAGCGAGACATTTGCCCCCAGAAACTCGCGTGGAAAGCAGGCACGAAAATTTCCATCCTCGTGTCATCTTTTTTGGTAAAGATGAATTTACAAAAAAAGTGCGATTCGAGATTGCAGGCCGACGGAAATCCCAAAAGAGTATGCGGGCAGCAGCATCGTTCGTCGTAAAGTAGTCGCGCCCCAGCTCGACGCACTTTGTGAGCAGCCGAGCAGGCTCAAGGGAAGAGGATCAAGGACTGACGACTACTTTTCTGACCTCTTCATCGCCTGCCAGCGCTCTAAAGAGCCTTCTCCACTCCAACGGACTTCCTTTGCTCCTCCTCATGATGATCATCGCCTTTGCGATCCCATCATCCATCGCCTTCCTCTGCATCTCGACAGCTCTCAGCTCCTTTTCCCATTGCTCTCTTCTCCGCTCTTCCGTCTGAGAGCCAAAGTGCATGTCCATGTCCAAGTCCATGCCCATGTTCAAATCGACATGCACATCCTCGTCCATATCCATCTCCTCATTCTCTTCTCCATCCGTCTTTCGAAGAATAGCTTCCACTCGAATCTCTCCTCTCAGGGCGCACTTGCGTCGATCGTGCGTCCAAAGAGAAATCTTGCATCCTCTAGATCCCACACTTCCTCTGTCCAGCTTCATAGCACCCGAATCGCTTCGTCTGATGCCTGCCGCTCCTTCCCTAGATTCAGCGAGCAGCGCAGCAGCAGCAGCTACGGGCGGTGCTCGATGTGCCAAAGTCGACTCTTGCAATCCTTCTGCACCTTCTTCATCAAGAACGATGCCCACCGGCTCGACTTGAAAGGAAATCTTTTCGTGATCCAGCCTTTTGGCTAGAAGCAGCGTGATCTGTGCTGCCGTCGCCTTGCTAAAGAACCTCGTCAATTGCGGCGAAAAGCGCGAGGCACCAGCCGCCAAGGAGGACCATGAAGTCTTTGCAGTGACACAGGAAGGAGGGCAGAAGGACACACTAGCATTTAGCCATCACTCTGCCGATCTCTTCCTCTTCTCCAAAAAAAGAAACAACAACAACAACTCACCAAATGGTTCATAGCTTGGGTGAATTGACTACCCCCAGCCCTTGGATCAAAAGTACTGCTTAGTCCTTCCCTTCGAGTCTCAATCTGCTGCGACATGGCATACATCTTCTTATCCGGATCTTCCCTGGCGTATTGTGCCACACAAGTGGAGGGTGCTCTTAAAGCATGCCATGATGGACGAGCCTCCTCTTCTGCAGCGCCTTCTGATTTCCTTTCGAAAAATGTGGGCCGCCGTTGTGGATCGGGCTGGGAGAACGATACGCTGATGCGTTGTTGAGCAGGGGATACAGGTGTGAACGCGCAAAGCTGAGGGTAAATTCTGCCCATCCACCCAAGGTCTTTTCCCATCTACGACTCACGTGTCTGGTACACTGGCTCTCATACCGTCGCTGTGGAGCTCAGCAACGTCCAAATCACCAGTCAACGCTAAGCCGTGCAGTAGCTCTGCAGCCAGTCCGAGCGCATCTTTGCATTTGCCATTCTCAATCCATTGGTTTGGTCTGCTCAGCCAGGGGCGATGAGTGGACATCGTCAGCTCACCTTCGCTGATCCCAAGAACAGGTAGCTCGTAGTCAGACTGACCTTTGATACCACCTGTGCCGTTTGATCTCTGCCAAAGAGATGCGCTTCCTCGGATCGGGGCACATCATCTTTTGCAGAAGCGCTTCGATTCCGAGCAAATGCGCAGAGCGATGAGCGAACTGCGCTGCGAGGTGCAGTGGCAAGCAAAAGACGTTCCATTATGTCTACTCACAAAAAGAATCTGGACTCAATCGTGGCCAAGGATCGTAGTCGAAGAGTTCGCCAGAGAGGTACGCGACGTACTCTGGGCTCCTCTTCGTCGGCTCGTCCCATGGAGTATCTGTGACAGCGCAAGCGTGCAAGTAGCAGGTCGTGAATTGGTGACGTGAGTGGGGCCGATCAGATCGATGATTGCGAAGCACTCACTGCCGACGAGCATGGCGAAAAGCACAGCGCCAGCGCTCCATACATCTACCGGTTCTCCCTTGTACGGTAGACCATTCATTTCGGGAGCGATGTAGGGCAAGCTTCCACAAGGCCCATTGAGCTCCCGAGTCTTGCCTTGGTACTTGTACACTGCACAAAGACCAAAGTCGGCCAACTTCAGGTTGCCTGAGGAGATGTTGATGGAGGAGTGTCAACGCAAGCGCTAGAGCAGACCGACAGGCTGCGAGTCATCTCGAGAAGACCTACTCACCCTGGCTGTCTAGCAAGAGATTCTCTGGCTTGACATCTCGGTGAGCGATGCCTTGACCATGGCAGTACTCCTGTATCGATGTGCAGCCCCCTTGCGTGTCAGAACAGGCATGCTGGAACGCGCATGACCGTCCATCGCACTGCTGTCAACTCGACTCACAAGCGCAGCGATGAGTTGCATAAAGTAGAAATGGGCCAAATCTTCTTCGACACCTTGGTCGGGCGCTGTGAAAGGGGCCAGCCAGATGCACGAACGTAAGAGCCAAAGAAGTGCCCAAGCATAACGATGTGCTCGCCAGCGTCCACGTATCGCCCCCCCCCCCCCCCTTGTCTACCTGCTCTTTCCCGAGATCTGTCATGTCCACTCTGACTCACGGATCTTGTCGAACAGATCCCCCCCCTCAGCAAATTCCAACACCATATAGAGTCCCGCGACCCAATTCCGCTCCCTAGCCAACGTCGCGCTATCTTTGCCCACGCCAATCTCCTTTGCCGCAATGAATTCCAACACGTTTTCATGTCTCAGCAAAGCGTGCACTTGAACTTCTTTTTGAAGCGCCCTGCGATCGGGTGGATGTTGTTTGCGGGTAGATTGAGATGAGGGAGCGACGTAGTGCACCAGCTTGACCGCTGCTAGTCTGTGCTTTGTAGCCGATGCATTGAGCGCCTTGAACACGCGTGAAAAGCCTGCAACGAGGACAAAGGAAAAGAAAAGGGAGTGGGGGGGAATGATCGCGCAGAGTAAGATTCGTCAGTTTGAAAAATGTTGGAGCATCGTGGTGATGTGGTGCCTGCCTGCTCTTATCGTTGCCGCGTGGCCATGTCCCTTGCCTCTACCAACACCCACTCACCTCCGCCGCCAATCACTTGAGCGAGTCGGTAGCCCTCAATGACGGGATACGTCTGTCCTCTAGAGGACGTGGGCTCCGCCATCCTAGCCAGCCCCTTTTCCCACCCGACTTGCTCACCGCACTCGTGATCCTAGGACGGAAGATTGCGAGCGAACGCCCTCCGAACGTACTCTCTTCCAATGTTGTGCCTCGTGGACGTGCCTGCCTGCTCTTAGGCGAGGTATGAGCGGGGAACCTGGCTGGCGCACCTCGTAGGAATAGCTCGTCGCACGCTTGAATCAAGGCCCACTTTCCTATGTCCATGCACTCGCGCGGAAGTGTGGCCCAAGCAGGAGAGCCCCTTCGTGTGCAGCGCTGAGCGTGATGTGATGACTATGCCAGTCCAAAATCGCACCGTCAGTGCGATCCAGTCGATCGATGCCCAGTGACTTGGATCAAGAAGGGGGGCGGTGCATCCGCTTCGTCTTCCAAAGGAGACCCAAAGGAGAACGTCTCAAAAAGTTGAAGATGTCTTGCGCAATGTCGAAAATTCGACTTGAAAGTCGGGAAGCGCGTAATGTGCTGTGCTGTGCTGTGCTGAGCAGGCAATTGGCAGAAAGTTGCCAGCAGCCCACGACAAAAGTCTGATGAGTGTCGAACAAGAAGCCCAAAAAAGGTCCCCTCACTGCTCCCCGCGCAAATCCGCGAGACTCGCGCAAGTTCCTGCCTAGCTGCCCCTTTAGCATGTCTGTCCGTATACAACAAGACTTCACGACGATCTCTCATCAAGATTCGTGATTGTGTCGATTGCCACACTCACGACTGTGACTCAAATCCTCTCGTGCCCTCGCATCAAGCACCCCGCCCCGCCCCGCCCCCCTCCCCCCCCAACACGCAACACGCGTCGCGTCTTGATCAATTTACACGTGACGCGCGCATATAGCCCACGCGCCACGCCCGTCGACCGCTGGCTGCTCTGGCCATTATAGCAGTCAAGAGTCTCGAATCTTGATCGAAGTCAGCTTGCGCTCGCTCGCTCGCTCGCTCGCTTCGCGGCAAAAGTCTGGGTGGAAGGCATACAAAATGATCCTGTTCCGCCTTGATTGCCGCTGCCGCCTGCCTCCCCCATCCAAACGGAAGCAAAAACCACTCGAGGATTTTCGCCAGGTCGATTGCGCTTGCCTCGTGGTCATTACCTCTAGGAGCATCAAAGGGACGTCAGATATTCACAAAGCGGTGTAGGGTGTACAGCATGTACAAGATGAATATTCCTCACGTGATGTGAAATGGGGCAAGAGCTGGTTTGCCTCACGAACCCACGCGCTCGATGCAACATCGACTCGAGTCGATCGAGGGGTGTGCAACAGCAAGGAAAGCAAAAGAGTTGCCCCACCAAGAAGCGAATTGGGGGAGGGAAAGGGAGAGGGAGGGACGAGAAGTGCCGACGAGGAGGAGGGGTATGAAGAGGAGAGGAGATTATCGATGCAGCAAGACCATGAGGACGATAGCCAAGCCTTGCACGGGATGAACGAGCTGCCAGTGTCACTTTGGCTTGACGGAGCGCCGTACATCGCTAGGTTTGCAATCCTTTGAGCGTGCTTAGCTTTGAGCGTGCCTAGTAAATGTAAGGGAAGATGCGCCAGGGAACAATCTTGCAGTACTTGTCCCAGCTAAAAAGGACGAGAGGCGAGTGATGTCGTGTCAGCCAATGAGCTTCAGAGAGAGAGAGAGAGAAGATCACCACTGGTCCAAGTCAAGCACAGACACTTCCTACTCACTCTGCTCCGTACTTCTCCTTGCAAGCGGCATCGTCTCTCCTCTGACGATGCACCAAGAGTACCAAAAAGTAGACGGGGTACATGTAGGGGATGGGCGTGTTGAAAGCGGTAGGCAAGCTCCAAGCCAGACTCATGATGAGGTCCCCCATGTAATTCGGATGTCTGCTTCTTCCCCACCATCCGCTCGTCAACAATTTCCTTCCCGTCTTTGTCTCCATGAACTTCAAATTCTTTGGGTTGGTGCCGTTGCGGAAATCGTTCTTCTCTCCGTTCGAGTCGCGGAAGATCCAGTAGCCCAGCCCATTGACAAACAGGATTCCGGCAGTGGCTGCGTAGCCCAGATCAACAGGAATAAAGGCCAAGTAGCGCGCTTGCAGACTGTAGATGAATGGCACCCAGGTCAAGTCTCCGACGGAGAGCATGAAACCAAAACCATCCGTAGTGATGTCCATCTGGGTCAAGATTGCCGTCTAGCGCGAATGTTCGTCGGGCATCTCGAGTCAGCACGGCTTTGGCCACGAAGACCGAGCGATGTAAAAGCGTGCGCGAGGCTCACCTCATTGAAAAGGGCATCGATGACGTACCACCCATGGAACGCGACCACGAGTACCATAGAGTCCGTAATGCGTCCGCCCAGCTTGACCCATTGCTTGCAAGCGCAGCTGATGTCCAAGAGCGCCCACAGGATGAGACCCGGTCTGAGCTCGTTGAAGGTCTTGATGTCAAAGATGCCGATGCGCGGGTTGAGCTCTCTTCCAATGAACCACTGCGAGATGGCACGCATGTACGACAGCAGAGTGCGCACAATCAGCAATCTCTACTTTCGCAAAAACTTTGCATTATGCAAAGCTAATGCTACTCACGTCGTAGAGGAAGTTGCCAGTGTTGCCCCCCTTGGCCAAGAGCCGTCCGGTGCGATAGCTTGCCGCATACACATAGACAGCTTGGCCAATCGAGTTGGCAATGGAGGCACTGACGAGTGCTGGCCAATGGTCGTAGAGAAAGGTGAAGCCTTGTGGGCCTTTGTAGGAAATGATCGCTGCAGCTCCCACAAAGGAAGCTACGAGGGTCGCAAATGCTGCAAGGCAAGCAGATCGCAGAGGGTGCGGAAAATCCGACTTGAGCATGCCAGCCAAGCAACGAGCACTTGACCAAATCCTTCTACATTCGCGCGCTCCCGTCGTCTTCCCCCCGCCCGCACGTTGGGTAGCGCATGCAATGGTCCGCTCTCACACTCACCATTGATCTTGTACGACAATCGTTCACCCGTGCGGAGTTCTGTTCCAATCTCCCACTTGCCAGGCAGCACAGCCCAGCAGAGAACCACGAAAGCGTACCAAGCAAAGTAGATGGCCCAACCTTGCACATCCAAAAAGCTCTCCTTCAAGCCCACGCCAAATTGTTTCCAGATCAAGTCCAAATGTTTCGGCGTGACGCTGCAGCCGACATTTTCGTTGCAGAAAAAGAACATGGCGTAGCTGAAGAACGGCACTGCTAGCGTCACTCCCAAAGCACCAATCGGTCCTCCAAACTCGTACTCATGCGACTTGGGAGCCAGGACATCTTGGCCGTGCTTTTGCAGAGCTGCGCGAGAGGATGTGCGAGGTGCTGGAGAAGGCGTATCCGGGTCAAGCGCGGGTGAGCCGTTCAAGGCCACCTTGGCACCCTTTTTGCTAGGTGTGCGCGATTGCCCACTGTGTATTCCGCACGAGGGTCAGATTCAGCGCGTCACAGCCTTTTGTGAGTGTTGATGCGTGCGACTGTGTGCGCCACCCAATCCGACAGACACTCACCGAGTCTGAACCATCCTGGCTCGGAGCTTGGGGCGAATGGAGTGATGCTTGTGTGATAACAGGTGGTGTTGCGTGAAATCGTCGACTTTCGGCGCCTATGCAAATGGGAAGCGAGGAGCGAAGCAGCTACGACACGCACGAATTATGCAAAGAGCGGTGCTGATGGTGGTGGTGGACAGGAAGAAGATGTGCCATGCCATGCAGCAGTCTGAGTCACGAGTGCGAGTTCTGTGAGCAGCTCGCTGCTCGCTGCTTCAAAAGTCGCATGACCATGACCGTGCGAGGATCTGCGCAAGCGCCTGCCTGCCTGCGCGCGATGAGTGCATGCATGCCATGCGTCAGCAACCATGATGCACGCACGCACGCGCACGCGCACCAGACCGAAATCTCATCTCATCTCGCCCCATGCACAGCATATATGCGTCTCGTCGATCGCGTCTGCCGCAAGGTGATGTTGTCGCTTTGAGTCGAGTCGAGCGTGTAGCGCACGCGCACGCACACGCGCACGCGAACACGCTCCGACGCGCACCTTGTGCATAGCATGGCATGCATGTCTGCACGCTTATAAGATGCTGCTTGCATACTCTATAGTCTGACTGGATGCGCTTCTTAATCCAGATGAGAACATCACCAGATGAGCAGCTCATCCACGAATCGTCCCACTTTCGCGCGCTCGAATCGGGCGGTGTCCAGTAAGAGTCAGGAAAAGGGAGGGGGGCGGGGGCGGGGACTCAAACGTGAGAGAGAGCTCAAGATGGTACACGCTTGCTGTCTACCGCCGCGACACCATTGTGATTGTGATTAGCAAAAAGCATCTGTATGCATCCAATTCGAATGGCAGATTCACGATTGTTGTGATTGCAGCGGCAATGTACGCAAACCATCCTGCTGGCTCGGCCGCACTGCATAATCCAAGGGATATAGGGCAGGCAGGCAGGCAGGCAGGCAGGGTAGGTATAGGTAATTCAGGCCAGCAGATGGCCGACCCGCGGATCTTCGGAGCATTTGCTTTTTGATTGGCAAAAGGGGGGGGGGGGGGGGGAGGGGAGGTAAAGAGCAGCCAGCCGCGCTGCTCGAAATCGTAAATCAACAATGTGCTCGCTCGCCCTCTTCCGGCCTTTGATGACAAAAGGGGAGCACGTGCACGTGCACGTGCAGCACCTGATACACCACAGCCAAACCCAATCATCATTGTGATTGTGATTCTTGATTCTGTGCACCGATATCGATAGCCCTCGAGTGACTTGCGTAAGCGCCAATACTTTCCACTCGAACGTACAGCATGTCCAAGACCATCGTAGGCGCACCAATCCACATGCATACGCACAGCCAGATGCACTGATTGTTAGCCTGGTGCAGTACGGCCAAGCATACAAGGTGCAGCCGCAGATACGTTGCAGTGGTGCTCCTCAGTCTCGAGTCTTCACACAACAGACGCGCACACATGCAGCTCTAGACTTCGCCGCACCACTTGCCTCACATCCAGTATCGCTTTCTCAAAGAGGACAAATTCGAACTCTTTTTCGTAGCAAGAAGAAAGAACAAAGCGTGGTCGAGCAGACCAATTTCCCTTGTCGATTTCTCAATCTCGAATTCGTAATCTGCGAGAAACTTCATGCTCGAGCAGTTCCAGAGCCGTGTCGAGTCCGAGCGCGTCGATACATGTTCCAGCCTGATGGCAAGCCTTGTCCAGTCTCTGCGCCGCGCTTTCAGGCCGCTCGTTGTCCTTCAAATCACGGGCCGACTTGTTCGAAGCTGCAGCAGCGGCCTGTAGATGCGTCGGAGCGGGTGGTGGAAATTGGAGGTGCAAAGCGATGTTGCTCGGGAATGACGTCGATACGACTGCGACTATTCTACAGTCGAGTTCGAGATTCGACAAGCGGTGGCAGGAGTTGTTCAGCTCTCAAAGTGGCGAAGAGGAAAAGGGGGGGCAAGCAGAGGCCTTTTCCATGTTCTGGCACGTACCAAACTCACTCATCATCGACGTGCAGTGCCAAGTGACTCTGTAAGCTCGTGAAAGCACCCAGTGCTCTTCCGCCAAACACTCTCGAAACCCATCCAGCCCGTTCAATCCCCACTGCTCGTTCAGCCCGTGCCGCTTTACTATTCTTCTTCCCAAATGCTTTGAACGTGACTGCGCTCTGTTCCAATCGAACGCGACCACTTTTCGCCATTCGACTTTCGAGATTCTCCATCAGAGTCTGTACGCGTTCAAATACACCACTTCGAAGCTGAAGCAAGTTTTGCACAACAGCCAGAGGAATAAAGACGGACGGGAAAAAAGGCAAAGACAGCACAAAAAAGGAATGGGGCAAATCACCAGGAATTGTCAGGTCCAATGTCATTGCGAACAAACACGAGAGCGCGACGATACTGCACGCGAACTCACCTTGAGAAGCCTTAGCACACTCAGCAAGGGGTGCAGCATCTCGATCTTGCCTTGCGAAGCCCGACTCGAGCCAAAGGCTGATGAGCCGCAAGCTCTGTCCTTGTACCTGCCTACCAGGCCCAAACGCAAGAAGCCGAGGAGCGCATCGGGCATGGCGGAAGCGACGCGTTGAACATTCTGCATTTCGTCGCCCTTCGGAGCCCCATCATCTTCCATCGTCGGTGAAGTGGGCTTGTCGAATGATTGTGGAGATCGCGTGGGTATCTGAGGAGGAGGAGGAGCATCGCGATCACCAAAGTCTGAGCAAGACGATCTTGGACGTAGGCTCCAACGGAAGGGAAAGGAGCTTCGCTGAAGCGTCCTCGCAACTCACTAGCTCGATGAGCATGCTGACTTGATTGCTCACAAATATCGTCAATGAAGAAGTACTGATCTTGACGTTTGCTTCTCCCCGATTCGAAAGTGCGCGAGCTTCGCTGACGAGCTAAGGCGTCGCGACGCGCCCAGCGGACCGGCCGAGCATTCGACAAGGGTCAGCGAGGGACAGGATGCACGGTGCGCCGCACGAGCACTGGTTAAGAGGCGACGCAGCGCAAGCTCGACCATCCGCAGTGTGCACTCACATTGCCAAACAGCTCCTCATCCGCAAGCTCAAGCTGTGCCTCGTTCAATTCTCGTCTCGTCCTGCTCGCTTCATCTCCAGCCTTCGACCTCTGCCACCGAGCAGGCACGTTCGCATCAGAAGAGACAAAGAGCGTTCTCCTTTTCCCCTGTCCGTCCACATGCATATGCCGCACTTCTGCCGTCCCATCAGCATTGCCACGTCGAGCCTCGAGCTGTTCGGGCAGACTACCACCAGTGCAGCTTAGCTCAAAACTGACTTGCAAGCGTTTGTTCGGTCGATAGACAAAGGACACTGGAGCAGGCACGTGTCCCGCGCTCTCTTCATTTTGCTCCAGCTTCTCGCTCATTCCCTCTTTGTCCTGCGCGTCGGACGCGGCAGTTTCAGCGGATGGGCTCCGCGGCTCGGCAGAATGAACCCTTGCGAGCGAGCGCTGTTTATAGTCCGCATGAGCTGCAAGTGATGCGTCAGGGTCGATTCGAAAGTTCCAGTGATCCAGCAAAAGAGCATGATTACGCGAGGCGATGGTTGAAGAGAAAGAGTATATACCAAAACGATCTCGTCAGTCCTTTCATTCTCGCTTCGCAACGGTCGAAGCGACCCGTCATGCCGTGGCATGCGATGTTTCCACGCTCACGGCGAGGCAAAGAATGACCGAAGAGTGAGAAGCACTCACCTTCAGTGATAGCCCAGCCGATCCACGCATCCCTAGCTCCCCTGTTCCTGTCGGCTTCAATCAGAGTGGTTAGGGCTGCGCGCCCCTCCCTCTCAGGTGCCTCTTCCTCGTCTTGAAGTAACACATCCAGATCCGCATTGGCCACTCCGCTCAAGGTCCAATCGCAGCTCTTGGCCCTCGCCAAGCATTCCCATCTGTTCGCTTCCCTCTCTGCAGCGTTCAGTGTTCCACGTCGATCAGCATACGTAGCTTCCGAAGCTTCTCGCCGCATATTTGATCCCTCGCCCAGGCCTTTGGTGAGAGTGGATCCTGACGTCGGCGATGCTTTTTGAGCGCACACTTCATCCAATTCTCGTGCTCCTCGTCGCAAAATCCCAATGGCGCCCAATATCCCATCTCGAGCAGCTTGCGCAGATATGACCAGAGATTTCGTTCGATCTTCCATCTGCTCCTTTGAAAGCTTGTCATCGTTTTCGCGAAGATATCTCGCGTTGCTCTTGGCTGAATACAAATTATCCGCCTCTTCGCCTTCCTGCTCTTCTGCGCCTCTCTCCTCCTTCTTGTCAAGGACGCCTTTTCTGTCCTTGCTCTGACTGCTTCTCTCAGCTCCCTCGTCCGACGAGCTATAAGCGGAGCCTTGCGATGCATCCTCGGCTTGTGCAGAAGCATCAGGCTGGAAAGATCCAAGCAGCTCAACAGATACGTGTTCCGCTTCCAGTCCCGTCTCTTCAAACAGAGCCATCGCGGTGCCCGGTTGAGCCGCAGAAACACCTCTGCCAGCCCAACCCGCTGCCGCTGCCGCTCCTGCACCTGCGCCAGCTCGCGTGGAAGTGGCAGTCCCTTCTCTTTCCCTGGGCAGAGGTGTACCCCTTTCGGAGCCTTGACGACCGAGGCCTGTCGAAGAAGAGCCGGAAGAAATCTGCGTGGGTCGAGAGAGGAGAATTAAAGAAATTGCGCAGTGGGCAGAATAAATGGATTCTTGTGCGTAACTTTTTGGTAGTGCGACGCAAGCGAGGTTTTGAAGAGCGAGGGAGGGAGTGTGTGGATAGCGTGCAGAAGATGACGTGTGCGGGTAAGCGAGAGCTTCAGAAGAGGTGCCAATGGATCGGCGCATCGTGCAGATTAGGCTCGATTGAACTCACTTGAGCTCCGCCAACATTGGACCCTTGAGATTCTGCACTTGCTGCGGATCTAACGCTTTCCTCTGTCTTTCTTTGCTCTGTGCAGTTCCAGCAGCGTGATCCTTCTGATCTTCATCTGTACGTGAACGTGAAAGTCCATCTCCCTCCTTCTCATCCTCTTGCTCCGCCGGGATTCCCCAGTCCTTCGACTCCTCATCGTCTTCATCATCATCATTGTCCTCATCCACCACTGTAGTTCCCGCCTTTCGAGCAGCCCTGAGCAGTCTTCTCCGTTTGCGCTTATCCTGCTTCTGCACTTTCTTCCTTAGCTCTCCCACATCCAACTTATCAAAGGCTCCTCTGGCGGCCCACAATTGAGCAACCCGGTCCGACAGTGGTGCTTGGTGGGACGAGCTATTTAGCAAGAGCGCGTCGAAGGAGAGAGAAAGTGTGTGTGTGTGTGTGGGGGTGCGAGGGGCAGGTTGCGGGTCTTTAGTGCGCAAGGATGAATCAAGGCTCGGCTTCACTTCTAATGACTATCTATCCACTTACAAATCCCAAATCAGCCCACTCCTCTGCACAGCTCCCTGTGCCGCGCTCGTGTCTCTCAGCAACGCTCCATCCTCCCCTTCCTCCTCTTCCCCCTCTTCATCTTGCCCAGCTCGCAAAAGCTCATCGGTCTCCTGCGCTGCAGACGCGACATCTCTCAATCGAGGCGCATCACGCAAGATGGAGGATCTGTCTCGGGACAGAGGGCCCCAGGGAATGGGTTCGAGGGATATATACGTGCTTGTCCAGTTGGACGACGAGGTTGCGTGTGCATGTGCTGATGCTGGTGCTGGTGCTGGTGCTGCACCTTCAAAAGACATGGCTGCGCTTTCAGCCTCGGTCGTGAATTGATGGCGTGCTGCAAGTGAAGCTTCGACCAACGACTGCCTCGAGCTGCTGACTCGCTTTCTCGTCCGCAAGCGCTGTCTCGCTCTTGTTCCTCCATTCACGATTCGATCCGCGTCACGTCTCCGTATTTTCGCACTGGTTGCGTTGCAAATGCAGCAGCTCCCCAGTGCAGTCGTGAGTATGTTTGTGGTCGTCAGAAAGCGATTCTTCCAGTCTCGAGTCAAAGTTCAAGACTCAAGTCTTTACCCAATCAGCGTCAAGGTGCTTGCGAGTCAAAGGGGCGTGTGCGTGGGTCGCAATCACAAGTCTCGGCGTCATCAAAGGCTGTTGTGTGTTGTATACCTGCACATGAGCCTGTGCCCTGGAGTTGGGGGGGGGGGGGGCCGTGTCGTTGCACGCAACGGGTGCACTGGTCAGACGATCACGTGACATGTTCCTTAGCGGCCACGACTCGATCGGATGGAGCTCCACGCACCGCCATCCATGGAGCGCACGCACGCACGCACGCACGCACGCACGCATGGACGCGGTGATGCGCGTTGGTGCCAAAAGCACAGCGCGCACCATGCCATGCCAGGCGCATGCGCAAATTCAAACCGATCGACCTCGACATTCGTGAGCTGTGATTGCAGATTGCAGATCGCATGGATGGCCATCCACTCCGCTGGTGACTGTCTACATCATACCTTATCGCTCCACGAGCGATCGGCGCACCAAGCCAAATCGAGCCGAGCCGAGCCGAGCCAGGTCGAGCTAGGTCGAGGCGAGTCAAGGCGAGTCAAGGCAACGATCAAGAAAGATCAAGTCTTCCAAGTGGAGTCCCATTCCACAAATATCCCACCCATCACCCGTCAAGGGGCATCGGTAAAACAGCTAGCTGCCTTGCTTGCCCTGACCTCTCAAGCTTTGCGCTCTTCAAAGTCTGCTCGGAGAGGGTGGAAGGGGCGTGGAGGGTGCATGTGATTCGACATACGTGAGCGAGCGAGCGAGCGAGCGAGCGAGAAAGCCCGTTAGCCAGCCCACCAGCCCACCAGCCCACCAGCCCACCGGCCAGCCCACCGGCCAGCCAGCCAGCCATGACATCCACGACCTACTTGCCGCCCAACGCAGCCACTGCGGGCTCCTCTTCGGGCAACGCAGCGACGAACGGCGCAGGTGGGGGATCAGCACTATCGCTCTCCACACCTCTGGCCAACACCGGCTCATCCAAAGCCTCTCGCGTCTGTTACTTTTACGATGGCGACATTGCATCCTACCACTACGGACCCGGACATCCCATGAAGCCCACGCGCATTCGCATGTGTCACAGTCTAGTGATGCAGTACGGTCTGTACAAAAAAATGGAGATATTCCGAGCTAAACCGGCGACGAAGCGAGAAATGTCTCAGTTTCATACGGACGAGTATGTGGATTTCCTCTCCAAAGTCACGCCGGATAATGTGGATCATTTCGTTAGGGAACAGAGCAGGTTCAATGTGGGCGACGATTGTCCCGTATTCGATGGGCTGTTCGAGTACTGCTCCATAAGCGCTGGCGGCAGCATGGAAGGTGCCGCTAGGCTCAGCAGGGACAAGTGCGACATTGCCATCAACTGGGCCGGCGGTCTGCATCACGCCAAAAAGGGTGAAGCGAGCGGCTTCTGCTACATCAACGGTGAGCCAGAATTTGCAGCAGCAGCAGCATAGATAGCTGCCTCAAACGCATGCATGCATGCACACCCTGCTTCGTGCTGTGCTCCTCGCCAAGCCCTCTTGCTGATTCGTTCTCCTTGCGCAACACGCCATCATGACAGACATTGTGTTGGGTATTTTGGAATTGCTGAGATATCATCCCCGAGTACTGTACATCGACATTGATGTGCACCATGGCGATGGAGTGGAAGAGGCTTTCTACACTACCGACAGGGTCATGACTTGCTCCTTTCACAAGTACGGAGAATTCTTTCCCGGCACCGGAGAGTTGAGGGTGAGTAGATGGCGAGAAGATATATCTGCGCCAAGATGTGCATCGGCATAGGGACATGCGTGCATGTGCACATACAGAGCAAGGAGCCCGCGAGGCGATGTCCACACAGAGGGAGCGAATAGCGTGTTCGCCTGTGCGGTATCAGATCCTCAAATGGAGGAGGTCACACTGCTCATGCATCGCATCGTCTCTCCTCGTTCTCGCACCCAGGACATTGGCTATGGTCGAGGCAAGAATCACAGCGTGAACTTTCCGCTGCGCGATGGCATCACGGACGAGTCGTACAAGTCGGTGTTTGAACCCGTCATCACTCAGATCATGGAGCATTACAGACCTAGCGCGGTGGTGCTGCAGTGCGGCAGCGATAGTCTTGCGGGCGACAAGTTGGGCAGCTTCAACCTGAGCATGAGAGGTGAGTTGGTGCACGAGGCGGCCTACTTGGTGCCAACATTGCAGGCTACTTGGAACCGGCAATCTTGTGACTATTGCCTGCGAGGGAGAGGCAGCTCCGCGTCACCCACATTGACATCATCACGATGTTTTTTTATCATCGTTCCTCTTCGTCTATGATCTGGCCGTGCAGGACATGCCAATTGTGTCTCTTTTGTCAAATCCTTCAACTTGCCCCTGTTGCTGCTGGGAGGTGGCGGATACACGATCCGGAACGTGTCGCGAGCTTGGGCATACGAGACGGGTCTGGCAGCGGGTCTAGAGCTGGGTCATCGTGAGTCACAACAAACCGGGCCGCGAGAGTCGCGCTTTCCCGAAGCTGAAGCGTTCCCGTTTCCGCAATTTGTGCTGCACGTCTGGCGCCCCGAGTAGAGGTGCCTGTGAACGAGTACTACGAGTATTTTGGACCGGATTACGTGCTGGATGTGCGAAGGAACAACATGGAAGATCAGAATACGCCTGCCTACCTTCAAAAGATCAAAGCGCAAGTGTTTGAGAATCTGCGCCAGACGTCGCACGCGCCTTCTGTGCAGAGCTTTGAGATACCCAGATTAGCGCACGATGAGGAGATGGAGGATGCAAGCAAGACGAGGGAGGAAGAGGAGGATCTGAATGCGGACATGAGAGCTATTAGGCAAGAGGGATGGAAAGATGGGCATGTGCAGAGAGAAGACGAGGGCAGCGATAGCGAGGATGAGGGAATGGATTCGAGGAGGAATGAGAAGAATCACAGAGATGCCGATCAAGAGGCAGAGGAGGGGGATAATTCGACGCGCAGAGCGAGGAGGAGGACGCCAGGCATCATGGATCCGCTTTTGAAAAGGGCGGCTTTGGGAGAAGAGAGAGCGAGCATCTCTCCAAGTACTCGACCTACTCATGGAGTTACGCAACAGTCCGACGAGAATACCGGCGCCGCTGCCCTCAGCGCAGCGCAGAGCGCGAGCGGTCCCTCGACGGGCCAAACGTCGAATGGGGAGAAGAGAAATGGAGAATCTGTACCGGTTGCACCACCCACCGGCAGTAGTCATGGGGATGTGGAGATGAAAGAAGCGTAGGCTCGCATTCTGCTCCCCTCCTCTTTGAGCGTAACCTGTACGATCCTCTCCCCCCCCCTTGCCCTCCTTGCCGCTCTCACAATCCTGCAATCGATTTGGCCCTCCTTCCATGCTCTGCTCGTGTGCCACACCAATCGACTTGCAACCTCGTCTTGTCTTTGCAACTCTTGTGCCATCGCACGAGCAACCAAAAAGATATGGTACTACACTCTACCCTTCTGTGGAGTGAGACGCACCCCGCTTGTTCGACCTTTTACAACGTGCACATACCGCCAAGATATCGCATTCGTGATTCTGGCCCGGGTATTGATTTTTTTGCGTATTCAACGTCACAGCGACGCGGCAGATCGAGCCGACGTGAGCACGAAGCAGGAAGCGCGGGAGGCATTCTGCCCACACCTTCTCGGTCGGTCCGCCAAACAGAAGCAAGAACAAAGACAAAGGAAGAGAAACTCCATATCCGGCTAGCAAGCTCGCTCGCTCGCTCGCTCGTCGCAAAAATCAACAAAAACAGGCAAGCAAAATGCCCCC